CCCAGACGCCAGTCGCTTATTGTAAACAGTTGGAAAAGCTCTCAGGAACTCGGCAGCCAAGTTAGAAGTCATAAAACTGTGATTCAATCTCACAGATTTCCCGGGGAAATACAAATCTAATATAAAACATATAACGTTAGGGGGAAAAACAAAATAAAAAGTATGAACATTAAAAGTTTCATTAACTAATATTTGAAATAATAAATGGGAATTTAAATGGGAATTTTGAATAGGTTTCAAGAAATATACAACACACATTTCTATTTATATAATTTCAAGAAATATTTTAAAATGTATATTAATATTATTATAAACTAAATCATTAACTTTAGGAGCCCCTGGAAAAATCCAACAAAATATTGACGACTAAGAGGAGCTAAAGGAAACTTTGGTTTGTCTGATTTGCTTTTTTGTTTGTCGCTTGTCGCCTTAATTCCTTTGCATCTCTGCCGGAATTGGTTTCCTTTTACTTTTGGCCAAACTTTTGTTCTTGTTTCGATTGTGTTGCCGTGTTTATTTACACTCTCTCTCTCTCTCTCTCTCTCTCTTTCTCCCTGTCCCTTTGTTATTCGTCCTTTTGATAACGGCCAAGGGAGAACTGAGAAAAAAAAATATATCCTGCAAATGGCAGCTGAAATCAAGATGAAATCGTAGCAGTGAAAAGTGCTGGAAAAAAACCAAAAGGGAAAATCAAATCAATACAAAAAAGAAAGTAAAAGCTATTTCAGCTCCGAAACCAATTTCAAACTTGCGACTGGCAACAATTAATAAGCAAATAAACCAAATAAACCAAATAGAAAGCAAACAAATCGGCGGTGAATTGGTTGGAATTGACAGAAAATGTCGATATATATCGATGGGCATAACGATTTATCGAAAATATTAACATAAAAATATATTTTATATATTTTAAATGTGGTTTGAATATATCTACTTTTTTTTCTAACAAAAAAAAAACAAGCAAGATTATCGAAGGATCCATATTTATATAGTTTCGACATTTTATCTTATATTTGTGAATACAATTATTATTATGTCTATATTTATATGGTTTTCTACATTAAAAAAACCTAACCTAACCTAAATTAATTTCCTAGTTGTTATTCTATAAACGAAAATCGATATTATACAATTGTATCGATGAGCCAGCTACAAGCTATATTATCGCTTAATTTCTACTGTTAAATTATTATTAAACTGTTTTGAAAGTAAACTTTGATTTTGCCAGCTGTGAATAATATTTTTCCTACACAACTAAAGTCTAGTTATTTAATATTTGGGACAATATTTCTTGACCATGTCAGCCTGGCGGCATCTCTGGCCATATGCAGGGCCCCGTGTAGGGTTTCCTCCTGTCTCACCGCCAGAGAACCGCCCTCCAATGTTGACTCGCTGACCTTATTGTCGCCATTGACATCATTAATGACACCCAAAGTGTCCTCCATTTAGGGCGAAACAAGCGTCCCCGGAATACCAAGACGCCAAGCAGGGGGTTTGCTTAATACAAAGCAAATAGCCGTGGCTAAAAGGGAAATGCGGGGAAATGCCTGAAAAGTCGAAGCCCAAGCCCCCCCCCCCCCCACTGAAACTGGATGCGCAACAAATTCAAATGGCGAGATAAAGAAAAAAAATTGTCAAGCGTGCTGCTTTCGGGGAAGGGGAGATAACAACGTAGGGAGGGGGAAGCGGAAGTGGAGCTGGAAATGAAAGGGAAAGTGGCCAAGAGTGGCATTCAATAGTGGATGGGGGCGCAGGGATAAGGATAAGGCCATGTCCTTTAGAAACCTAACTGAAAACAGCCATAAATTAGTCACCGCGAAATCAAGATTGAATGATGTATCTCTAAAAAAATGATATGAGCTCTAAGATGCGATTTCCTAGCACTCAAAGTTCGTTAGAAAATGCAGAAAATATTTATTTATTTTTTTATTTATAATTTTATATTTATATTATTTGTAATTTATAGTTATTTAATTTATTTATATTTTTTTATAATTAAAAATTCAATATTTTATAGCTTACAATATTTTCAATATTATGTCATAATTTTGTGGATATTTTATGACTTTAATTTCTTGATTTTTACATTACAACTTTGTATAATAAATTATAATGGTAAAATTTAGAGTACAAGAAGGTCATATTTAATTTTTTAAAATTCCACACAATTCCCAATAACAACAACTGCTCAAAAAAAGTGCTTTTAAACTTGTCTTCCATTACAAAGTCTGCTTTTCTCGCTCCTTTTTATTATTTATATTTTTTTTGCACAACGCCTACATATGTCTCCGTCCGACACTGGCCATTACGCTGCGAGTCATTTGTGAAATGTCAGGCCATTGTGCCGGCACTTTATGCTAATGCAATGTTGCGTGATCCTTGAAGGAATCGTCATCGCAGCAGGGAAGGGACACCAGTCTCCGTCCGCTAATGGATTTCCAGGGCGCATCAAAACATAAAAAAAAAAAACTCTGGGAGAGAGGGGGAGAGAGGGGGAGAGAGTTGGCTGAAAACAAATCCAGCCCAGTCATGTGGCGGACTGCATCAAGGACCAAGGCCAGGGCCAGTTTGTGTTGTGTAAGCGGAAATCCTTGTGGCCAGGACGGGCAGGCCGTCATGATGAGTGGATGACGCGGCAGGAACTGGGAGCAGGATTAGCCTCGCTCATAATTAACGGTGAATGGATTAAGGGGCAAAAACTCAGCCAGCCAGAAAGCAGGGATTGACGTCCTGTCATTGGGCTATTTTTTTCTTTTTTACCTTCTTTAATTCCCGCCTCATTGGTTTCTTGATTGATTGATTTCAATTTCATTTCCCAAATGGCCGTCAGGTAGATCTACTCACCAAAAGTGATAGTTTCGGGTTGATAAATAACAATAAATCTGTATTTATCGATGTGGTTATTGTGGAGAAATCGGAGTTTAAAAGAGTAAACTATAAATAAGTCGAAAAAATGGGTTTAAATTTTATTTGAATTATTTTTATTTATAATTATTATTTATAATTATTACTATTATTATTATTTATTATTATTACTATTATTATTATTATTTATTATTATTATTTAGGAAGCTGTTTTACGTAAAGTTGAGCTTCAAAGTTTTTCTTAGGTTTTCAAATATTTCCTGCTAATACTTTCCATATTTTTCAACTTTTTTTCTTTAGAATTTTTCTGAAGGGACTCTTCAAAGGAGAGCCTCAAACGGTTGGCTATCAATTCAGTTGTTTGTTTTCCATTCTTCGTGCTCCCTTCTTCCTTTCCCGCCTCTTTTTTTATGTTGTCTATTTTTCATTTTCCTGCTGCATGTTGCAGCAGCAGCTGCAACACGAGTGCTGTGTGGGGGGTGGGACTTCGAGTGAAAAATGTTGCTTACAGGCTGGTATCTACATGGTACCGACTTCCAGGATAAGCCGGAAAAGTGAGGCGTAAATCCAAATGACCCAAAAATGGGCACAGGATGCGAGGCTGCTGCGGCTTAACTGGCCTTAAAAAATCAAATATATTGCACATCCGCGGGGCGCTGGGCTCACGCAATTTACACGCACATCTGACCGAAGGCATACTCCTCCGCAAAGTCGTAACCATAACCCCCGTATGCTAACGCTACGTTTTCTACTCCTCCTGGTCTTTCTGCTTTTCCTGCTGCTCCTCCTGTTCCTCCTCCTGCTCCTCATCCTGCTCCTCATCCTGCTCCTCCTACTCCTCCTCCTGCTCCTCATCCTGCTCCTCCTGCTCCTCCTCCTCCTCGACCTATTCTTGGCCGCAGGAAAAACAGCGCTCGCAAGCGATTTCATTGCCTACTTAGCGGCGCACGCTGCGAGTTATTCAAATTTGAATTAGGCAGGGCCACCGTTTTATGGCTCTCACTGTCTGTCTGCCTTTCTGTCCCTTTGTCTGCCCCAAAAAATATGCAGCATCTGCGTGGCAAAGGAAGGAAAACTTGCGGCATAAAATGTGTGTGTGTGTGTGTGTGTGTGTGTGTGGCACATGTGTGACCGGGGTAACAGCGAACGGGCGAACGGTGAGCGCTCCTTAATTAGATCATAGTTCCCATCTCGGTGCAGGGCAGCGTTTTACTACCGGCACACAGGAGCAGCCACAGGACCCACAGAACAGAACAAAACAGAACACCATCAATGTCAGGCTCCTGCCAGCCATCATCATCATCATCATCTTCAAGGCACATGGCGCATGGGATGCACTGTGGGCCATCGGATTGGTTTTACTGGCTAAAAATGTTGAGTAGATCTAAAAAAAATTAAGGGAAACATTTGTTTTGTATAAAAATTAGAATTAGGTATTTAAATTATCGAAAAACTAACGATTAATGATTTTATTTATTATTTATGTATTATTATTTAATTTATTTTATTTTTTATTATTATTATTTATTATTTTTATTTTTTCGTATTGATTTATCAATATTTCTAAGGCTTCCCCCTATATCCTTGATTTTGCCCCACTGTCCCTTCCATAGATAGAGAGAGCTGTGGGCACATTATTGACTCACGACGATGCGCCGCATCGAATTTCCAACTCAATCATTTGGGGGAAGATGGGTGAAGGAAAGCCAGTGGGAAAAGGACTGGGGGAGTGGGGAAGTGGGAAAACTTTCCCCCTGCTTTATGACTGGCAACTCACGCGACGCCAACGTTTACGGTATTTGCATTTTAATTGAATTGAACTAAATTATTTTGTTTAGAGTCGAAAGGAATTGCCATCGTCCTCCAGCGGGAGGAGCTGGAAGGCAACAGTTTTTGGCCAAAATGTAAAAGCCACAAGCCGCTAAAAAGTTACAACTTTGAAAACTTTCGACACAAGACAGGAGATTTGGCGGGGTAACGAAAACTTGCCATAATGGCTTGGGGTGTCTCTACGATGGAAAATCGAAACTGAAGCCCCAAATGAAGACTTAAGAGTCGCCAAAGCCTTGATTTTATGGGAATTCTTTTGTTATTTTTGTATTTAAGATATACTCAAAATATTCCTTTCTTTCCAGATGAGTTCTGCGAGGAGTATCCGCACAATCTGATGCCCACGCCCGGCTACTGGATCGAGTGCTCCCGCCAGAAGATCACCATGCCCACCCCGCACACCATTTGGGATGAGAGCGATTCGGAGCACGAGGATATACGGGCGGGCAGTGCCAGCGATGCGTACTTGGAGCGCGAATGCAGCGATCTTTACGAGGACGACGAGGACTCTGAGGCCACGCCCAGGTAGATTTGCTTAACTGAAAATAAAAATAATAATAAAACTGTAAATAATAATTAATAATCCCCGTTTAGTCCGCGCAAAAAGACCACCATTGAGGAGCAGTGGGACCAGCAGGGCGCCTTTGAACTGATCTCCGTGGAGCAGGAGACGTACGAGAAGTATTTCTATGGCACCGAGCATTGGAATTACTTCACCAGCGATGAGGACCTGGGCCCGGTCATTCTGTCCATCAAGCAGGAGACGCTCAATGGACGAGACCAGTTCCGCATCCTAGTGCGTGCTGGCTCCTATACAGTGCATGGACTGATACCGGCCTCCTGTGTGTTTGCCGATAGGTAAGGTTTAATTTAATAACTTTTATTATATTTTTTAATATATATATTTGTTCCTAGATATAATCGCGAGGAGGTAGTTAGATCTTTAGGTAAAGAAGTTAATTTAAATCCACCTTTAACGTTAGGACAATTACCCGACACGCCAGAGGAATTATTAAAATTAGATCAGGTGAGTTAGGAGAGATGTAGTTTCTTAGAAAGATATATTGTTTATATGTTTTTATATATTTATATATTTTATTATTTATTTCTCACCTCTCTTTAGGTTTTTATAAAATCAGAATTAAAAGTTGGCGTCATATTTGTCAAAGAGGATCAGTATACCGAAGAGCAAATTCTGGACAATAATGAAAATTCACCGCTCTTCGATGAGTTCCTCACTCTACTGGGCGATCGCGTCCGGCTGCGGGGCTTTGACAAATACAAAGGTGGCCTTGACACGGTGCACGACCTCACAGGTACCCCGCCGAGACATATATATTATGTTTATCCTTTTTTTTATAACATTTTATCCCCCGTATAGGTCTCTTCTCTGTGTACACAAACTGGCGCAACATCGAGATCATGTTCCATGTGTCCACCCTGCTGCCATACGAGAAGCATGATCCTCAGAAGCTGCAGAGGAAGCGCCACATTGGCAATGACATCGTGTGCGTGGTCTTTCTGGAGGCGGACAACACTCGCTTCAGTCCCGCCTGCATCAAGAGCCATTTCCTGCACACGTTCATACTGGTGAGTTGCTGGTGGAGATTCCTGTCATCTCTTCCTTTTAATTATTTATAAAATTTCTGTTCTCTATTTTTCCCTCCTTTTGCAGGTTCGTGTTTCGGCCAGAATCAAGCACAAGCCCACAAGATACGAGGTGTCCGTGGTGACCAGAGACGAGGTGGGCGCCTACAAGCCCTACCTGTGGGAGCAGTCCGTGTTCGAAAAGGGACCCATGTTCAGGTGAGTCAAATCGATCTCTGCAACAGCAAACAAATCCCCCTTGAACCCCACTTAAAAAACCCCAACTAATCCCCCTGCAGGGAGTGGCTGTTGACGAAGATCGTCAATGGAGAGAGGGCCTCGTATTCGGCACCAAAATTCGCCAGGATGCAGGAACGCACACGGTCGCAGATGCTCGAGGATCTGGTGATGAATCTGTCCAATCATGCCGAAACTGGCCAGATACCGAAGCCCTATCGCCGCGGCAGCTGGCGACCGATCGGTGAGGATGAATATTTCAAAATGTTGCATGCCCGTGTCCTAGACAACAACACACACCACGAACAGCAGCAGCAGCAGCAGCAACTGTATGGCACCGTGTGCTGCTATTGCACTGGCAGCAGTCACGACACAATGATGATGATGATGCTGCAGCAGGGCAGCAATAACAACAACTACAACAACAATTACAACAACAACAACAACCACACATTCAACAACACCACACACAGACACACCAACGACAACAATAATCACTTTGAACAGCAGCAGCAACACTCGCAGCTGGAACAGCAGCAACAGCAACTGCAACACTCGACATCGTCACTCACACACACGTCGTGTTGTGCCATGTTGCACCTGTGTGTGAGGCATAGTATGTGGGCCGAACCAACAATCCCAACCCACAGGACACACAGGATCCTTGTCCCGCATGTCTTTTGCCTGTCTTTAAACTTTACATTTTTCGTAATATTTGGAGGGGCTCACAAATGCAAATAAGTTCTAGAAGAAATCTATAAATATTGATAAATATTGATCACTATTGTCGATTTATCGGAATATTATCGCACCTTAATCGATAGGTCTAAAGGAGCTTTGGCAGTCCTGCAATGATTTAAAAAGGATTTTTAATTAATTTTCTGTTTAATTTTTAGCCACACTATCATAAGAAATATATGTGGCTTATTCTGGTCACACTCTTGTCAAAACGATTTCCGCTATCTGTCATCGGAAAATCCTTAGGCTGAGATCCTTCTCCAGCAGTTTTCCACAGTTTCGCACTTCTCCTTGCCTGAGGCTTTAAAGCCCATCATTTTGACTTAACATGGCCAGGGACCTTAAGGAGATTTATAAACAATTCGCGACAACAAATTGCCGACATTACTGTGACCCTAAAAAAAAAGAGGAAGAACAAAAAAAAAAGACAGAAAAGAGAAATTGTGGAGACATTTGCATTTGGCGCGAGCTCCTTTTGTACGAGTATGTTTGATTAATCGTTTTGTCTTGCTTTCGGTTGAACTTTCACCGAACGAATAAAAAAAAAAAAGAGAAACCGCCCTCCACACACACAGACACACATACACGCTGACACTTCCGCTTCCGCCATTAACACATCCGGCTGTGTTTGTGCCCACCGGAAACGTGCCTCATGTCACACAATCCCTCGCTCATAGATACACAGACACAGAGTTCCAGGCAAGGACAATCTGCCATGCATACAGTGGAAAAAACAATTTCTTTTGGTAATCTCTATTAATGTTAGATTTTGGGAATAGGGTGTTCCTTTATTAAATTAATTATGAAAATGTTTTTGAAATATTTTTTTTTATATAAAACTAACATTTTTCTTTGTCCAAATTATAATGCTTGTTTATGATATATATAATATATATATTTTAACATATATTTTCTCTGTGTGTATTACGTCCACTGTCCGGCTAAGAAATATGGTTCATGTTTGTATAATTTTATCAGTGGAAGGAAATCTATTGTTGCCACCCTGCTCACACATACCCACTCCAAAACACACCACACCACTACCTACCTCCCTCCCTCACCCACACACACACACACACACACGGCTGCTGTTCGTTCGTTACTGTTGTTGTTGATGTTGTTCGATGTTGTTTGATGGTGTTGTTGGTGCTTGTTGTGATTTTGTTTAGATTTCTTGTTATTTATTTGTTGCTATTTGTTGCATTAGACAACACACAAATCTAATTTGATTTATTCACTCGCACACACAAGCACACACACTTAAACTCAAGCACACGGACAGGGACACCGACTGAAGGGAAGTGGTTAAGGTTGAGGCTGAGGAAATTGAAGTGATCCCCAAAGGGACAGACCCGCATCCAAACTATGCATATTAAAGTTATGCAAATTCCAGCTTCATATGTAGTTTTTTTCCAGTTAATGTATAAATTCAAGGCTCTGTTTTACATATAAATATATGATATATACATATATATGCTGCCATAAAGATTGCTCAATTTTATGTAAAAATTAAAGATTCCAATTAGCTGCCTTCGTTGACAAAGACACTTATCCAAATTAATTCCTTAGAAAATCTTGTACAAAAAATATATAGTTTGTGTGCTTGAACTAAAATAATAACACCTACCACAAGACCCCTGTAAATCACTACCATTTCTACCATTTAGCGTGACATTAAACAAATACATATATAAATATATTTACACGCATGCATATTGATCTTTTAAAGACGTTTTTTTCAGCGATTAAACACACACAAATAAGAACCTTCTCCAATATTGAACATACTATTAAATAGACCTTGGTTTAGATACCCCCGCCGAATGACCTGTACATTCCAATCGCCCGTTTATCCACAGGCCACATGAGACCCTCGTCGCCGCTGCTCGACTCTGTCCGGGATCAGTTCGAGGACTACGACCAGCTGGCCAAGGACTTCACCCGCGTATTCCTCAACGAAGAACCATCGTGCCTGACCAATGCCCATCTCTTCGACGTAGTCTTCCTGGTGGGCCAGTCCAAGCAGAAGGCGCGATTCATTGGTGTCCGGGCGATACTCGGGGTACGGAGTAGGGTTTTTCAGGTGAGACCTAGAGTGATGGATAAGTTTTAATTATAAAATAATAATAATAGAAAAAATAAATAAATAAAAAAGAATTACACAAAAAAAATAATATATGTATATAAAATATATATATATAAGATTTAAAAAAATATATATTTTAGGGCCACGGTGCGTATGCGCTATAACTTCTTTATACGGAAATCACGTATACGCAATGTTATCCATTGATATCACGCACTAAAATCAAACAAATACCTTTCAAAAATATTAAATATTTCTTAGAAATATTTTTAATCTTAAATTTAAATTTTAAATATTTTGTAGAAACATTTTTCCTAATAAGAAATCCGTATAGAGATGAAAATCCCAAGTAATATATAATTAAAAATACCCAAAAATACCTTTGTCTTTTACAGGAAATGCTGTACGGCATCCAGACTGGCTTCGGATCGCCTCAGATTCCCGTTGCCGAGATCTTTGCCCGTCCCGCCCCATCGCTCGTGTCCCCGCAGAACCAGAAGCCGAAGAGCAACAACTACCTGACCGTTCCCGACTCGGACTCCATACGGCCGAAGAGCGTGCCATCGTCGCCGATGGTGAAGCGGGCCTTCTCCCGGCTGGGCACCATCACGGCGGGCTGGGGCCGGTCCATAAGGAACAAGAACACGAACCAACTGAATCCGGATGACAAGAAGAAGTGGATCTCGTCCACGGACTGTTCGAGTAAGGGTTTTCAGTCGGTGCAATGCAACCATATCGATGCGTGTCTCTTTTCTCCGCTCTCTCTTTTCTCTCCACACGCTGTCGCTCTCTCTCCTCTCTCTCTCTCTCTTTCTCCGAACTCTGTTGCTCTTGCGCTCTCTGCTGTGCGATTTGTCTTGAATTTTCCACTGCCCACATATCAAATATTACGTATACGTCCGTCGTACGCCGTGACCCGTACCTCTCCCATCCCATGATCCCCATTGATCCCGTTAACCCCTGACTCCTGTGCCCTCTGTAAATTACTCGTACTAAACTTACTAAACTAACAAATGTTAATAATACTACCTGCAACGCACGCCGCACATCCTTTGCCTAAGAAAATTTCAATTATTTCAAAATTGAAACAAAAAAATAACAAAACCCTTGAACATATTTAAATATTGTAATTGCGAACGAACACACAATTTTTCCCTATTGTTTTTGTTGTGTTTCCTTGGGTTCCTTATTGTAAAATAACCTTGGTTCAACGATTCAAATATTTTGGACGTGGTTTTTCGACAATTTTGCATTCTCCTTGGATTTCCCAATGCACTTAAAAAACATTCTCATGTTAATTTTTTGCTTTTTTAATTTGCCTGCCTAAAATATTGTTATTTGAGTTGATATTAAATTCCTCATAAATTATTCCTTCTTGAAAAATGCATTTTACTTTGAAAATCACCTAAAACCATGAAAACTCTCCACAACTCACCACCGAAACTGCTTGCATTTTACTGTTATGCGAATATTCTAACCATTGGATTCAAACTCACCACACTGTTTTGCTCTCTTTCTCTTGATCTCTCTCTCTATCTCTTTCTCACTCGCTCTTGGCCTTCCCTTTCTGTCATGGGTTGTTTGTTTATCGTTTGTTATCGTTCTCTGTTTCTGTCTCTGTCTCTTCTCTCTTCTCTCTTCTCGTTTTTTTTTTCGATTTTACAAATATCTATCAAAAACAAACAAAATAATCTAAATTAAACAACAACAAAAATCTTATCATTCTCTCATCTCACCTGACTCGCCACCGCCCACTGCCACGCCTCCACAAATACAAACAAAAAATAAAAAACAACAATAAACTTTTATCGTTTTTTTTAACAACTGACAAATTATTTCCCTTTTTTATGATTTGCGGTTTTTGCTTTGTTATCGTTATTTTCGACAATCACCGACCGTCACTGCTACTACCGATAACCGATAACTGATAACCGATTACCGATAACCGACTACCGATAACCGCTCCCAACCACCACCTCTCGCGCACCACTCCCCAAAATAATGGCGATTGCAGACAGGGACAGCAAGGACAAGGACAAGGACAAGCCGGGCAGCAACCAGCTGGCCGTTCCCCGGCTCTCCGTCTGCGCCGATGCCCAGAAAGTGGACCGGGCCAAGCTGGCCCAAACCGAGTTCAATATTATTGAGTTTGACCCGGATACGTTTCGGGTTTTGCTCGATTACCTGCACACGGGCACCTGTCCGCTCACCTGCGTCTCCATACCAGGTAAATGCATATAGGGATCCAACTCCCGATCTCACTCCTCGTCCTCCATTTCAGGCCTCCTGTGCGCCGCAGAGCACTACGATTTGCCGGAGCTGCTGCAGGCGTGCTTCCACCACTGCAAGCAGTTCCTGCGCATCGAGGTCGTATGCCCGATGCTCATCTCGCTGGAGAACTACTACTGGCGCTACACATCCGCCTCCGAGCTGGTCAACATGATACTGTCGTTCGTGGAGAGCAAGGCGCATGCGCTGTTCAAGTGCCCGGAATTCCTGCACCTGTCCGAATCGATGGTCCAGATGATCATGTGCCGCGAGCTGCAAACGCCGGAGATACGCAAATTCGAGGCGATGCTGGCCTGGGCACAGCACAAGGTGGGCAAGCTGAAGAATCATCCGAACAAGGACACCCAGTTCGAGTTCGAGTGCATCATGGAGCGGCTAACGCGCGATCTCAATTTGTGCCGGATATCGCCCAGTGAGCTGCTCACCGTCGTCCTGCCCTCCAAGTCGATGAAGAACGAACGCATCATGGAGACGCTCATGGTCCAGGTGAATCTTGGCACCTATCGGATGCCCGAGCTGGATGCGTACCGTCAGCAGTTGCGCCAGCAGGAGTCCGCCGAGGCCACCGTCCAGGTCCACCGGGGTGGATGAGACAGTAAGAATGTGAGTTTCGATTTGGAGCAGCAGCAGCAACAGCAGCCGCAGCAGCAGTCCCAGCAATCGGATTCGGAGGCAGCCACACAGATAGCAGCTTCATCCTTGTCCTACACCACCTCCGCCGCCGCAGCCGCTACAGCCGTTGCCACCAGCAGCCCGCACCCACCAGCCATTGATGCCCGCACCGATGCCCGTGCCTATGCCATGGCCTCCTTGGCCGCCGCCCTCGAGATGCAGCAGCAGCAGCAGCAGGATCAAGTCCAGGTCCAGTCGCATCCGAGCTCCAGCTCCGCCTATGCCCGCGATGCCGCCGACGAGGAGGTGGAGCTATATGCCAGCTTTGACAACACACCGAGCACCAGTCGAGTGGCCGCCCAGATGCAGGCCGCCAAGGAGGCGCGCCGGAAGCGCTGGCAGGCGGACGGAGCCAGCGGCAGCAGCGGGGACGGCGGCTGTGCTAGCGGCAGTAGCGGCAGCGGGCGGCGTTACTAATCGGGATGGGAGTAGGTGCCGTAGAAAGTCCCCGAGCATGGAGTGGGTAGTCACAGGGTGTTGGCCATTTAACCTGGTATTATTTTAGTTTATATATTTAATATTTTTTTATATATTTTTAAAATATTCTTTGTATTATTTTCAAGATGATTTTTGTATATTATAATATTATATATTTTTATAATATATATTTCTAAATTAAGTGTTTAAACTTTGTTATTCATTTATTTATTGTTTTACGTTGATATTTACCCCTAAGTCTTTGTGGATATTTTCGCAAACGCTCCCTTCATTTTTATTAATATTATTTGTGTATTCACATGCTGTAAATATAAAAATATACAAAGGTATATTATATACTTGGCATCTCTGGGAACTACTTGCTCCATGTCTCGGGAGAGTGTGAATGAGGGAAGTGCCAGTGCTGTCCAAGTTTTCCACATTTCCGCTTTAAAAGTTCATTAAGGTTATATTGAATTTAAAAATATAAATTATAAAATTACAATTATCATAAATTGAAATTGATTTTTATTTTAAAATTATTATTTAAATATTTAAAAATTAAATTACCATTGAAGGGCTCTCAAAAAGTGTCCTTTAAATTAAAAATTAAATTAAAATTTGTATTAACTATTATAAAATAAATTGATTTTTATTTTAAAATAATTATTTAAATATTTTCGAACTAAATAATTATTGAATTAAAGCCATTTAAGGTTGGAATTTTCCAAGTTATTAATTTCCAAGTTTCCCAGAATTGGTTCTTTAAATTAAAAATTAAATTGAAATTAATTTAAGACACTGGATTACTTGGCAGAACTGGAGGGATATCCTTGTATGCCTTGTACATATAATATATAGTCCTGAGAAACGAAACAAATGCCCTTAATTAATCGGAGAAGTTGGAAAGGTAATCACCTTCGTTTAGCCAGCATTGAGGGATGGCAGGTCCTCTTTTTTTTTTGTAGAAATATATGAGATATAGGAGGATATATGTACTTCCCGCCACAGAGCGTGTGTGTGCCCGTGTGTTTGTGCGTTTTGAAAAATCCCACCGGTCAAGGAGGCGCGCCCGAACCATCCAAATCGAAACTGACATTGTTAACTCTTACATTCACCCCGCGCAATGACAAAAGCCCCCCACTGACGGGGCTAGGAGAGAGCGGAAGGAGACGGCGGCTCCCAAAAGAAAGACACCACCCCCTCCCGCCCCCCTCCCCACACGCGGAAAAGCGGAACAGGACTCCCCCGAACGATCCTACCATATGCATAAACAATAAGCATTTTCTACCAAGTATTATGTGTGTGTTTTGAAGATCAGGACTAGGGATGTTAGGGATATGATTTTTGAAGCTGGAGCAGGAAGGAATATAAAAACAAACGCTTACTGATGTAAAACAAAGACTTAAACTAAAAACAAACCAAAAAAACAACAAAAAAAAATGTAAACAACAAAAAATATATATACCAAAGTGAACCTAAAGTATAAAAAATTTTTTTAATCAATGTTATTGAACCAAAATGTAAGCAGATCAGGAGCTCCTCCTCTTGAGCCCCCGAACAACAAACAAATACTATATATTATATATAACTGAATGTTTATGAGAATTGCAACCAAAATCTAACTGTTTGAATGGCTGCCTGTTTGGTTTTTCCGTTTCTGTTTTTATTACAAAAAAAAAAAAAAAGAGGTTTAATATTATGCATAAGTATCTACGTTTTATTGCCGAACAGAACCCCGGGCTTGCCTTCCCTGTACATTATATAGAAATGAAATCCATAACTAAATGTTTGAGTGTTTTGACCGAAAGAAAAACAGAATCAAACGAATATATCAAAACCAGCGGCACATGAAATTTCCATAGTTTGGAACCCCAAGAAGCCCCAGAACACCTGAAGGAATTTTCCAAACAAAACCGACAGAATATATATAGACCTAGAAGTATGTTTATTATATCTTAAAAAAAGAGAACAAAAAATCAAAGAAATCATAGAAAAAACCCACAAAAGTAACCCTTAATGTGAGCCAGTGTGCCCGCACACCTATCAGTGTCCTTTATATAGAGTACAGTCGAAACAAAAACAGTTGATACCCAGTCGAACCTCTCCTTCTCTCGCAGTTATTATGATTTTATTTCTATTTTTTCAACTCGAAATCAAAGAAGAATCTAACACAAACCAAAAAAAAAACTAATAAAAAAAAACTAAATGTAAACGGCAGCATTTCCAAAAGGGTTTCACATAAATGTTCAAAAACGGCCTCCATAACATACAATATCAAAAGGTATTTTCAATGTCTAACTGTACAAGCAAGTTTATCAAAGTGTCTATAACAGGAGGGGCAGGTCGGTAACACACATAGTACATTTAAGAACAAAGAACCGTGCTTGAAGGGCGACTAAATCTAAGCAATTTAAAGGTAAACCCCGTGACAACATTAAAAATCAAAAGAAGAGAAAATAAAACCAACATAACCAGCAATAACTAAACTAAAAGCTTTTAATGTGCAAAAATAAATTCGGATTAAGGCGAATATATTCAAGTTTAAAAAACAATCTGGAACTGTATACAGACTTGTTCAAAATTTTGATGACTGGTTTAAAGCAAAAATAATTAACAAAAGAGTATTTAAAAAAACAAATTACAAAGCAGCAGAAACGTTCTGAAAAATCTTTTATAAAAAAGGAAACCCAAGAATGTGAAAAGCGAAATCTCCGGCAATTTAAAACATGTTTAAAAAGAAGAGCTACAGACTTTTGAGCTCTCCTCTTTCTCTTTGCCGGAGATTGTGAAATATTTTGAAACCAATTTAACTGAAGGAAAATATACATACAATACAAAGCTGATGAATTTTTTTTGGTTAATTAAATAATTAGCCAGCAAGAATAGCTTAAAGGTTCACCATAGATAGCTATATTTTTACCGTCGCTCTACCGACTCCAACCTACTGTTCGAACTGAATGTAATCTGATTAATATAAATGTGTATTTACCGCAGATATAATATATATCTCTGCCATGTCAGCGACGATAGGTGGAGCGTTTCTATATGTTTGCTCCGAACTTAAATCAATGCGGCTAAAAAGATAAAATCTCGGGTTTTCCGAGGGTCTGTTTTTGATAATAAAACCGGAAAATGATGAAATGGAAAACCAATATCTGGAATAACATATGCAAAACTCAATGTAAAGCCGTGACTCCTTTTGAGCTGATCTGAAATGTGTCAAAAAAAAACATGACAAAAAAAAAAACTAAAACAAAAAGGCGTTTGTTTAATCGGAAAAACTCAATTGAAAGCAGAATAAAGCTAAATAAATGTTGTAATTTTCAGGGCCAAGCAAAAAAAAAAATATATAAAAAATTACAGTAAACAAAAATTACAATAAAAAAATACCACAAAATTAAAAGTATTTTAATTATGGAATTTAGCAACATTCACGCTAAAGGTAAGTTGTAGAGTTTAATTTTCAAAGGCTAAAAAGGGAACTCAACTATCTCGCATTTCCTTTGGCTTGCACATTGCAGGCAAAACGTGTGGTAAAAACAACCCAGAAATAAAAGTCACTTTTGAATTGATTTTGAATTTTTTGCTTTGTTTCTTTTTTTTTGCCAGCGCTTACATAATAAATTAAACATTTATAATAATCAGTACAATAATTCCATTTTTTATGTTTGTTGTTTATTGTTGTATTTGTTGTTTTGTCGGTGTTCCTTGGATGAAATCTGTATAGATCATAAACTAAAACAAATTGCAAACAGCAAATGCAACGAGTGCTTGCACTTCACCCTCCTCCCTCCTCCAATCATCTCTCTATATACAAAGCTACAAAAAAAAATCAATTGATTTTATTATTATCCCGCGAACCTCCTTCGATTTAGCTAGGTTTAATTTTTGATTTCAGAAGAGATACGTTTGTGGGTACAGATACATAGATACAGATACAGATACAGATACAGCATAGACAGCGGTTATAGAGAGAAAAATGGAAATAGGGAAATAGAAAATGTGAAAAAGGAACGAGTACTGGGAGAACAGAATTGCTTTCAACTATTGCACTATTATTTTACCATCGGATGCGTATATATATATATAGATTTGTATATATATAGAACCCTACAGATACACGTTTATATCCCTATGTACAGTTGGAGCCTGGGTAGCAAACCAAAAACTAAAGTATCTCCTGACTTTTGAACACTTTTCGCATCAGTCACCACCGCGCCAGGGCTGATGGCCCGCTCTGGTTGATGACCCTCCTCGTGGCCATGCTTGCTCCACATCCGCCGTATAGAGACTCGCATACGAGCCGCTCGCCGAGCACGAACGCCGACCTAGAGCGAGTCTATTCCGATTGAGCCTGGCCTCCGGACAGGCAGGCATTGATATTACCTCGGAAACTGGTCCTGACCCCAGCTCCTGCTCCTGCTCCTCCTGCTCCTGGTCGTCTCGGGCAACGGCATCATCGTCGAAGCCATACCAACATCACATGACCATGATTTGCAGCGCCACTCATTGATCTATAGTCCGGTAGATGCGTCTCTGTGGCTCGGGCGTATAGTGAATGCGGGTGCGGAAATGCTGCGGTGATCCTGGCACACTCTCCGACCCTCGACGCGGTGGCGGCAGCGGAGGCGAGGCTGAAACGTATCTGAAAAGAAGAGAGAGAGAGAGAGACAGCATTAGCACAATTCAGAGCGAGACCCACCTTCGAGGTAGAGACCCACCTTCGGTGCAGCAACGGCGATCCCCCACTCAGCTCCAACAGATTCTTGCGCAGCAGCAGCGGCGACTGGCCGCGATTATAGCGCGGCGGTGGATCCGGACTGCGGTGCCTTCGATCCAGACCAGACAATATATGGGGACTGGGTGGGGTACTGCTGCTGGCATAGCGTCGCAGGAAGCTACTCGTTCCGCCTCCACCGCCAGGCAGAGGTTCTGTTGTGGGAGAAGTGCTCTGGCTGGTGTTGCTGCTGCTGCTGGCCGCCGACAAGGTGCGATAATAATATGACTTGCTATGGCCACCATTATTCACAATGCTCCTGTAGGCCGGCGGCTGTGGTGGCTGCTGAGCCGGCGGATGCTGCTGCACCTGCTCCTGCTCCTGCTGCTGCTGCTGCTCCAGGCTGGCTGTGGAATTCAATTGGGTTTTAACATAGGTGGCAAACTGTCGCTTCATGGCGCCGGCGAGTGTGTGGAACCAGCCTGTGTGTTTCGGTTGGTTGATGAATAGAGTGATGAATTGGATGATGAATAGTTCGTGATCAGTGCGGAGAGTGCGGAGTGCGGTGTGTGTGTGCAGCAAACGAAGAGAAAACAAAAGGAAAATGCAAATGGAAAATGTTTTGAGTAAACAACAAGCTTAAAAATAGCAAACGAAAGTAAAATCAAAATAATATAGAAAAAGTAAACAAAGCTAATCGAAATCTCCGAAATTATCCTAATAAATCCTTACCCGCCTCCTGCTGATCCCTGCTGTATCCATCCAGGCTGCTGCTACTCGCCCCACTGCTCGAGCTCTGACCCAACAGCTGGCGACGGGCATACAGCTTTCCCAGCTTGCTGCTGCTCGCACCACCACCACCACCACCACCACCAGATCCTCCACTGTAGTCAGCATTCGTTTGTAGTTGCTGATCTGGTGACCTGGGCAGGAGTGTGGGACTGGGCAGGGGTTGGTACTGCAGCTGCTCACCATTCCCCACAGAGCCAAAGTGACCAGCTGACATAGATCCAGCTCCTCCTCCTACTCCTCCCGCTCCTGAACCCGTCGAAGGCGTTAGGCTAACTGCTATTTGCGAGCAAGTTGACTGCGTGGAGGACTGACTAGATGTGGAGTGCGTAGATGGCGGCGGTGCCACATAGTTGCTGTGAAAGGGATTCGTGCTTGTGATGACTGCCGGCTGCTGGCGTTGCTGCTGCTGCTGTTGCTGCTGGTACCGCTCGGCGGCCTCCTTTTCGCGTAGCTGATTTTGTTGATGGTAGAAACGCTGCAGCACTAGAGGATTAAGTGGGTTAAAGAGAGTCTGGAAAGGAGTACATTTAGAGATTTAGTGTCTTACCTATGGGACTTTGATTGCCCGGCTGCAGGCGAAGAGGTGGTTGCTGCTGCTGCTGCTGATGCACGTTTGGCGGCGATTCTGGCTTGCGCTGCATCACAGGTGAGGGTGTGACCAGGCCCAGATTGAGGTTGAGGTTCAGGTTGTGGGTCTGAGGGGCGCTGGCGTTGGCATTAGTACTACTATCACAGCTGTCGTGGGCCAGGGACATGCAATCCGTGGCTGGCAGGCGCCATCCTGTCGTGGTCGTTGGTGTTCCAGGTGAAATGGCCTCCTCCGGCGGCAGTGGTATTGTCTTTGTGGCTGCTACTCCTGCTCCTCCTGCTCCTACTGCTGCTGCTCCTGACGATGATGATGATGATGCTGACAATCCATGGCTGTTACTGTGTTTCTTTTGACTAAAGGGCGATGTGGTTAAATTGCGTAAAATTGTGTGGCCAATGCTGCTGAACATGGACTCCTTTTTGGGACTCTCATCGTTGTATTTATAGTGGGCAGGATGATGGCTTCCATTGCTTAGCTTGCGCTGCATAAACGGCGATTTGCGGTAGAGCTTGTTAAGATCATTGCCCGTTGTTGTTGTTGGCGGTGACAGGGGGCTGGGACTGGCACTGCTGCTGCTCCCATTGCCGCTTCCATTTCCGCCAAAGCAATTGGTAGTTGTTGGTGTCGTTGCTGTCTTCGCTTGAGGTAGTTGTGTGGCTGATTGCATGAAATACTGCGACTGCGAATGCTGCTGTTGGTAACTCGGTATCTGCGAGGGTTTTATTGTCTTCTGAGGGTGATTCTGTTGCCCCTGTCCCGGCGCCCTGCCATACGGTGTTGCTAGAGATCCGCCACCAGCCGCCGTTGCCCTGCAATCAATGAAGGATACATGAGTTCGTTCCGCGGGATCTCTGTTATTAAGTTTACCAATTAAATGAGAGAGCACACTCAAATGTACGCCAAAAGGCAGGAAGTAGAAGAGGGATGTGTGTGTGTGTGTGAGGAGGAGGAGGTGTCCGAGATAGTAGGGTACGGGGAGGATACATGTATGTATGTACAAAGATTGACAGGCGCCAAGGCAACATATCTAAACACATTTAGATGAGCTGTATTGTGTGGTTGTGATTTTGTATTTACAATGTGTGTGTGGTATGTGTTTGCTGTGTGGGCAGAGTTCAAGCGTCAGGTAGAAACAACAATAATAAACAAAAACACTGAAAATGCGGCTATGACACAACACAGTATTACATTTTTGCATTAATGCAGGTATGACACTGCATTAAACATTTTATTAATTTGTCGGCTATGAAACAGTTTTACAATTTTTAATATTATTAAAACCTTGAAAGACATAAATAAATTTGTTTTTTGTTAGTGCGCCTATGGTCACACCGTTTTTGAAATCCCCAAAGCTTAATTAAGCATTTCCAAAGTCCTTGTTCATAAAATGATTTATTTTAAACTCAGAAGTACACATATATATTTAATTAACACAATGAAAACCTTTTCTTATAATAATTATAATTAATTACATTTTTAATTTAGTGTCACAACCGCCTAAGAGTCACAGCAAGAGTGAAAGCGAAAGGTGGATCAACTGCGCGGGCTCCCTTTTGAAATTGATTTGTTAAATTTACAATTTACACTTTTTTGAATAAATTGAGCTCAAAATCAGGCAAATTAAAAAAAAATTAAGAAAAATTAATTTTAGAAAAACTAAAACCCTAAGACTGGTTAAAATCATAAATAAATCCATTAAATCAAGTAAGGCTACCATTTTAGAAATTCTCTAGCTTTACTAGCCCCTTTTTAAACTGAAGTAATGAAGAATGATAATGAATATTTAAGAATATTTGCAGAATAAAAATTACATGAGCTTTGGGGAATTTGAAAAAAATAAGCTAAAGCATAATAAATAATTAAACTTAAAAATAGATAAATAAATGTAAAAATAAATAAATAAATTTAAAAACAAATAAATAAAGAACAATATAAAATTACCTTTTTTCGGTGTATGAGCATTTCTAGATGGGTAAATAAACAAATTAAAAAATAAATTTAAAACCAAAACCAAAAGCTAAGGCCAAGAGCATGCACAGGATAAACCAAAAACCAAATGAAATCTATAATCCAGGCTTGGAAATAAAATAATGGTTAGCAAAGCGTTGGCGTTGGTGTTGTACAACAATTAATGATTAAAAAGAAAACAAAAAACAAAAACATAATTATAGGGTTAATAATAATATGAATAGGAATAATAAACTCGTCGTACTTACTGAATTTTACTTTTAATTGGGAGGAGTTTTTCTTTTATTTTATAATTATCATTGCATTTGACTTTTGTTGTTATTATTTGACTCTTTTTGTTGGCTTCATATATGTATATGTAAATATACATCAAGGATATATATATATATACATATGTATATAGAGTTGATTGTTTATGTCTCGGATATTGGTTGTTGTTTATGTGTTTTGGTTTTTGTTTATAGAGCTTTCTTTCTTTGTCTTCTTCATTTTCAGTTTCAGTTTCATTTTCGCTTGCTTTTTATATTTTGTTTTTGTTGTTTCTGTTTGTTGTTAGATTATGTTTTACTTTTTATGTTTTGTTTGCTTCTTTGTCATATTATTGTTTAAGAAATGGTATTATTATTATTAGGAATTAGGTAACCTACAAAAAATGGTAATAAAAAAGGTGAAAAAAAGGAAAATAAAAACATTGCGCACACACACACTCAAATTACAAATTACGAATTTAATTTATGTGGAAATTAAATGCCAAATAAAAGGTAAGGAAATACGTAAGACCATATATGTATAATTATCTATATAAAAGTAAGAAATGGATACAAGTGGATAAGAGGGTCTTCTAGTTGAGAGAGACTTTACGGGACCAAAAGGAGGAGAGCATGCATGAACTTGCCAAAGAAAAATCCGCCACTAAAAGAAAATTACTTTTAGAAAATCCACTTTAGGTGAAGGTAAGCAAAGTACACAAAAAAAAAAGACTTATTTGAGTTTTACAGTAATTTTCAATCATTTCTATCAGTTTTGGCCTATCGATTGACCATATTTACGTATATCGAGTGGAAAAGTCCGATACATCGACAAAATATTGGGCTTAGCATCGAAAAAAAAAACGTTAAAAAATGTTGTAGTTTTTTGTCTACTCTCTTCCTATTATTTTGGTTTTGATCGATTAATCGCACGTTAAAAAATATATTTTAAAATATGAATTTTCGCGTTATTTAAAATGTATTTAAATAAACGTAAATTACCTTTTAAATTAAAAGTAACTACCTGAAAATTACCGAAAACACCAATCCTTATTTACTTTCTAGCTATAGGTTAAATCTTGGTGTACTTCAAGTGGGACTTTCTCTAGGTGTATTGAAGTAGAAAAACAAATAGAAGACATGCCAAAAAGTACAAATAAAACAGAGAGAAGGAAAAGGTTATTTGTATGTTCAAAAAATTGAATTAAAACAAAGCAGAAAGGTTTAAAGGGAATAAATATAAAAATAACAAGCAGGTTATATATTATTTATATTAGTTTGCTAGCGACCTACGATCGGGCTTAGTTGAAGCTTTCCCAGCTTTTCCTTTCTCCTACCTGTTGGACTCGCAGAAGCGCAGAAAGCAGAGAGCGGAGAATGGAGAACGAGGAACGGAGAACGGAGAACGGAGAATGGAGAACGGAAAATGGAAATAAAAAAACTGAAGGCAAAAAGCACACTCCATATCCAAGCACACCCACCCACACACCACTCACACACACACACACTTCAGCAGAGACTGGGGTCATTGGGTTATTGCTAAATATTTTTTGTAAAGGATCTGGATCTGATGGGATTGGTCAAAGATCTCTCGCACTCACCTTTTGAGCGTGGTATCGCCGCCATTGGCGCGATGCCGATTGTCGACGATGCTCTGAAACCAATTGGGTACATCTACTTTGGCTATTTCGTACGTCCGGATAAAGGGCTGGGCCAGCAGTTCCGGATACTTGGGTCGATCCTGATGGTTCTTTGTGAGGCTGTCAGAGAGGTATTCATTAAATCGGTATTTAATGTCGATTAGGGCAGAGTACTTACCACTTCTTGACGAAATCGCGAAACTCCTGACTAAAGTTAAAGCCCTCACCGATGGGCAGGCATGGAGGCTCCGAGTCCAGTACCTTGGTGAGCACCTCAAAGTCCGTGTTGCAGCCCTCGTACGGGGATCGCGCTGTGGCCAGCTCCACCAACGTTATGCCCAGCGACCAGACATCGGCGCGAATGTCGTACTTTGGTTTCTTTGGATCGATGCGCTCTGGCTGCAGAGGGAGATGAGAGATATATAACAATATCGTATTGAAAATATCGTATAAATAAGACTTACCGCCATGTAAGCTGCACATCCTGCAGAACGTGTGTTCGCCTTGGAGTCCACCAGGCGACCGCTGATCCCGAAATCACAGAGCTTGATATTGCCACGCTCGTCGATCAGTATGTTCGAGGGCTTAACATCCCTATGAATGACCCCGTGCTTGACCTTCAGATACGACAAGGCGTTGACCGTCTGCGGAAAATATTAATTAATCGATAAATCTCCCTTTACCAAAAGAATCATCAATATCCTACCGCCACTGTGACCTTGCCCAGTATCTGCTCCGGGACAGGCTTCTTTGAGAGCTTTAGCAGCTTGTCGAAGCACATGGACATCAGCTCCATGCATATCCAAACGTCTGGATCGCGTACGAAGCACCCCAGGCACTTGACAATATACTTGCAATCGTGCGATTTAAGCACCACATCCAGATCCATCAGAATGCGCTTGTTCTCCTCGGCGTTGCCGGTACGACGCATTTGCTTGACCGCAATGATCATGTTGCTGGACAGGTGCATCATCTTGACCACATTGCCGCTGGTCCCGTTGCCCAGGTCACCCAAATGTTTCAGATCATTGATATCCGTGGGATATTGCCGCCCGTTGATGTTCAGCTTGCCCGTCTGCTCCATGATGATCTTAAGTTTCTTGTCCGTCTCCGTCTCCGACGGATGCGATTGCTGTAGGAGCGGCAGGTTCATGTGACGCGGTCGGTGATAGACACCGCTGGCTGGAAGGAAATAAGGAAACGCGGTATAAATATCTAGCGGATAAGAGAAGAGAGTACTAAAGAATTTAGTATCAATATTATTATTATCTGATTATGCAATTCTTTGGAAACCCATAAAAAAAATACACAATACAGTTTTTACCTATCAAATCATAGCCTAGAGCCAAAACTATAATAATTAATAAATAAACAAACAAACTTTTGATAATATAATAAATATATTGTGCAGATTTTGCAAAGATCTTAACACTCAAGGTGAAGTTGGCTTCGAATTTTGCCAAAAACAACAAAAAGAACTTTTTCACATTTATTTATTTATTTTTATTTTATTTGTATGTTATTTTTATACCCTTGCCGGGTATTATAATTTCAGTCAGAAGTTTGCAACGCAGTGAAGGAGACGTTTCCGACCCTATAAAGTATATATATTCTTGATCAGCATCAACAGCCGAGTCGATCTAGCCATGTCCGTCTGTCCGTCTGTCCGTCTGTCTGTTTCTACGCAAACTAGTCCCTCAGTTTAAAAGCTATCTAAATGAAACTTTGCATATAGTCTTCTATATGCTCTCACTGCTATATATGTCGGAACGGGCCGGATCGGACGACTATATCATATAGCTGCCATACAAATGTTCGATAAAATTTTAGAAAAAAAATTATAACTTAGCTGTTTTTCAACATATGTGCACTATTTTTTACATATGACCATTTTATATTATTTTTGAATTTTGGTAAAAATTTTATGAAAATCGGACGACTATATCATATAGCTGCCATAGGAACGATCAGGAAATTAATAGAAAAAAATTATAACTTCGTTGTTTTTCAAACTATTTTTATCTACTCTGAGATATAAGCTTATTTTATTAGTTCAGAACTTTTGTATAAATTTTATGAAAATCGGACAACTATATCATATAGCTGCCATATAAACCGATCGGTAGGTATAGGGAAAATGTAAAACTGGGAATGTAAAACTGTAACTGTCAAACTCTCAAGGTAAAATGCAATGAAATAATATCTGCAAGGGTATACAAACTTCGGCGTACCGAAGTTAGCTTCCTTTCTTGTTTATTATTATTTTATTTTTATTATTATTTTTGTTTTACTTTTATGTTTTTATTTATTTTTTTATTATTAATATATTTTTATTTAACCACTTCTTCAGTCTATCAGACAGGCCATTTTTATAATCTTATTGGATATTGGACTTTTTTTAATAGAATTTATCTATACCTAATCTGAACCGTAGAACTTCATTTATAACGAGAAATACCAACTAGTCTCTAAAACGATCAAACAATTTTGTTATTATTATATCAAATAAAGGCCCACTGTGCCACTTGAATGTATGGGAGAGTGCGTGTGGGTGGTACTGTTACTTGTATCACCGTGTGTGCGAAAGAGAGACAGAATTAGAGCGATTTTGTTTTTGTTTGCGAAGTTATTTTCACTGGCAGAAATTGAAATCAACAATTAGCAACTACAACAAAAGGCAGTCATAAAAAAAACGCTATTTGTAAACATGCGAAAGAGGAGACACGTTGAATGGGCGAGGAAGGAGAGGGCGCAGAAGAAATGCGAGACCGAAATATAATAATACCAACAACGTAAACAACAACGGCAGCGAGCGAGAGAGCGGGCATATCAAGGCATTACTCCGGAAATGCCAAAAAAGTAACCAATAAGCCAGGCAGCCAAAAAGAGACAGGGAGAGGGAAAGAGTCGCACACACACACCAACACGCAATAAATAAAAAAATATAATCAAACACTTGATGTCCCATGAAAACCAATACGAAAATTTATCAAACTAAACATAAATATGGCAATGCGACGAGGGTTAATCGTAATAAATATAATCACATTTAAACACATCGAATTGATGTTTTTCCTTCATGATTTGTATCGATCAATATGGTAAATATCGATAATAATTGTGAAAACTAAATAATAACCATAAAGAATAATATAACATACATTTTTTAAATTTAAAATCTGATTTTATCATATAAGACTCTATCTTTTCCTGGTATTATTATCTAGTCAGATGCTTGAAACGCAGTGAAGGAGTCTTTTCCTACCCTATTAATCAATCATATATATTATTGATCAGCATCAATAGCCGAATCGTTTTAGCCATGTTTTGCATTTTACCAAAAATTAATTTCGTTGAAATTTACAAAAATCAACAAAAATTTAAATTTTTAAAATTTTACATAAAGTATGCAGAATTAGAAACCTTATTAAAACTAACACAAATCAGCTTTCCGAATAGAAATTAATGGATTTTTGGCTGAGTTATATATTTTTTAAATTTACGTTTTTTCCCAAAAATGATTTTAAAAAATCCTCAATTTTCCGAAATTGTATAGGGGGTCACTATTAATTTGCTAAAATAAAATAAATATTATTCGGAAAACATTAATATAAAATTAGGTTAAATTTTTACGAAATGCTTGCAGTTTTATTATTTATATTTACATCCCAATTTCTACTAATTCAATACGAACTCAAAGAAGGCCTAAACTAAATGTTAATATTCGTGGTAGCTTTTTTTATTGAATTTGGAATTTATGGACACTTTTTATACCAAGAATTTATTATCTAATCAACTTTTGTACTCAACTATTCAAAAACTCATTAACATTTTATAAACTTTTCTGGGTACTCCTTTAGTACTAAACCCGGTGGTGAATTCGTGGAAAACTCGGTCACCTGCACAATTTGTGTTTAATCTTATCAACGTTTTTGGCAACTACCAGGAGAAAAAAATTACCAGAGCTGCGCCTTTTTTGGAATTATTTATATATTTGATTCCTTGTGATGCTAGGATTTAGGATTTAAGCTTGCTAGGTTAGAATATGTTTTAAAAGTTAACTAATAAATGATTATATTGAGAACGATATTATGGAAGCTTTTCTGTAGAATCTAGGGAGTATATCTAGAGTCAAGATATTGTATATCCGTAACTACAACAGCATAAGTTAATTCAATTGACTTTTGACCCAATTATTTATCGCTTTGATTATACGATAAAACCCCGTTAAGGTGTTACAAGATGTAGGTAAAAATTCGGGTTTAGTACCTGAAACTACCTCCATTAATCTATGGGTTGGATAATTACAAGTTCCACTGTTCCATTTTTGTATTTACTTTTTGGGCCAAAACGAGTTTACTTCTCGAACTTGGCGGCCTGTACGGCCCTGTCTTATCTATGCAATCAGGGGAAAAACAATGCGGTGAAAAGTCAGGGGTTGGTGGGTGGTGTTTCGGTATATACGTGCTGGAACAAGAGGGGATTATGAGCAGCTGTTATGCAGTCCGGGGAATCGATAGCGGTTGCCCTTTGTTGACGGAATTCAAATGCTCAAAAGCCAGCCAAGAAGCGAAACCAAACGAGCATTCCTCTTATCACAAGCCAAACACAACAGCACACACACGGTGCCGTCAGTGCCTATTGGGCTATGACAATTTATTAACAAAATATTGACACAAAAGCGCACAAAAGATGGGTCTGTGGCTTGCGGTTGGCGCATAGGCGACATAGATATTTATATATATATTTATTTTTTTGTGACCATTTTTGGGGATCACGACTTTTCCCAGACCCCTTTTATTACCACTACCAGCTACAGTTGCGGTCAAAATAATAGAAATAATAAACTAAAGCTACAATTTAAATTTGATTTCATTTTTTTCATTTTGAATTTTCTAAATAGTTTTCAGATCTTAAGATATATTAGGATTTCTATAGACTTCAAGTAGGCAGTTGCGGGAGCTGCCGCCTGTTGCTCTTCTTTGGAGGCACGCAGACCCTTAACTAGGAATGATGGGCACCAGAACCTGGGCCATCATCCTCTTCCCCTTGAACAGGACATAAAAGTCCTCCATATCGACTATAGGTTCTTAAGTTTTTGTTACTTCTCAAAACTTGAAACCATTTCCTACTCGCTTATAAACAAAAGCCAAGACAAATGTGTTGAATTCACAGGAGTTACTTAAGAAAACCTTAAGAAAATAATTGTTAATTTTCTACGAATTTCCTAATGATCTTCAGGGAATTCTACAGATCGTCATATTACTTTGAATCAAATACATAGAGCAAATTAATGTAATTAAGACCTCAAGAAAGCTACTAGCAAGACTTCTTATCTGAGATATAAGATTTCCTTTACTTTCCTCAAAACCCAACTTGTGGCTTATAGATATACCCAATTTAGGCTGCTATCAGTAAACTTTTAAGGGGTACCTTTTCCAGACCAAATGAAGGCGAGAAACTTGGCTCTAACCGAAAAGGGACTTTCTTTACCCTCTCCCCATAGATCTAATTCTAGTTAAGTAGGACTTACCAATGGGCAGACTGGGCGTGGGACGCGGACTCCTGGTTTTGGGCGGGACAAAGGATCCGCTGAAGGTGCCCGTTGCCGCCACCGACGAGGAGGAGGAGGAGGAGGATGGAGCCATAGCGGCGGACGATGCGGCGGCGGAGGAGGCAAACACGGATAAGCCAGCGGGTGCTTGCGCTGACTGAGGAACTGGAGGAGCTGGCCGCTGGGCTATGCTGAGGCCGGCGGACGTCACAGGCGAGGCGGCGGACGCAGATGTGGCTGCAGATGCGGATGCGGGTGGTGGCGGAGGAACACGACGCGTTTTGGAGAGAACGATCTGCTCGTGGGACTCGTTCTGGGCCTGGAGGGCCGCCTCCAAGGACTGCAGGCGGCTGCCAATCGTCTCGAACTCAATGGTCGACATTTTGCGCGCTCCTTATATATATATTTATATATATTAATAAATTCAATTATTTATTATTGTTGCTGCACTTTTCAAGCCGTTTTGTGTTGTTTTTGTGTTTCTTCTCTTTTCGGCGAACACTTCTTCGATTTTTTCACACACACACCGACACACACGCACGCACACTGGCGCTGTCGCTGGCGGGGGAGGGTGCGTGTGTGCGAACCGTTTTGTTGTGCCCTCTCTGACAGGCTGTGTGTGTTTGTGTGGGGTTCTTGTTGTTGCTGCTGTTTTGATATAGTTTTTTTTTGCGGGACACACACACGCGCTTTTTGAACTTTCCCACTTGCACAAATAGCGGATAGCTGGATTTTGTTGTTGGCGGACACACAAAAACAAAAAACAAAATCGAAAAAGGAAAACACAGTCACTGTGACAGAGAGGGACACAAAACACACACACACGGACAGCGCTCTCTTTCGCTCTCTCAGCAGTAGCCAGTGGTAGTGGTAGTAGTAACAGCAGCAATAGCAATGGCAACAACAACTCGCAACGTTTTTTCGCTAATTTTCGCTTGGCACACACGAAGAATTTAGCTTTGGGGATTTCGACTCCTGCGCTCGGTTGGGTTTTTGGCCGCGGGCGGCGGTATCACTTGCACAATTCTTGCACTGGATTTTGTTCGATTTGCGATTTCGCGTGTACAATCCAAAACAGTGTGACCGCGGCGAGACCACTGACCTGATACCGCCTGCCCAGCCACGGAAAACCCTCAAAAATACCAAGAACTAGTATAAATATACCGCATTGGCGGGGCAGACCTTTCGATAGTTTTAGTTGTGTTTTCCCCTATTCGAAAGTATTGCCGAAAAATAAAAACAAACAAAAAACATTAAATTATATAGGAGATCCTTACAAAATATTTCCAGAAATTACATTGTTAAATTGATGTGTTCTTAAATAAACCCAGTTAATGCTAATTGGAAAAATATATTGCAGTATTTATCTGCCAGCCCTGGCGGTATATTCTATCGTTATCGGCGCGGTCACCCTGGTTGTGTTTTGTGTTCCTTTTTTTTTCATTGCGAGGAACGTTCTTTGCGGTGGAAAAGGCGAGAAAAGCGTGAAAAGCAAACAGAAAGCGAAGCGGCCAAAACGGAATACGCGAACAGCGAATAGTGCAAAAGGTGCGCAAAGCAAACGAACACAAAACACGCGCCACCCGACAGCGGCTCTTATTTGATACCAAATGTGGTAAAAATAGCTGAATTAAGTTCCGCCATCCACAGAATCGGCGCCACACACAACCCACCCGAGGAGCGAGGAGCAGAGCAGACCCCAGTGCCGAGATCAGAGCATACCCACGCCAGCCGCCGTCATGTCCAAACGTCCGCGGCCAATGCCCATTTCCATCTCCAAAGAACCAGAGCAGCCAATGTAAGTTACCTACCCTACATCCCCCTCTTCTTGCTCTCTTTTCTCCTCATTGTCGCCGCTTCGCTTCGCCTTCTCAGTGTACCGCCGCGTAACCTGGACTCGCGCGCCACCATCCAAATTGGCGATCAGACCTTCGACATCGATGCCGATAGCCTGGAGAAGATCTGCGATTTGGGACGCGGCGCCTATGGCATTGTGGAGAAGATGCGGCACCGGCAAACCGACACAGTGCTGGCGGTTAAGCGGATACCCATGACCGTCAATATACGGGAACAGCATCGCCTTGTCATGGACCTGGACATATCGATGCGTTCCAGCGACTGCCCCTACACGGTCCACTTCTATGGGGCGATGTATCGCGAGGGCGATGTCTGGATCTGCATGGAGGTGATGAGCACGAGTTTGGACAAGTTCTATCCGAAGGTCTTCCGCCACGATCTGCGCATGGAGGAGAGTGTCCTGGGCAAGGTAACTAGCATTGGTGAGCATTAATTTACATCATAATCGAATTTGTTTCTATTTGCAGATTGCCATGAGTGTGGTGAGTGCCCTGCACTATCTGCATGCCCAGCTGAAGGTGATACACCGGGATGTCAAGCCCTCCAACATATTGATCAATCGCGCCGGCCAGGTTAAGATCTGTGATTTTGGCATCTCAGGTGAGGCATTGCTCTCTGTCTCCCTCTCTCTTCTATGTTTCTCCTGTGCTCATCTCTATTGCTCTTTCTCTCTTTCTCTGCTCTCAAGGCTACCTCGTGGACTCCATTGCCAAGACCATAGATGCCGGCTGCAAGCCGTACATGGCCCCGGAACGCATCGATCCGCAGGGCAATCCGGCGCAATATGACATCCGCTCGGATGTGTGGTCGCTGGGCATCAGCATGATTGAAATGGCCACGGGCCGGTATCCTTACGATAACTGGCGGACGCCCTTTGAGCAGCTGCGACAGGTAGGGATTCCTTCGATGTACATATATCTACATTTATGAGCATAAACTATAAACTTTCTTTAAAAGTATAGAAAATTTGATGTTTACTATAATTAAGATTTAATTCCCTCTCCAGGTGGTCGAAGATGATCCGCCACGCTTGACGCCCGGCACCTTCTCGCCGGAGTTTGAGGACTACATAGCCGTTAGCCTGCAGAAGGAGTATACGGCGCGACCCAACTACGAGCAGCTGCTGCGGCACAGCTTCATTGTGGAGCATCTGCAGCGCAACACGGACATCTCGGAGTTTGTGGCCAGGATACTGGACCTGCCCGACATCCAGCCACCGGCGCAGTAGGGTTTTTTTTTGTTGCCCGTATCCCCATGTAAATTGCCGGCGTCTTCTTCTAAAAAGCATGCATTTCCTACATGTGCGTGTGTGTCCTCCCTACCTCCCCCTATCCCCACCCTCCCCCTTCCCTTCTAAAAATAATAACAAATGGATAATCCAAGGAAAAGCAAAAGAAAATCTAAAAGAGCATCGAGTTGGAAGCAAAGCGTAATTATTAATTTTTAAGTGAGAACCAAAAGCAGAAGCAGAACAGCAAAATACCTGAAGAAGCAACATGCCACATGCAATATGCAACCTTTTCGCCTTGCAAACGCTCAAAAAACATAAAATAAACAAACCGAACGAAAAACCGTCGTGCCTCCCCAGCTGGCGATGCTGATGATGTCTTAAAAAAACATTAAGAAAAGAAAAGGTTTAAACATTTAAATATATATATATATTATAAAAAGGAAAAATCGTGAATAGCTTAGACAACGAAGCCAGCAAACAATGAATGTAAAAAAGCGCCTACTAAACTCTAATGGTAAATTGTCAACCTTTTTGAACACCAAAATAGCCGAACAGAAAGTGTAACTGTAATTATAATTGTTTAACAAATATACATTACGTGAAATAGCTAATTAATGTGGTCAGTTGTGAGGGGCTTAAGCAGCGCTGGGCAGCAGCAGGTCGTCCAAAACACACAGAATTTGTTTTTGAAAGCTCAAGGCATTGAACATTTTTCTCTATTACTGGTAAGTATATATAAAAGTAAAATATATATATATATATATATATATATATATATAGACGTATGTAAGTATAAATATAGTTAAGTACATGTACAGCTGTGTTCACGGAAATAGCAGTGCCCAACGACCTGCACGTTTAAGATCGGAAAATCCTGTTACAAACACTATTTTCATAAATTTTTTTTCATAAAGGCTTAGTGTATTTAATTGTTAACAATACCACAATCATTTAATTTAGGTAACATAAACCTTTTAGAAGATATAGCTAATATGAACAAAAAATGTCTATATTATGCCGTTCATTGAAATAGCAGTGAAAAACTAAAATTCTTCATAAATTTAAAAATATCGTATAAGAAACCTATTTCTTCTTAAGTTCTAATTGCCTATGATCTAATATTTTGTTAAATAGCCTTTAGAAGCTATCATAGCCTCATACCTGGGTGGCAAGGAGTCCACCAAGTCTTAGCAACGCTTGAGGGGAATATGGCTTCATTCCTCCTGCACAAATTGCCAAAGATGCGGCTTAGAAGTCGGAAACTTCTCTAATACGTAGCCCTTGATGTCCCCCATAAGTTTTCGATCGAATTTATATCCGGGGATTGTGCAGGCCCTGGCATTGCATCCACTTTTCCATTAAGAACCCACTCCTTGGCCACCTTGCTGGTATGATTAGGGTCACTGTACTGCTGAAATATGCAAATTAATGGACAATTTTCCTCAGGATACGGCTGCAAGACAGTTTTTAATATTTGGACATAAACATAATGGTCTTTGATCCCACAGATCATATATACGGGACCTACAACGTTGTATGAAAAGTATACCCATACCATGATTTTTAGGCCACCGTGTTTTACTGTCTTCAGCGTATGGTTTGGGGGGTACTATGTATTTGGAGGTCGACGGACATATTGTCTTGTCCTATTCCACCAAATAAAACCAGTTCGGAGTCATTTGTCCAAAGGATATTACGCCATTTGAATAGTGGCAGTTCAAGTGGCTATTGGCGAACTCCAATCTGGCCTTGATATGCCTTTAACCAAGCAGTGACATTTTCCATGGACTTCGCGAATCTAAAATTTATTCAATAAGTCCCCGGCGAATGGTCCCATGACTGATTCCCATGCCAATTCCCGCTCATATATCCCTAGAGGATGCAAAAGGACGAGCTTTGCTGAAGCGAAGTACGCGTCGAGCCTGTACAATTGTGGTTTTGCGAATCGTACCTTGGTTTTTTTGGGTTCGGTTCATATTTTATGACTTATAAACTATTTTAAAAGAACAATTTGAAAGATTTGGAGTCTCTTTACATGTTTTGCCCTTCTTTCTAGGCTAAGTAATCTGATACCTTTCTCTCATGGAGCAGTCAGGTCCTGCGCCCACTAAAATAATTTTTTTTTGCGTTGTAAAGGTGTATTATAGTATAAACTATAATAACGACCTTAATTAAAGTCATTTTTTACAAAATTAAAAGAAATTTCGGCACTTTTTGCGAAAGAAAATTAAAAACTGCTATTTCAGTGATCGGCCAAAACGAGCTGCATATGTGAAAAATATCAATAAAACATAAAAATAGAGCAAATCTAACGGAATTTTTTCTTGATTCTTATCTTTATGTTCCATTTTACAAAAACAATGTGCAATAGATCAGCTTGCAAAAAGGAATATGTACAAAAAAACGTTTTGAAGTTGTTCCTCTGTCGCACTGCTATTTCAGTGAACACAGCTGTATAAGTCGAATTGTTCAGAAAATTAATACAAAAATGTATAAAACTTAATAATTTCAGCATAGTTTTAACATTTGTACTCTTAGATTTTAAATTTTCTTTATAAAACATTAACATTATATATATATATATATATATATTTTTTTTTTTTTTTTTTAATTTGATTAGCTTTGCGGATTTCATGCACTATAGTTTTTTTCTGTTTAAAATTTTGCAAATATTTTTTATATAATTTTTAGTTTTTTTCCAAGTTGTTTAGCAGTTGATAGATAGAATTTGCCATGTTTTTTTTTTTTTTTTTTTGTAAGGACAATAATCATTATAAAAGAAAAAAATCATTGTTTAATAATTATCTACTGATTTTAATATATTTTTCTAACTATTCATAATTATAAATTCATATTTATTTAATCGCTCAAAGAATTATTATTATTTTGAGCGAACAAATAGCACTAAAAATATAATCATTATTTTAAATAATCGTTATTTTTACACTCAAAATAATAATAATAATAATAATTTTTTTAAGAGTTATTTTTTCACTCAAAATAATAATAATTATTTTTTGAGCAATTAAATAAAACTTAAAAATTAATAATTAAAATTAATTTAATCGCTAAAAATCCAGATTTAAGCAAGTATTGTCTAAATTGTAGCCTATTGGTTTTTTTTATCCGGGTTTTCCAAGTGGATGATTTTTTTGTTTAAAAAATAAAATAAATAAATAAAAATATTGATAATCATTATTTATGGTCCCTGGTTTATTAAACAAATTAGTTTCTGTTTTTAGCTACTTTGTTTGTTAATAAAAAAAATTGTAAAAAAATAATAAAATAAATTAATAATAAAAATAAATGAATATATATTAAATTGATAAAATAAAAACCGTTGAAGAGTTTACCGATTTTCATTTACTAGCTGCGTTCCAGCCCTCGCTGGGTATTCTATATCGATAGATATAGAATACTCAGCTGTTGCAATGCACTTTTTAGGGATGCATTTCTAGGGGGTTTTAAACCGAAAAAGAAAATATAGAATTTGAAGAAACACCTTATCCCAAAATGTGTGTATTTTATAAATATTTTACCAATTTAACTCTTAAGCTCTTAACAACCCCTTTAAATGCATCTTCCAGTACGCCCCTGCTTGGTGATAAGGCGCTTCTCCTACTCCGATATTTCTGTCACATCCCTAGCGGCGAGGGGTCATAAAACCCCAGCTAATCTGGAACCATTCCCCCAGCTACCATCGGAGATTAGATTTGCCAGAGAAATAATGGGCAGCGCACGGAACCTTCTGTTGCTATCCTCGTCCCGTTTGCATGGGCATGGATATTTGGAGCACGCCCGCGGACAGCTGGAGGATCTCTTCAAGGGGTGAGCCAGTCCAGCCATCCATCCCTCCTTCCTCTTATTCAAAAATCTTGTCTCTCCTGTGTCCAGAGCCAGTGTCAAGACCGTGCTCTTTGTGCCCTACGCTCTGCGGGATCACGACAAGTACACCGCCACCGTTCGCGATGCTTTGCAGCCGTGGGGCTACACCGTGGAGGGACTCCACACGAAACCGGATCCTGTCCAGGCCTTGAGCACAGCCCAGGCCATCTTTGTGGGCGGTGGCAATACCTTTGTCCTGCTGCGCACCCTCTACAAGCTGCAGCTCCTGGAACCCATCCGTGAGCTGGTCCTGCGCCGCGGCCTACCCTATGTGGGCAGCAGTGCCGGCACTAATGTTGCCACACGCTCCATACACACCACCAACGACATGCCGGTGGCCTATCCCCCGAGCTTTGATGCCTTGGCCCTGGTCCCTTTCAATATCAATCCGCACTATCTGGATCCGGAGGTGGGTAGCCAGCACAAGGGCGAGACGCGGGACGAGCGGCTGGAGGAGTTTGTGGCCTATCACCAGCTCCCGGTGCTGGGACTACGCGAGGGCACCAGTGTGCGTGTCGAGGGGGAGAAGGCGACGCTGCTGGGGGATCGCAATGCCAAGCTTTTTAAGGCGTAAGTAGGGGAATCCTCAAGGAAATCCTAAGAGAATCCCAGGAGATTCCTAGAATTATATATTCTTTCAATATTTTTCCAGCGATGGCAATACCCAGGAACTGGCCCCCCAGGCGGATCTCAGCTTCCTGCTGCAACAGGAGTAGAAGAATAGCAGACACAGGCACTAAGGATAATATCTACATTTATTGTACACAATTTTTTGTATTATTTTGTATTCTGCAATAACAACAATAATATTCCTAAACGTACAGTAATTCTAAACTAACAACTAAAAGTAAAAAAATGGTTTCTTTTGGGGGAAATTAACCCTCTAGGCCTTAAAAATGCCTTGAGGCCCTTATTACATTATTCACAATTTCAAAAATAATATAAATAATAATAAAATCAATATTAAAACAATGATTTCATTTCCATTATAGTGGAAAGTGGCACTAGAGGGTTAACTGTAGCAATAAATTAAACGGATTTAAGGCAGAAATAATCCTATTCGATGCTAAAATGGTATCAGAGGCATATATTATATAAAAGACAAGTGAGCGAAACCGGTAATATCATTTAGAAAGGGTTTCCTTTAAGGAACAAGTAAGCTTTTGTCGTCTTAAAAGTTAGCTCCCCAGGAAATAAAGTGCAATGTCAAGTCTCTTCTAGGTTTAGGATACTCTGGGCAAGTATGTTAATCTCCTTAAATCTAGACACACACACACTTTTGAGGCAAGGCGGCATCTGTTCTCTCTCTCTGGCTAGCACTTAGCTTAATTAATTAATTATTATTTTGGGGTTTCAGTAGGGGAATCGTAGTCGTAAAGTTAAAGATAAGTATTTACATTACACCATTTTGAGCATTGAATGTTTCACTTTTAAAAGCAAGCAACAACAGGAATTGCCTAGGTCTAAACTCTAAGTTTCGGTTTGAGATAGGTCTGCTACAGGATGCTCAGGGGGGGCTTATTATTATTTATTTATTTTTATTTGTTTCAAGGAGCTAACACAAGTCCTGTATAAGATCTAGATCTAGACACAAACAGACTAAAGGCAATCGAATGAATAAGATGCCTAACGGCAAAGCTATACTAGAGCTTACTTTAAGCATCTTATTAATTTTATTATCCTTATCACACTCTCAGGCACACACACACACACACACACACACACACACGCGCGCGAGGCATTCAGTCAGTCACACCTGGAAATCTATGTGTAAGTTTAAAAAAAAAGGAACTGATGATATTACAGGCAGGCGCTGGAACTAGAGCTGAAGCTGTAGCTGTGTGTGCTATTTGTGAAGAATACTTTTATCCTCGTAGCGTATGATGGCATCGCCAATCTGCTTGCGCGACGCCAAGTGGATGCACTGCTCCCTGCCACAGCGCTCTGGAAGACCGCTGTCCGCTGGCAGGGAACCGCCCCGCGCCAAATGGTTGCGCACATTCTGGCCAAAGCGCAGATTTGGCTCTACGCCGCGCAATATATGCACCGAATGCTGGGCCGCCACAAACATGTCCAGGATGCTTTCCACCCCAGCGGGTCGCGGTGCAGCCTCACCTGTAGACGGCGGCAGCAGCAGCTGATCAATGTCCAAATCGCTGCGGATGATGGGCAGGCCCTGCGGATGTAACAGCTTACGGGCTGTCCGAAAAGAAAAAAAATTCTGTTATAAGTACAAATAAATCTCGGAAGGATTAACCCACTCACCCTGCACATAGTCCCGGCTGTAAAAAGCTATCACATCGTGATTCCTGCGATCAAAGTAACCGCTGCTCTGGCTCACGTCGCAGGTGTCGCACTCCCGGCAAAACTGCGCCCAGCGGCACGGATACATCTGGAAGCCAATGGGCGCATACACCTGGAAGCCCTGGATTGTGTTCATGCGCACCCGGTTGAGGAAGTCCGCCTTGAAGCCCATGCCCGGTGTGGCCAGCAGCACCAGGGACTCAAGTCCCAGCTTGGGCAGGGCCAGGTCGGCCACCACCAAGCTGAGCAGCTGCCGCGGCCCGTACATGGAGGCGTGCAGGAGCCAGGCCTGCGGATCTACCGGATCGCTCAGCTGCTCCGGCAGACGGATGGACACCCAGGCTATCCGCGAACCATCCGTTTTGTATTTGGAGGAGAGATCCAAAGCCAGAGTTTTCAAAGCCTTGAAGGGATCCTCGTCGCCCTTGCTGGGCGATTCCAGACGATACAGGAAGATCTGTGGGGGTTAGATAATTATTATATCTAAAGATTCAACCCTTCACCGCCATCTTACCTGCAGCAGGAAGGTGTTGTCCTGGTTCTGCATACAAATCCGCTCGTACTGCTCCACAAAATCCAAGGCATCGGGCACCTGATGCTCGAACGCCGGCATTAGCATGGCAATCCGTGTGCTCTCCGTGACATAGGGCGAGGGCACCACTTCAACACGGCCCAGGGGCTTGACCACATCAAAGCTCTTGACCAACTGCCGGCGACTGCGACCGGATCCCTCCACCAGGCTGAGATGCAACTGATAGTCCATGCCGCGGGTGGCATCGAATTTCTTGTAGGCACTGTGCAGGCTGTGATAGCTTAATCGGGGATGCTTGAGGGCCGCATACTGCAGGGCAATCTCCAGGACCTTGGCAAAGTCCAAGGCCTCGATACGTGAGAGGGGGGCCACCGCATGCTCGGCATTGCCGTGCGGCAGGAAGCTGTGCGTGGCGTTTAGGAGTTGCCATGTGAGGATGTCGTGTCGCGTCTCCGGCGCACTTGGCGGCGGCACACCCAGCGGCCACCGGATCTCGAGGATCTTGTTTGAAATGCTGCCATTGGCAATGCGATATGATTTTTGTTCCAGCGCATAGCCGCGCTCCTGCACCAGCTCCAGGTGATGCTGTCCAAAGATTATTTAATTATTTATTTATTATTTATTTTGTATTGTTTATTTTCTTACCTTGGAGTAGTAGGCGTGCAGGCGATAAAAGTCTTCGGGCGTCTGAACGGGATACACGGTGCTGGCATTGCGGAAGGCCTCCTCCTTGGCCAGATCGCTAAAGTCTCGATGTCGTCGTCCTGGAGCATCCAGGGCATAGCTATACTGCCGCATTCCCTGCAAGAAATGAATATAATGAAAGCCATTTAGTAGGGAGGAGAGCACAGCGCCAGTTGGCCAAGGTCAAGGGCAAGTTCTGGGTCTGGGTCTGGGTCTGGGCTGGGTCTGGGAATCCCACGGCTCGCTGCCAGATGGGGATCTCTCTCTCTCTCTCTCTTTACGATCCATAAAAGCCGAGCGAGCGTAATTAAATTAACAATGTCGCTCTAAATGGAGCAGAGGATCGGGGTCTGGCTGTTCCCTCCTCTGCAGTTTCTTTCTCTGGGGGAGTAGGAGTAGCAGGAGGAGTAGGAGGTGTGGTAGGATCATTAAAATTGCCGGCGCACATTAATCAATTCCCCGCGTTGCAGTGCAGCAGCGTCGTAGCAGCTTTGATGCCGCCGTTAAGCAAACTCTCTTGGTCAGTTAATTAAACGGAAAGGGTGCAAAAAAATATTTAAAGGAGGGGAAAAACAGTCAGGCTTTTGTTTAAACAGTTGCAGTCAAAAGAAAAGAAATATCTAACAAAGATTGTCTTTACAATATATATGAAAAAACTGGGTTTTAAGGAAAATATATAATAAATAAAATATATATTTTACCCTACATCTGAACTAGAACCCTTTGGGAATTATACGTGTCGATGGGAGAGTACATTTTTATATATTATAAATTGTTATTATATATGTGAAATAGTAATTGATTTTAATATGTTACCTCTCTATCCCCCAAAATAAGTTATGTTTATTGGAGTCACAAGTATTTAAAGTGCTATTGTGTTTACCTCAACTGTACCGGGGACCACACATATCACATAAATCATTCCCTGGACGCATAAATAATCGCGAATCCACAAACAAATCCAACGGAATCGGATTCGAAACCGAAATCAAATGAACATGAGATGCTCCTTATGCTCTAAACAAAGTTTATTCATGTCTCTTCTGCGAAATCTAAGCAAAACTGTGTGTTTATATACAAAAAATAAGTATAATCAATAGTCAGAAATGATAATGAGTAATGCAAAAAAAAAAAAATCGAAAAGATTAACTACAAACTTAAAACCAAAAAAATCTTTGGAAATCAATAATAAATTTTTGTAAATATAAATTAATAAACATTTCAATTAAACAAACTTAGAAGAGGGTTTACACCAAATACGGTAGTCTCTGGACAAGGATAAATCGACTCGCCTGCTGATGCATAAAAGTATGGTACTGGGTATATAAAAATACAATATTAAATGGTTTATATCAAGGAATTAAGAACTGTTTTCAATCTTTGATTTACCGAAATAAAAAGTTGTAAACAGTTCTTCGCTCGACTATTCTGGCAGCTGCTCTCAAACTGTCACGTCGCGAAGTTTAACACACAACACACACCCAACACATTCACACAGCACACACACACTTAATCGACGGCTGAGAAGAAATTGTGTTGTTGCTACTCGGAAATTAAATAAACTGAGTTGTCCATCAACCTCTAGAGATGCGCGAGGATGGTTTCTTTACCGCTTCCCGCTCTGATTTTCCCCTCAACGTATTTATGCTTTTTTCCCCCACAAAAAAAATATCTGACGCACGTTGTTGGGTGTGAGAGTACTTGGCTACTTGTTTTCATTTCGGTTTTTTTTTTTTTAAATTTTTTTCTGGGGATTTTCAGGGTCAAAGAGGGAATTTTTAGGTTTGTTCCAAAAGAACCTATTAACTAAATCGGGGTAAATTACACTAAATGTATTATAAGACATATAATATTATTATTGAAAATAATTTTAAATATTCTATAAAATATAGGAACTAAGAATTCAAAATCCAATCCACTGTTATTGTATATCAATGAACTGATTTCTTTCCTAAAATTGAAGTACTCGTGTGTCTGTGTGTGAGTCTTTTTAGTCAAAAGCAAATTGTTTAAATAAATAAATAGGCATGTAGGAAGACGGAACCGAGCAGAAGCTAACTGAGAAGGTATTAAAAATCAGGCTGCGAATTAATTGAAGAACGCACAATGCCCACCATCTCGGAGTCTTTTCGGTGCCAAGTCAGTTCGTATTTGGATCGAAGAGGGTAAATATATTTAATATATTGGTAGCCAATTATTTGTACTTATTTGTATGGAAAAGTTTAAGCTTTGATTTGTGTTAAGTCCAAAGTCTGCGTTCAGATTATATCACATTTAATGATGAATGTACATATTGTATTATTCTTTTATTAACAGAATGCGAAGTTCATAACAAGAAACTCTCTCTTTCGTTGGTTTTTGCTTGTACTTTGCAGGCAAAGAGAGAGAGAAAGAGAGAGAGAGAGAGAGAGAGAGAGAGAGAGAAAAAAAGGGAGCCAGAAAAGCAAGTGTAAAGCGAGAGAAAAAAATCAAACAGAGATTTTTTTAAAATTAAATTATTAAATTAATGTAATTATTAAAAGAGAACTCACTTGAAAACTCTCCTGGCAGCCGGCAACCCGACTGGCATACTTGACGCACCGCCCTATGTTGACGCTGTGGTCGCCAGTGCTCCCGATCCGGACGCAGCGTTCCAGATTGTTGCGCATCTTGCGGATAACACTGCTGCTGAGCAGAATGCCGGCCTCCAAGGAGCAGTAGTTGCGATCACTGACACCAGGTGGCACCTGATCCTGATCCGGATCCAAATCCTCACCAGGTGCTGGTTCATTTGAACGAGCAGTCAGACCGATACGGGCACCACCCATATACAGATCAAACGTGATGCTCATGTGGTAGAGGAGCTTGGTCAGCTTGCGGGCATCCACGTAGACATTGTCCGGGACCAGCAGGAAGTAGTCATACTCATCCAGGTAATTGTCGGCTATGTACTTGACCACATGGAAGGGACGCCGACTCTCCTGGGTGTCCGTGAAGCCGACAATGTTCTTCAGCTTGTAGTTGGTCTTGACGCTGTCCGCGTAGATGAAGAACTTGATCTTGTTCACCAGGTGGGCGGTGGTGCGATTGAAGGCAGTGGCAAAGGTGTTGATGTGCTCCTGCGAGGTCATCACCCCAATGAAGATCTTCTCGCGGATGCCCAGCTCTGAGGAGTAGTATCGGGGTCGAATCACATTCTTTACCTGTCCGGAGATAACGAAAAATATATGTAAATTTAGTTTATGAATTAACATTAAAGAATAAAGATTTAAAAATAATTTTAAATAACTTTTTTAAACTAAAAAGTGAACCACATAATGGAGGGAATCATATTCTTTGGAGCTTGGGGAAATCAAAGGCCTGAGGAAAATGTTTGGATTCGTAATCAGAGCTGGCATTGGCTTCCCAGAACCGATTTCAAGGAGATCTCCCTAATAAAGTTCGTATATCTCAAGTAGATCGATCGGGTCGGGAGTCACGTCCTGGGGCAGAGCCAAGATATTTTAAGACAGTGTATCATATTACCCAGCGCAGGGAAAATGATAAGCAGATAGCTCTATGCTATGGACGTGATCCCTAAAAAGTTAAAGTCAAAAGTTGTATTTGATAAATGAAACACAAGTGGCTTGCCCACCTGCCAATTTGTATTTTTTTTATATTTGGGGTCTTTTATCTGCCCAATTACATCAATTCCTCCACGCTTATGTACTTATGGCGACTACCTCATAAAGCGAGTACTTCAAGTGGTTCCCTTTCCTTCTTCGCTTGGTTTTTGTTTCGTTCTTTGGCCACTTGGGAGAGGCAAGGTTTTAATTTGTATTTTTTGTTATTCTTTTACTACCAAGTAGATGACTGTTCAAAGTTTGAGGGGGCCGTTGAGGAATTCCCCTCCGCGCGAATATACATAACATATATCCATTATCTGGCAGCGAAACAATTTCCGATTGCGTTTCTCAGAATGCCCACAAACGATGATAGTGTCACTTTTAGGGAGTTAATGCTCTCTGACATTTGGATGGAATATTTCTAGTTATTTATTGTGTCGCAAGCAAGACATGTGATTGGGCTCTATTTTTCCTAGTTTTGCACAAGGAAAGGGTTAACTTTTTGCCAGTAGCTTTGAAAATAGAAAACTAATCGAATAAAGTCATCGATAATATCTAAGATAAGCCTAACAATCGATGACATTTAAATTTTTTGGCGTACGATATATATTTTTAATTTTAAATGGCAAACTTTTTTAAATTTCCTTTAAAAAAACACAAAAATCCATAAACAAAATGTTTTAAAATATATAAAAAAGACTAGTACTTGGCGAGTAAATACTTCCTGCATAAACAAAACTCTTAATCATTTTTACTGCGAAACTAATAATTTGTTTTGCCTAAAACTTTACGTATTGCCAAGTATTTCGGCTTGTGAGTCACTGTGCAAGGTGCTTGGCAAAGATTTTCGAATGGGTAAACACTCATTTAGCTTGGCCCCCTTGGCCAATTTTGCATGCATGCCACTGACTTTGTTGGGTAAATTATTGGGCGTCCTCCGAGACGGAGACAGAGACCGGCAATTGACCCTAAGAGATGCTCCTCCTATAGCTATAGCCACCTGCTCTGGCCAGCGAAACTCCACCTGAGCTCGTTAAATAAACAAAACGCCAATTGCCGGGTTGTGCAATAGTCTACAGGAATTATGGCTAATTAAAAATCATTCCTAATAGATTTTTAATAACTGCAAACAAGCTGTTTGCTGCCAGGTTTATATATATGGCATAGTTAAGCGGCGGCGGCGGCGGCGCAGGGTCAGAGCTTCTATTAATAATATTACTTCATGTTTTTTTAGAAAAATACTCTAAAATTCTGAGGGAGGGATCATGGCCATGAAATTGGTAGAAATAAAAAATCTATAACAGCCAAAAATTCATTAAATTCAAATTGGAAAGCGGGTTCGTCTTAGTTTTTAAAAGATTAACAAATCTGTATACTAAATTTAAGGATTTTTTAAATTGCATTTTTTGTCGATTTTTTTTTTTTTTTAATTTTAACGATGTAACCTCTTATGAAATTAAAAAAAAAAATTTATACATTTTTTTTCTTTCCGAAAAGTGCTAAAACGATTTGGCTGTTGATGCTGATCAAGAATAGCGTTTTTAGCATTAGACTAAAATTAGAATACCCTCATATCATTATATTTTTGTAAACTTTAAAGAGCATTAAACATTCGCTTACCTAAATTTTTGATTTTCCCCTTCGATTTGTTGTAATAATTCTTAATTTTTTAATTTATGATTGAAAACACACACTCATTGTTAAATTGTTTTTTTGTGTTTGAGTGTTTTACAGTCCTTGGATCTAAGGCAATATTGAAAAATAAAAACTAAACAAAAAATGGACGTTGTTAGCAAATAGACTCGTCTGTGTCAGCAATTAGCAGTGATCATCTTAATAAATATAAATACATAATTAAGGAAGCAACTGATGCTGGGGAAAAAGGGTAATCAATTCCAAAATCGTAAGAAATGATTGTTAAGGAAATAATTAATAATTAAACAATAGTTTCAAGTACTTAAAATTAATCAATACAGACATAAATGAAGGCAATTTACGATTTTAAAGCTTAGTTAAGATAGTTACTCCAATTACAATTTACAAATTACAAATTACACTTTTATTTCTGTGCCTTTGACACTTAATTTCAATATCGATTTTGGATTCAAATGAATTGCAATGCAGCAATGGAGTACCCAGTACTTATGCCATAAATGCAGTCGCTGGTGGTTTAATGGGTCCATGTGGCGCTTTAATTACCACGCTGGGGTCACAGCTTGATCCCATCGCCATCGTATCGCATCGTAACGGATCGGACCAAGTTCTGACCTTGTGCCAATAGCACAGACGCGGACAGACAAGGCCGGGGGAGGTAGGGGAGCAGGGGAGGCAGGCGCAACGCACATTTGCCAATCATCAACTGTGTAAATATCGGGCGAAAGGTAAACCGCGGGTAAAAATAACAGAAAAAAAAAAAAAACAACACATCCATTTCGGTTGAGTTTTTTGGTTTTTTTGTTTTTTTTATGCGTTTTGTAGCGATTTTTGGGTAAATAAAAATGCTTTTCGAATTATGAATGATGCATTGGGGAGATACAGTGGACCTTTGGCTATTTAAGGCACGAAATAATATTTTTAAAATTAAATAGAAAGTATATAGCATATGTATCCTATGAGTTATATTGTTTTGAAGGGATCTTATATTGCTTAAGCAGGAATCTATTTTTCGAGAAATAAAGTCTTATAAAATATAGAAAAAATAATATATCGCGTAAACTATAAATGCAGTATCCATTTATTGATATTTTGTGAAACTCTTCCCATAGCAAGAGCAGTTACAAAAACAACCTGACCAGAATCTAATATTTTTGATATTTAAAAATTCGATAAATCAAAGGTTACGAAATTTTCTATATCATACTGTGTACGATATTTAATTTATCGATTTATTATAATCAAATAAACCAAACTTTAAAAAAAAAAATAATTAAACATAAAAATAATTATAAAAATATTATAATATTATTTGTAAATATATAAATTAATATTGTGGGACATTTCCACTGTAATTTTTAATTCCGTAAATTCCGTAACAAGGCCGGCCATCATGGAGAATTCACTAAAAGGTTTGTTCACCTGAACAATGACTTCGCATCTTTGAATCGCTCGAAATTCCACATAAAATGCTAATAAATTTTCCCGGCAGCTAAGGAAATCAAGGAAATCTGCCTCGAAGAGCTCGTGGGCGGCATGAGGAATACATATTATAGGGGTGAAAATATATAACCAAGAGAGCCAGTAACCAATAACCTTGTGACGTAATGACAACAACGGAAGTGAGCCAAAATGTTTCAAGTGAAAAGAATATAGTATATAGAGGTGAAGCTAACCAGGCTAACCAGTCCTTATCGACGGCTGCCTTATCTGTAGATATTGCCAAGACGACGTCACCGGCAGCCGAAACAACGGGAATACAAATAAAACAAAAAACGACAGCAACAAAAAACAGCATTTCCAATTTCAATTTCCATTCGACAAAAATTTAATTAAACACACACACACAGATAGGGAGATTCCATATTTGTTTACTCGCCGCCCTACTAATAAACCCCATTCTTTGATCACCTTCTGGCGGCCAGACAAAATATTAATAAAGATTTGAAATAAAAATGTACGAGTCTAGTAGAATTTTCAAATATATTTTTAATTAAGATTCAAGTACTTACTGTTAGAGAATAAATGAAACTGAAGGTTAAAAAATAAAACAAATATTTAAAAAGAAAATCGTTGCAGTTGTAACATTAAAAATTGATTATTACTTATAATAATAAAAAAAATACATCTGGAAGAAAACTAAAAATCAGAAACTAATTAATGACAGCCCTAATGTGCTCAATAGAGTATAAATATACGATTCGTTTCATAATTGAATCAATTACTTCAAGCTAACCCCAGTGTCTTGATCCGATAATTTAAATAATTGACATTAAATACAGTTCACTGACGTCTTTCAAGGCTATAGAGGAGGCAATAAATAACAGGGAGAGTGCATTCAGTTAATCACTGGTATTAGTATCGATAATACGGCTATTAAACAGTCACCCAAACCGGATTCAAAGGCAATAGATCACTTTAACCGTTGACAAATCGCTCGATTCGCTTCGCTTCTCTTCATAAATTAAGTATGTCGAGTATGTAAAGCAGGCTTAGTCTTAATCGCTGGCTAAATATTTAAACATTTCGACTAGCCTCATTTCTGCCTATCATTACACGGTGCTTACGAGGGCAAACACAAACTAAGTAGTGGCCATATAAAAAGTAGTACTACTCACTTTGGGGCTATATCTGGAGATTTATTGCACCCCCAAAGCCGACGACAACGACGACGACAAGGGCCATATAATCACTCTGTGGATTTTATCGCGTCCTAAGTTCAAGTTTAGACCAAACCTGAATCATCAGGAGGCGTCGTCCAAGGGGTTCATTTTAAATTACACAATATTGCCACAAGCTCACACGCACTATATGCTTGGAAATCGATTAAAACAGATTAGTTTACTAAATATTTTCCTAATTATTTTGCTTATTTATTGGCTTTAAAGAGACCTCAATCATTACTTTATATCTTAAACTAAAAACAAAGAAAGAAATATAACATTAAAATTTCTATGATACGAGTTTCGGATTTATTTAAGCCTTAGTTTTTCCAATTTCCTTTACGGATCAGGTGTATATATGTATATATATCCTCGGCCTCGGTAAACCTCGACTTGTTTTCCATTTCAAGAGAGAGAGAGAGAGAGAGCGGGAAACTGCAGCTGCAAATTGTATTGGATGGGACAAATCTTAATTGGGACAAGTGCGAGTTCTCCTCCGTTCGCTCGGATTAGTCTCGTATCGTCTCGTCTGGCGACGCTTGTGCCAATTGATGTGCCCTGTACTATGTACAGTCTGCCCTCGAATAAAGGCCATAGCAGCGGGCACCGGAAATGCGACGCGCTTTTCAATTAAGCCCACGCCAAGACGACGCTCTGGCCGATCCGGGTGAGTTTCAGAATCCATAACGTTCATTACATAGATGTGGAAATGTAAGCCTCACAAACTCCGGTCTCCCATGGCTAGCCTCTAATCATTGTAAATTAAATTCGAACAAGTTGGTTTATATTTATTAGGCGACTTACTTTAGACTTAAACTACTAGTTTATTACGGACTAAATCGAAAAATTCTTGGGCTTAATAAATGCATTTAATTCGTTTGTTTAGCGAGGGCAAATATTTAATTAATTACGAGACAAAATGTGATAGGTTAAGACATGAAATATAGTTAGGCTTCTAATTTAGTTTAATTTAAATCGATGTATATCATTATTTTTGTATAACTTTTCGGATAAATCAAAATTTAAAAATATCATAACTAAGCCAAAAATTTAAATTTCCATTTTAAGGAAAAAATCAAAATTTAAAAAATCTATAACTCAGTCAAAAATGCATTAAACTTAATTCGGAAAACTGTTTTTTTTTTAGTTTTTATAAGGTTTATAAATCTGTGTACTAAATTTTAGGGTTTTTTTAATGTAATTTTTTTTATCACTTTTGAAATTCTTAACGATGTATAAAATTATGAAAAATATATGAAAAAAATTATTATTTTTCCGATATAGCTAGAAAAAATCGCCTATTAATGCTGATCAAGAATATATGTATATGATTTATGGTGTCGGAAATGACTCCTTCACTGACTAAAATCATAATACCCCACTGAAAGGGTATAAAAAGACTAAAGTCTAGACCAGAGTCTGAGACTCTTAAAAGGTGCATTAGCACAACTTTAACTTTAATTTTATTGCATTTTTATTATTTTTTTATTTGCTACTTGGTAGATATGCTTTCTGAAGTGACAACCTGTTAACAATTGAGGCCTTTAGCTGTTGCCAAGTTTTGTGGTTTCCTTAATTTACATCCCCCATGGGCTTTTTTCTGATAATGCTTAGTCAGGGATGACAATTTCGATAACATAATGATCATCTTTGTAATTATTTCACTATGGCTTAAATTATTGAATCTTCTTATCGCTTGTGATATATATTTTCTGGTACAAAGATTATCGTATCTCTGCCAGGGGTTTGCTTAATATATATGTCTGTATATATACATACATAGGTGTATTAGGCGTGTTATCGAATTATACAAATTTTAATAAACCTGACTTATTGCTTAACATAACAGAAATTCTTTACCCGGTTTATATTCAGATTACGCATAATCTTAAAAAAATTATACCGAGAGGATTATCGGAGCGACATTGGAAAAGGAGGTTTTATTCAGTTATTGGATTCGTTTTCGTTTTCAATTAAAATCTTAGGCAACCTCTTGCCACCCGTACAGCCGATAAGCGGTTTTATTTATAGACCTAGTGCTAGTGCCAGCCAGCTCCAGCTGATAATAAGTCGAGCGAAGAAACCGAAAACCCATTGATCTGCTCGCAACAACTATTCTTTACTATTCTTAATAAAATACATAAGCACGGGAAATTTTTAAAAATATTTATACACATAAAATTTGTCTAGGCCTTACTTGCCGCCGGAATGCATGCCAGCCGAGAGCATGTACTTGTCGAACAAGTACTCGCCCACATCGCTCTGGGCCCGCTCCAACTGCCTTATAAAGTCGGCCAGGACCTTCTGGCCATCGACCTGCTCCTGCAGGAAGTTCGCCTCTATAAAGTCACACAGATTGGGATCCGACTCTTGGCCGGCCAAGGTATGCAGATCGAGCAGATGCTGGTTCACCTCCAGCTCCATTCGCAGGGCGTGCCTCAGCGCCTCTAGAGAGCTGTCAAAGCTTGGTATCGGCTCAGGGACACTGCTCAAGATGATCACTCCACCGCGCTTGTTCATGTACTTCATGATCTTCTCGGCATGCTCACGCTCTTCGGTGCTCGCCTGCAGAAAGAAACCGTGCAGGCCCGGGGAGCTGATGTCCGACCTGTCAAAGTGGTAGGCCTAAAGGAGGGGATCGATTTTAAAATGGGTCTACGATGGCCCGAGAGCTCTCACCATGGCCAGGTACTGGTGGCACGCCTTCAGCTCCATGTTAATCTGATCGTTGAGCTTGCTCTCGCAGCTCTTGGCAAAGTTCTGGCGCATCAGCATGCACATGTGACGCCCTATGCTTCGAAAGGCCATTCCTATTCCCATTTATTTCCTCCACTTTTTGTTAATTTCATCTGAAAGCCAGAACACAAAGAGAAGGGCTGACTGAGTTGGCAGCTTGACGCCAGGTGTCGAGAGATTCGATCCATCGATCTCCGAAGGGGTCACATCATCCTATCCCCTCCTAGGTTGGGAGTTCAAAGTGCTGCCGGCTCTGATTTCACTTAACTTCCACTTAGCAATACCGTGTACACAATAGTATATACACACACATATGTATATGTATTATGTGTAGCTCTGTTTCCAGATATGTTTGCTTTAACTTCAACAAGCACACACCACACACGGGCACACACGCGGGCCACGCTAAGTAAACCCAGTTATTGTCTTTTATTAAGTGAATGGAAGTCGACTTTTGTCCGAGTTTTGTATAATCTCGACGTTGCTCTTTCAGAGGGTATTGGCCCGCCTTCAGGTGCAATGTAAATTTGTTAATATATTAACTAATATTATATAATATAAAGAAATTTAGAGAAAGCTCTATTGATTTATGGGGTATTTTTCGTATTCTTTTCAATTTTTTAAATGTTTCAAATACTAAACTTTAAGGCAGAGATTGTACTCTCTTATTTGCTATTGCTTGTACATTGCAGCCAGATCAAATATAACATAAGAAAGGTAGAGAGATTAATAGAAAAAAGATTGCCAAAATAAAAGAGTTCTGTAACTAATATTTTACAGAAAAGCATGTAACACCCGTAAATTATGATACATTTAAAGGGTATTAGTCATGTCTATGCTCTACACACCCACTTCAAAAAGAAAAACACTCAAATATTATATATTTTATACTTTATAATTTTTTTCAAAGGAAGTTTACTGATGATTTTGATGGTTTGAGAGCTTGAGTGTTATACTAAGCTTCAGGGTATTGACAATTTGACGGTCACTTGAAAAACTCGAGTTTAAATTCTGAGACACGCGTGCGAATGAGTCGTAGACATTATGATCACAGCCTATAACCATCCCCAAACTGACTGACCAGACAGGCATACACTCTCACACACACACACACACACACACACATTACGCACACACCAGGGAAATGGTGACTCTTGAGACCATGTGCGCCTCGTAAAAAAGGCAATAATAAAAAAACAACTAAGCATTTTCACCACCGTCTGTCTGAGGGGGTAAACGAGCCGAAAAAGCCTCTTAAAAGTTATGCAAATTACCAGGGAATTTTAGTAACTAACCGAGAATTAAACATAGTTTAAAGGGTTAGAAACAATCTTAGTAATAATTTTAATGAAAGGGGATTACTTCTTGAGACTTGAAAGCTGTTTTAAAGTTCTAAAAATTATTGAAGAAAAATGATCCACATTTTGGCGGAGGCAATTGACGAATTATGTTAATTGGGAAACAGGTTTAGTTACCACAAAATCAACCCAATAATTTCATATTAATCCTAATTTTTTCAGCTCGAAAGTCAGGCGTATATTTAATAATTAAAGCACATAATTCAATTACGTGTTTGCCGCCATTAAAGTTCAAATTGGGACGAGTGTGACAGCTTCGGTGACACTTTTACATCACCTCCGAAAACCTCAAAAAAAAAAATTATGGCAAGACAATCCAGTTTGCGTTGTCATAAAAACGTGCAACAAATTATTAACAATATAAAGCCAGAAAAAAAAAATAAATTTATATGTATAAACGCAAAGCTCAGCATATGGAATCAAAAGTGGAAAAAAAAAGAAAATAATCAACATAATTTGCTGAACATGAGGTGGAAAAAAGCGTACGTACGCCATAAGAAAATATTTAATCGATTTGAGGCTCTTTTTTTTTGTTCATGCATTGTCCAAGAAAATGTTAATTCATATAATAAAATATGCAAAATTATTAAAATTAAATATTTGGTTTCTGTGTCTAAATAATTTTCAGAAAAATAATATTAAAGTAAACGTAAGAATATTCCCAGGAATTAGAAGGTTTTTAAATATTTCGAAGAATATTTAAAATTAAAATTGATAAAGAAATTTCTTGGTTTTATTCATCTTTTTAAAACCAATAAATTCCGCGAAAAAAAATCGGAAAAATCGGAATTTCGATAAGCTTTTTCAAAAACAATAATCACTTTTAGCTCTTATAATTTTGTGAAATGTTATACACTTTTTAAGGTATACAGAGAACAATGAGGCTACACATGAATCCAGTTACTCATATTTCCTAGAACTACTTTTCTTAAAATTTCTTTTCCATTTAAATCTAATTAAATCAACCGAAGCCCAGGAAAAAAATAAATGAAAAGTAAAGAGAACTTCGGTTACACGTTACGGCTTTCTGCCCAATAAATAAATAACAATAAATAAATAAATAAAGAAATGGGCGTGAGCAATGGGCGAATTTCAGAGTCGATAAGGAACAACAACAAAAACACAAAAAAAAAGTATATAGAATGACGTCTGAAAAAAATTGTGAAAATTTGACACTAGGCAACAGGGTCGGTCTCCCAGTCTCAGTCTCCGGCCTCAAGTGATCCAACGGGGAACAAGGGGTCATTGCACCCGGGAAATACTTTAAACAATATGTGAAACAAAAATGCTCGGTGTTAATTACAGGGCTCGCTCGCAAACTGTAACTGGTTGATTAAGAGGGGGTTTTCTCTTGAAATCAGAGAAGGAGCTCCACATGTGTTTAACGACCCACAGAGCCCGACAATGTACATACATATACGTTTATACTTTACAGCCGTAATACTAAATCCAATATTAATAATTGAATACTTTTTGTTTTATTGAAGGGTTACTAAGTTCTGAAATCCCAGCTGTCCAGTGTATTGTTCCAGCGATAAGCAGGAAGGTCAATAAATCGCTATCAGCAGCAGGCACTGATGTCTGATGTCCGATGCCTGATATATGAGACTTGAGAGCACGCTGCCGCCGCCAATGACGACGACGACGACAACGGACACATTTGCATTTTTGGGTTAGCATTTCACGGGGATTCGGATTTAGGAAATCGGATATTGGAGGCTTGCTTTAAAAAAATCATAAAATACATATCATTTATTAAAGTAGTTCAATCGAAAATAATGTTTGAGTGTAAGCTCGCTGGCAAAACAGCGAAATGAATCAATTTATAATTGATTTAAAATATGTATATTAATCGATTTATAATCTATCAATTAGAAAAATATATACAAATTGTAATATATTTCAAATATAGTGAAATGTAAAGATGTAAAAGAGTTTGAATAAATATAAATATAAGCTGGCAAAATGCCGGTATTTATAAAAGTTTCCGAAAAGCATTTCCTAACTTAACTTTTTAATTTTAAATTTAATTTAAAAATAATGCTTGTATGTACATATATTAATTAATGTGTTCTCATGCTAGAATATTAAGATATATTTGAGTGAAACTTTTACCTGATTTGAATCAGGATATACGGAAAATTTCAACATCTGCATGTACTGAAAACAAAATATGATAAATGAGCGAATAATATTAATATGAATTTATTATCTCATGCAGGTAATTATCAAATTGTGTAGTTGTACATTATATTTAGATATAACTGATAGAAAACGATATGGGAAACACATAAAACCAATCAAACACAATTCAATAACTAAAGAACTGAAGAAATCGAAAGTTAATTTGATATTTTCAATGTTTGTGATATTTTATGAGGAATTTTTCTTGTTTCTTAAATTTCCCTTTTGGACTTCAAATAAGGATTATATTTATATTTTCCTGCCTTTAAAAGGATTTTTTTAATATCCTAGCTCTTCAACAAAGCCCCAAAACCGTCTCAAGTGTAAATAACAATTTTTAGAAATAATAATATAATTTGGAATAATTTCTTATTTTATATGAACATAAATACATATATAATTTATGGAGTTCACACCTGCTTCTTGGCCTCCAGCGGCTTATTGATGAGGTTCAGATGGGGCTCAAAGTCCTGGCCAAAGCGCTCAATCAGCAGATCCTCAGCGGCCTCCTGTGGACACTCCTCCTGCTGGACCAGCTTCAACACGTCCGGGATATAGCAGCTGAGCAGGAGGCCCAGGAGCAGGCCGACGAAGAAGTGTTGTTTCCGGCTCAGCACGGCGACTGGTCTCCGCATGTTTCCCACCTCCTCTTGCCTCTCCTCCTTCCAGATGTAGATATGTGCTTGTGTGTGTAGAGGATATCGAAAGGGAGCTGGTAGTGGCTATGGCAATGGCAATGGAAAGGAGATGAAGATGCAGAGAGGGGATGGGTGAGTGATGCGTGTGCGAGGAGGAGCAAAAGAGAGAGAGAGAGAGAGCGGAGAAACTGGTGTGCAGAGGAGAGTTTAAGCCAATTGTCATATGCACATTTTCGCTGCTTCTTATGGCACTTGTTGCTGCTTCTGTTGCTTCTCCTCCTTTTTGGTTCCGCTTCGGTGGCTGCTTCTCCTTCTGGTTTTTTCCTGCCTTTCCTTGATCTTCGCTCGCCTTCTTTTTGGATTCCAACAAGTGCTCTTGCCGCCGGGCCTGTTTATTTTATTTTTGGCACTTTTCGCTCTCTTTTCGCCGCACGCACTTCTTTCGTCGCTCTCTTCGCGGTTTCTTTTCTTTCATTTTCGATACATTTTCCGTTCAGAACACCGCACTGGGACAGTTCATTTATTGAACCCTTTTTTTCACACCAAACAATTTGGCGCAAAAATTTCGTATCGCTTCCAGCGCGCGCCTGGTGCGGGGGGTAGTGCGGAAAAAATAATACAAAAAAATTCGAGCGCCGGCCCGGTTCCACTGCGCGAAAAGTAAACAATAAATTAGAGCTGGAAAGATCTCGATGTCGTATCACAATCGATATTGACTCGTATATATCGATGTGGTTTTCAAACATCGATATTTTTAGTTAGAGACACGATCGACAAGGCGCGGCGTTGCCAGTCCGCACAACTGTCACAGCAAAAAGGCGCCAGAACGGAGAGGGTGCGATATTACACGATAGTTTGCGATTCTTTCAGAGTTTCGGGAGCTATTTAATTTCCAAAAACTCTTAAATAACTAATAAAGCTCTGAGTATATTTTTTTATAATTATTATTACTATTTTAAAATAAATTCTTTAGCGCTACCGATGTATTTATAACATCGATAGTATCGATAGCGAGATCGCTGTTTTTGCAGCTCTGGAAAAGGCGCCAAAACGCAGGGGCACGCAGCTGTAAATAGCATTTCGCGGACACAAACAACAAATTGCGCGTTCAGTTTAGTTTATTCACCGAAAAAGCGAACAACAAACACCATGGATGTGGCAGATGCTCAGGTCGGCCAGCTGCGCGTCAAGGACGAGGTGGGCATCCGAGCCCAGAAGCTGTTCCAAGACTTCCTCGAGGAGTTCAAGGAAGACGGCGAGATCAAGTACACGCGGCCGGCAGCCAGCTTGGAGTCGCCCGATCGCTGCACCCTCGAGGTGAGCTTCGAGGATGTGGAGAAGTACGACCAGAACCTGGCGACGGCCATCATCGAGGAGTACTACCACATCTATCCGTTCTTGTGCCAGTCCGTGTCCAACTATGTCAAGGATCGCATTGGCCTGAAGACCAACAAGGACTGCTATGTGGCCTTTACGGAGGTGCCCACCCGGCACAAGGTGCGCGATCTGACCACCTCCAAGATCGGCACGCTGATCCGCATCTCCGGCCAGGTGGTGCGCACCCATCCCGTCCATCCGGAGCTCGTCTCGGGCACGTTCATGTGCCTGGACTGCCAGACGGAGATCCGGAATGTGGAGCAGCAGTTCAAGTTCACCAACCCGACCATTTGCCGGAATCCCGTCTGCTCCAATCGCCGTCGCTTCATGCTGGACGTGGAGAAGAGCCTGTTCCTGGATTTCCAGAAGATACGCATTCAGGAGACGCAGGCCGAGCTGCCACGCGGCTGTATACCGCGCGCCGTGGAGATTATACTGCGCTCGGAGTTGGTGGAGACCGTGCAGGCCGGTGATCGTTACGACTTCACCGGCACCCTGATTGTCGTCCCGGACGTCAGTGTCTTGGCCACGGCCGGCACCAAGACGGAGGCGGGCTCTCGCCACAAGCCCGGCGAGGGCATGGACGGTGTGACGGGCCTGAAGGCTCTGGGAATGCGTGAGCTCAACTATCGCATGGCCTTCCTTGCCTGCAGCGTTCAGGCAACCACGGCTCGGTTTGGCGGCACGGATCTGCCCATGTCGGAGGTTACCGCCGAGGACATGAAGAAGCAGATGACAGACGCCGAATGGCACAAGATCTACGAGATGTCCAAGGACCGGAATCTCTACCAGAACCTAATTAGCAGCCTCTTTCCTTCGATCTACGGGAATGACGAGGTGAAGCGGGGCATACTCCTGCAGCTGTTTGGCGGCGTGGCCAAGACCACCACGGAGAAGACTTCCCTGCGTGGCGATGTCAACGTGTGCATTGTGGGCGACCCCAGTACGGCCAAGTCTCAGTTCCTCAAGCAGGTCTCGGATTTCTCGCCACGTGCCATTTACACCTCCGGCAAGGCCTCATCGGCGGCGGGTCTGACGGCCGCCGTGGTCCGTGACGAGGAGAGCTTCGACTTTGTGATCGAGGCGGGCGCCCTGATGCTGGCTGACAATGGTATCTGTTGCATCGACGAGTTCGACAAGATGGATCAGCGCGACCAGGTGGCCATACACGAGGCCATGGAACAGCAGACCATCTCGATAGCTCGTGCCGGCGTCCGGGCCACTCTGAATGCCCGCACCTCGATCCTGGCCGCTGCCAATCCGATCAACGGTCGCTACGATCGCTCCAAGAGCCTCCAGCAGAATATACAGCTCTCGGCTCCGATTATGTCCCGTTTTGATCTCTTCTTTATCCTGGTGGACGAGTGCAACGAGGTGGTGGACTACGCCATTGCCCGCAAGATTGTCGATCTGCACTCTAACATCGAGGAGTCCGTGGAGCGGGCCTATACCCGGGAGGAGGTGCTGCGGTATGTGACCTTCGCCCGCCAGTTCAAGCCTGTTATAGGCCAGGAGGCCGGTCGCCTGCTCGTGGAGAACTATGGACACCTGAGGCAACGCGACACGGGCACGGCGGGACGTAGCACCTGGCGGATCACCGTGCGCCAGCTAGAGTCCATGATCCGGCTGAGCGAGGCCATGGCCAAGCTGGAGTGCTCCAATCGTGTGCTCGAGCGGCACGTCAAGGAGGCCTTCCGTCTGCTCAACAAGTCCATCATCCGCGTGGAGCAGCCCGATATCCATTTGGATGATGATCAGGACCCGGCTCTGGACATGGACATGGATGATGGCATTCAGCCGGATCTGGATATGGAGAACAATGGAGCGGCCGCCAATATGGACACCGAGGGAGGCTCCTCTGTCCCGCAAAAGAAGAAGTTCACGCTGTCGTTCGAGGACTACAAGAACCTCTCCACAATGCTGGTGCTGCACATGCGCGGCGAGGAGGCACGCTGCGAGGTGGAGGGCAGCGACACTGGGATGAAGCGCAGCGACGTCGTCACCTGGTATCTGGAGCAGGTGGCCGAGCAGATCGAGTCCGAGGATGAGCTAATCTCGCGCAAGAACCTCATCGAGAAGCTGATCGATCGCCTGATCTACCACGACCAGGTCATAATTCCCCTCAAGACCAGCTCCCTGAAGCCGCAGTTGCGAGGCAGGGGCGACGAGGAGCCGCCGCTCGAAGACGATCCCCTGCTGGTGGTGCACCCCAACTACATTGTGGAGTAACATGCGCTTCTATTTCTAATTTTTTTTTGTCTTTTCCTCCATTGTTAGTCCTAAGCCTAGACCTAAGCTGAGAATCGTTCAAATAAAGGTTCATCTCGAGTTCCATGTTTCTTTCTTTCCCTTTTTAATTGTACAGAAGATGCGTGGCTAGATGTTGCAAGAAGGCGGAGATGGAGGCTCATCCCTACTTCTCAAAGGTGTAGTGCTTGACGCCATCGGCGGGATACTGCTTGGCGGCCACCGGGCGATACATCTTTTTGTCCTCCAGCCAATAGTACAGGGCCAGGCAGCCGGACATCACCCCCGCAAAGCACAAGAAGTAGTAAGAGTTTTGGTAGCGCGGCTGTTCCGCCTGCGAGTAGCGATCCTCGCTGTACAGATCGTGATCCGCCGAGATCTACCAGAAAAATACTCGTTTAGTAGCTGGATCAAGGGGTTCCATGGCTTACTTACCGGCTCGTGCTGGTTGCGCTTGTGCTCCGGATAGTCCCAGGGATAGTAGTTGTCCTTGGCCTCCACGCCCAGGCCGCCGCCCACCTTTGGATAATCGCCATAGCCCAGGCCGTCGTCCGCATAGGGCCTGTACTCCTCCGGCAGCAGATAGTACTTCTTGGCCGCCTCCAGGCGCTCCTTCTCCGTCTTGGGATAGGGGGCGGGCTTAAAGTCCTTGTTCCAACCAGCCACTGTCCAGGCAGAAGGCAGGTGAAGCAATCGCAGGGGGAAACAAGAAACGATTCAAAGTTACGTAAACAAAAACAGCATAAAGCGGGCCTTCTCGGGCTCGGTTAAGGGGGCTATGGCGATACTTACTGCTGCGCACCGCCTGGCGGGCCAAGGCTGGATTGGCGGAGCAAAGCTTCTGGGCCAGGCACACGGTTTTCACAAACGCCGACATCGCAGGCTCTCTTCGAAATTCGCAATATTTTCTTCTTACAGTCGGACCAGGCGAGACAAAACAGCTGTTGCGGATGTTTTAGCGATAGTCGTGGCGATGAACTTTCGTCTATCGATAGGTGTGGGTGGAAATATACGAATAACTGCTAGTATTTAGCTTGTTGCGAAAGTTGACGCTACCATTTGCGTTGCTGGAAAAAGTTTATGATTTTTGAACTAGACGCCAAACTAATACGATTACATTAACAGTGTTTTATTTGTTGTTTTTATTGAACTAAGTGGAATAGCCCTCTGCTATCGATAGCTTTGTGTCTATCGGCCTACAGTTGTTTTTGTTGTTGCGGCGCGGTGGCAAGAAAGTGATCGAGAGCGCGAAAAAGTTGGCCGGATTTTTTGCTGCTAATAAACAAAGCGTAAAACGTAACTGGAAAAATGGTGCTACCTCTGCTGCAGCGTTCCTCGCTCCGCTCCGTGCAACAGCTCGCCAAGCCTTGGGCCGCGTCCGCCGGCAGCCAGCGTTTGGTAAGGATTGCACACAAGTGTCCCGTGTCCCCCCGCACCCGCCCTAGCCACCGCCTGAGGGCCTTATGTAATGCCTGCTGCTGCTGTTGCTGCTGATGCACTTCTGCAACATAAACCTAAAACTGCCAGCCAATTATCCATAATAATTTGTTCAAGGCTAGGTGGGAATAGCAAGAACCCGGCGTTTCGTAATCGTTACACAATGCATGCATCCACATCCAGTGAGTGCGCCTGGAAAATGCACACAAAATCTCTTCTCTGCAGGCTCCCTCGGGAAGCATACTGAGTGAAACGCTCTCCACTCCAATTTGATTGATTTTTCGCACTCACTCTTCCCAACAGCTTACTTTGCGGGTCACATGTAGGCAGCCAAAACAAACACGGCGAAAAAAGAACTCGCAAAACTCGCGAAACAAGTTGTAATTCAGTGAAAAAAAAAACAAGAAATGTGTGCCGGCAATTGAATTCTAAACCGGTTAATTGCTTATTCACATCTTTGGCAGCCGACACCTGAAATACTCTCCCTTTTCTGCTCTGATTACCTGGTTTTAGCTCTCATGCGGGTAAGGAGGTGTGTCCGGCACTCGTAATAGTTCCATCAGCCTCCTGATAGTGGAAGTCGCTCAGAGATTCTAAAAAGCTCTCATTGCAAACACTGAGGGGCACAAGAATAGCTTTCCAAATTAAGGAGGAATTTAATTACTTGATATTCTGCCTAAAAGTATTTTTATACAATTTTTTTAAATTTAAATTTGAATTCATTTTCGAAATAGGAAAAATTTTGCAAACAAATATTTGTTTTATTAAATAAAAAATGAACCCTTTACTCCCCAGATAAGGAATTCTTTATAAGATTTCCACAAATAAGACCAGACCCAAGCTGATTAGCCAAGCACCCCATGCTGGGAAGAGTCTTCGTCGTCGTCACCCCTCCTCTCCGATTTCGCACTTGCCCACTCTGCTGAGCAATGATTTTATTATGTATTTTTTTTTTTTAATATATTTCCGTCGAGAGCCTCGTTTCGACTCAAGTTTTATAACCGCTCCGTTGCTTATCGCCTCAGTCACCTCCGAGCAGCAGCCGTGGTCGAGTGTTCGTCCTCTGATTTCAGTTATCTCCAGCCCATATCTCTCGCATAATGGTGGGATCGGATCGGATCTCCCTTCAGAAGCCCACACTTAACTCTCTCTCTCTCTCTCTCTTTGCAGGCCTCCCAGGATTTCCGCGTGGAAAGCGACACATTTGGCGAACTGAAGGTGCCTGCGGACAAGTACTATGGCGCCCAGACAATGCGCTCCCAGATCAACTTTCCCATTGGCGGGACCACCGAGCGGATGCCAGTGAGTGTATATGTAGCTTATGGTGGCTCAAAGAAAACCTATATCTAGCTGACTCAGGGAAGAAGCAAGTTTAAGCACCCATTAGTCGGCATTTTATAAATTAACAAGCTTTAAAAGGTTTAGTTAAGAGAAGAAAATGGGTACTCAAATTCTTCTGTTTTATCTTGAAAACATTCTAGTTAGAGCGAGACGGAATTCACAAGATTTATTTATTTGTTGGGTTAATTTGTTTGAGATTAGAGAAGTGCATAGAGAAAGCTACACAGTTGTTTTTAATTTATTTTAACCACTAAAACTCTTACGATTCTCAAGTAGTTCAAGTCTCATATGAGAGGAAATAACCATAAAAGGGTTAACAAGAAGAGTTTCTAATTGGAAAAAGAAGGTCTCCATTATTATTATTAACTAAATCACATTATTTTATTACTAACTGAATCATATTTTCTGGCAATCCCTAGAAACCCGTGGTCCAGGCCATGGGCATACTGAAGAAGGCCGCCGCCGAGGTAAACAAGGAGTTCGGCCTGGACACCAAGGTGAGCGAGGCGATCTCCAAGGCGGCCGACGATGTGATCTCCGGCAAGCTGTACGACGATCACTTCCCGCTGGTCATCTGGCAGACGGGCTCCGGTACCCAGAGCAACATGAACGTGAACGAGGTGAGTACTCTCTTTCTCTCTCTTTCTCTCTCTTTCTCACTCGATCCTCACCTTATCCTCACCCTCTCCAGGTGATTAGCAACCGGGCAATCGAGCTGCTGGGCGGCAAGCTGGGCTCCAAGACGCCGGTTCACCCGAACGACCATGTGAACAAGTCGCAGAGCTCCAACGACACCTTCCCCACCGCCATCCACATATCGGTGGCCTTGGAGCTGAACAACAACCTCAAGCCGGCCATCAAGACGCTGCACGATGCCTTGAAGGCCAAGTCGGAGGAGTTCAAGGACATCATCAAGATCGGACGCACCCACACCATGGATGCCGTGCCGCTGACACTGGGCCAGGAGTTCAGCGGCTATGCTCAGCAGCTGGCCTACGCCCAGGAGCGCATCGACGCCTGCCTGCCGCGTGTCTATGAGTTGGCCCTGGGCGGCACTGCCGTGGGCACTGGCCTGAACACCCGCAAGGGTTTCGCCGAGAAGTGCGCCGCCAAGATTGCCCAGCTCACCAGCCTGCCCTTCGTGACGGCACCGAACAAGTTCGAGGCTCTGGCCGCCCGCGATGCCATGGTGGAGGTTCATGGCGTCCTCAACACGATTGCCGTCAGCCTGATGAAGATCGCCAACGACATTCGTTTCCTGGGCTCGGGTCCGCGTTGCGGTCTTGGCGAGCTATCGCTGCCGGAGAACGAGCCCGGAAGCTCCATCATGCCCGGCAAGGTGAATCCCACGCAGTGCGAATCGCTGACCATGCTGTCTGCCCAGGTGATGGGCAACCAGGTGGCGGTGACCATTGGCGGCTCCAACGGTCACTTTGAGCTGAATGTCTTCAAGCCGCTGATTGTGTCCAATGTGCTGCGCTCCATCCGGCTGCTGTGTAAGTACCATTAAAGGTGGCCTGTCGGAGGAGCAAACTCCTGCCCAGAGTGGTTCTCAGTTCTTTAGTTATTTACCAAACTCTGCCTGCTCCTTTCCAGCCGATGGCAGCCGCACCTTCACTGCCAACTGCGTGAACGGCATCCAGGCGAATCGCGAGAACATTGCCAAGATCATGAACGAGTCCCTGATGCTGGTGACTGCCCTCAATCCCCACATTGGCTACGACAAGGCCGCCAAGATTGCTAAGACGGCGCACAAAAATGGAACGACCCTCAAGGAGGAGGCCATCAACCTGGGTTACCTCACCGAGCAGCAGTTCAGCGAGTGGGTGCGCCCCGAGCAGATGCTGGGCCCTAAGTAGGCTACCAGGACTACTCTCACACACACACACACACACACACACACACACTCTGACCGATCCACAAAAATAAATGAATAAAACCGAGAAAATGCTGAAGCAAATCGTGGTCCAGCGGCGTCATTTCTGGGAGGCGGTGGAGGTGCGGGCGCTGCGTCTCTTCCACGACAACAGTAAGAAGAAGGAGGAGGCCAAGTTCCGGCTGGAGAAGGACACCTTTGGGGAGCTAAAGGTGCCGGCGAACCGACTGTACGGAGCCCAGACAATGCGCTCAAAGCTGAACTTTCCCATTGGAGGGTATGCCGAGACCATGCCGGTAGGTACCAGAGACTCCTCCTGACCCTGCCTCTGAATCCAACTCCTTGCTTAGATGCCCCTGGTCCAGGCCATGGGCATACTCAAGAAGGCCTGCGCCGAGGTCAACAAGAACTTTGGCCTGGATCCGCAGATATCCGACGTGGTCTCCTGTGCCTGCGACGACGTCATCTCGGGCAAGTTCTACAAGCAGGGCCACTTTCCGCTGGTCATCTGGCAGACAGGCTCCGGCACCCAGACCAACATGAATGCCAACGAGGTGAGCTGGCACCAGATACTGGCCAAGCCCAGGCACTGATCCTGATCCTGCTCCTGCTTCTCTTCCTCCTCCTGCCAGGTAATCAGCAACGCCGCCATCAGCATGATGGGCGGTGAGCTGGGCTCCAAGACACCGGTGCACCCAAATGACCATGTGAACAAGTCGCAAAGCTCCAACGACACCTTCCCCACCGCCATCCACATCTGCGTGGCCATGGAGCTGAATGAGCGACTCATTCCGGCGGTGACGCACCTTCGCGACGCCCTCAAAGCCAAGTCGAACGAATTCAAGGACATCATCAAGATCGGACGCACTCATCTGATGGACGCCGTGCCGCTGACACTGGGCCAGGAGTTCAGCGGCTATGCCCAGCAGCTGACCTACGGCCTGGACAGGATCGGGACCTGCCTGCCGCGCGTCTACGAGCTGGCGATAGGCGGCACTGCCGTGGGCACTGGCCTAAACACGCACAAGGGCTTCGCCGAGCAGGTGGCCAAGCGGATAGGGGAGCTCACCAGCATGCCCTTCGTGTCGGCGCCAAACAAGTTCGAGGCTCTGGCCGCCCGCGATGCCATGGTGGAGGTCCATGGAGTGCTCAACACCCTAGCCGTCAGCCTGATGAAGATTGCCAACGACATTCGTTTCCTGGGCTCGGGTCCGCGTTGCGGTCTTGGCGAGCTGTCGCTGCCGGAGAACGAGCCTGGGAGCTCCATCATGCCCGGCAAGGTGAATCCCACGCAATGCGAATCGATGACCATGCTGTGCGCCCAGGTAATGGGCAACCAGGTGGCGGTGACCATTGGCGGCGCTAACGGGCACTTTCAGCTGAATGTCTTCAAGCCGCTGATTGTGTCCAATGTGCTGCGCTCCATCCGGCTGCTGGGTGAGTTCTTCTCAGCTCCATTCGCTGCTTATTCCCCCTAATCCTCTCCTGAACAGGCGACGGCTGCATGTCCTTCAGCAAGAACTGCGTGGAGGGGGTAAGGGCTAACAAGGACGCCATCGACAAGATCATGAACGAGTCCCTGATGCTGGTGACGGCCCTCAATCCGCACATTGGCTACGACAAGGCTGCCCAGATCGCCAAGACGGCGCACGCGAACAAGACGACGCTGAAGGAGGAGGCCCTCAAGACCGGCATCACCGAGGAGCAGTTCAAGGAGTGGGTGGACCCCAAGAAGATGCTGGGTCCCAAGTAAACGTAATTTTTTTCTCAGTTTTGCAGAATTTTAAATTGAAAATTGTATGTTTTAATTACGGTTATAATTATCGGGTAATAAATTTGGCGCTAAGAAATTTGAAATTCGCAGTGTGACCATAAATAACCTATTCAGAGTTGTTCCGAGTTTCCAGCTTATTGGTATATGTCCCCGCTATGTTCTCCACTTTGGGGTATGATTGCTCAGTGCTGTAACTGGTCACACTTTTCTTGCAGGTTTTAAGTGTTTTTTCTTTGTTTTTATCGCGAAATCCTGCTCTTCGAAGAGCATACAAAAAATCTATAAAATATTGAAACCGTGCGGCGGCTTGATACCTGTGCAACCGATCCAAGCACCTGTGTAATTTAGCCCTGAATTGATATTGGCCAGTGCTGAAAAGCCGATTATCTAACGAAAAATTATCGATGTATTAACGATTCGAAGTTCGAACGCGAGCGAAGCAACCCAAGTGATTAAGTCAGCCAGCAAGGCAAGTCGGCTCCCGTAAATTATCTGTCCAGTCCCAAAACTGCTCAAAATCTATACCCCTTTCTCTCGCCCTCTTCGCAAAAGGAGATAACAAATTTCGCTAAATAGAACCAAAACACCTTTCGGCCAGGATTGTTCGGCAGACCGTTTTGCCTTGCACCGCCGCTCATCCCCCCACCAACCCGCTGTTGGCCTTGCAACATCAAATTTGCGACGCAAAAACAAAACACACGCACACACAGACTTATACCGATACACCACCCACACGCCAGCTGTTTTGTTATCGCGTTATCGATCGCACACATGAGCGACAGTGGCCGCGAGGAAGAAGAGGAAGAGCGATAAACGGAAAAAGCGAAAGAAGAAAAAAAACGGAATATAAAAGGTGAATTTTTCAAGTTTAAAAGGGAAACCGATCTTGAGGGTCTTTTCTGAAAGCATTTGCAGGTCCGGGCGGGCGGAAAGATGTCTGTGCGACTGCTGACCGTGCGACTGATCAAACATGGTCGCTACATTTTGCGCAGCTACTGTAAACGTGATATACACGCCAACATTTTGGACCAAAACCAATTGAGGACAAGAAGCAAGCGAGGCTTTCCCCTACCCTCCAGCGCCGCCAATGTCCTGCGGGTACGTGACTGTCGCTTCTGTCGCACCTATAATCCATATTAACCCCTCCGTGATCCCCGCCAGCCTGCAGCACAGCCGTCGGCAGCCAAGTCGGCGCCCAATCCTCCGGCCAGTGTCACGCCTATTGCTCAGGTACAGAGCAACAATGGCCTGTTTCGCGTCGGGCAGCATGCCCGGAAACTCTTCATCGACAACATCCTCAGCCGGGTGACTACCCAGTACTCGGAGGAGCTGCGCCAGCGAGCCACACGCAGGCTCTTCTTCGGCGACTCGGCTCCATTCTTCGCCCTGGTCGGCGTCAGCCTGGCCTCTGGCACGGGGGTGCTGAGCAAGGAGGATGAGCTGGAGGGTGTGTGCTGGGAGATACGAGAGGCGGCCAGCCGCCTGCAGAGTGCCTGGAATCGTGATGGTATATCCGAGACCCTGGACAGTAAGTTTACCATTGATAACTTGGACGTGGGACCGGCCATAGCCAAGGGCTGTGCGGCGGTAGTCTATGCCGCCAGCTTTAAAAAGGAGGATGCCCTGGATGCGGAGCCACTTCAGTCTAAACAGGATCCTGCTGCTGCCGCCCCCTTGCCCGTGCCCGCCATGGCCCCCAATAGCTGGACCACCAGGGAGATGATGTCCCCCTTGCAAAACATGTCCCGCTTCGTGCACAACTTTGGCGGCTCCGTGGACAACATCTTTCACTACAGTCAGCCCTCGGCGGCCAGTGACTTTGTGGGGGAGCTGGAGAAGCAGCAGCAAGAGGAGCACCAGCAGCAGGCGCCTAATCCCTTGACGGAGGCAAGACTTGACACCTCCACAGACAACTATCCGCTGGCCTTGAAGATGATGTTCAACTATGACATCCAGAGCAACGCCCTGTCCATTTTGCGGGCCATGTACAAGGAGACAGTGCCGGCGCGTCAGCGTCGCATGAATCCCGCCGCCGAGGAGTGGGAGCGTCTGCTGCAGAACCAAACCCTGACCCTGCCGCCGCATCCGAACATTGTCTGCATGTTTGGCTTCTTCTGCGACGAGGTGGGCAACTTTCCCGATGGCCATGTCCTGTATCCCGTGGCCCAGCCGCAGAGGATCAATCCGCAGGGCTATGGACGAAACATGTCGCTGTATCTGCTGATGAAACGCTACGATCACAGCCTGCGCGGCCTCCTCGACACGCAGGAGCTGAGCACCCGCACGCGGATCCTTCTGCTGGCCCAGATGCTCGAGGCGGTCACCCATTTGAGCCGCCACGGCGTGGCCCATCGTGATCTCAAGTCGGACAATGTGCTGGTCGATCTGCAGGACGATGCCTCCGCCGTGCTGGTGCTCTCCGATTTTGGATGCTGTCTGGCGGACAAGATGCACGGCCTGCGTCTGCCGTATGTCTCCCACGACATTGACAAGGGCGGAAATGCGGCGCTGATGGCGCCGGAGATTATCAACATGGTGCCCGGGCCCTTTGCCGTGCTCAACTACGACAAGGCGGATCTGTGGGCATGCGGTGCCCTGGCCTACGAGATCTTTGGCAGCCGCAATCCCTTCTATTCGAACAGCGGCGGCCTGGCGTTGGAGCGCGGAGAGCTGACCCATTCGCTGCGCAACAGCGACTATCGGCCGGAGCAACTGCCCCCGATGAGCGACACCTGTCCCCCGCTGCTACAGCAGCTGGTGTACAACATCCTCAATCCGAATCCTTCCCGCAGGGTCAGTCCGGACATTGCTGCAAATGTGGTGCAGCTGTTCCTTTGGGCGCCCTGCAAGTGGCTCAAGGCGGGTGGCATGCCCAACAGCTCCGAGGTAAGAGAATTAACAACCTTTAGTTATTCTCGAATATTAACCCCGCTCTCTTACAGATCCTCCAGTGGCTCCTCTCGCTGACCACCAAGCTGATGTGCGAGGGACGTCCTCAACTGGACGGATCATCGCCCGTGTCCGCCAGCGGCAGGCGTGCCTATGTGGAATACCTTCTCATCTGCAGCTTCTTGGCGCGCGCCCGCCTGCGTCGCATTCGCGGCGCCCTCAACTGGATCCAGAACGCGGTGGCGTTGTAGGCGGAGCAGCCTTCCCTCTTCTACTTGTTACTCTGAGAAAATCAAATGAAAACGCGTGTGATACCAATATATTTTACATATGTATTTATAAAAGAATTCAAAATTAACCGTGCAATTTAATCGTGCAGTTCTTTTAGGAGAATCTGCTCTTCCTGGCGCGCCTTCGCCAAGTCGGTTACCAGCTGCTGGCAGCGCTCGGTCACAGTCTTAGCTTCCTTGGACGTCCTTTGAACGTCCTCCATAGACTCTTCCGGCAATTTTTTAATGTTGCCGTGCATCGCCTTAAGGGTCTGCAGCTGCGACTCCAGGAGTTCAGCCTGCTTATTCATTTTAGCGCTTGGTATTTGGTTATTCAATATAATCCGCCGAGGTTTGTGCTGTGGGTATTAAATGCAGGGAAATAACAAACTGGAGAATTTGTTTGCTTATTTTGCCACGCTAGAGGTGGCAAAACTCAAATGCCCGATAAGTGATAACGATAGAACGATAACGGAGACCTACCAGGGCTGAAGTCGAATTTGCGATTGATGCCAATTCTCTTATTTAATTTTTTCACTCATTAGCTCTCCCGCTCTCTGATTGCCAGCTACACAAGAGACAAGCAATTAATGAGAGCTTGAGAGCCACAATTAATCATTGGTCATTGGTCATCATCACCATTTTTTTTACTCAAATTCAACATTTCTTACTCATTGCACAGATCAGCTCGCTGATTCTTTAAGAGCAACGATTAAAATAACTCAAAGACCCAATGAAAAAGAACAACTGTTGTTGTTAATGGCATTTATTGTAAAAATATTGTTTTTATTGTTGTAGCAAAGACAGACTTTAATTGGGCCAGTTTCTTCAGTACAAATTCATACATTTCTGGGAGTCAAGTACCAGGCGAACATAATCAGCAGAAGGTGGATTTGCATTAGTGCAAACGAATATTTTCACTCAAATTACGATATTATTTTTACTCAATTATCGATATCTCTCAGAGCTATATATCAGCTCATCTTCGCTCTCCTTCTCTTTGTTCGTTAGTTACGATCTTCGGGGAATTAAGATGCAAAGTTAAGAGCACGTTTTTTATTCTCTTAATTACGATTCCGCTCAGCGCTGCGAGTGCTGACCTTCGCTCTCCTGTTCTGTGTTCGCCAGCTACGGTCTTACGCAAATTAAAGAGTAAAGATGAGTGCAACCCATTACTTGCGAATACCGTATCTGAGCTGTCCAGCCCAGAGAAATATCGTAGTTTGAGTGAAAATATTCGTTTGCACTAACGCAAGTCAACCTTCTGCTGATTCTGTTCGCCTGGTACTTGACTCCCAGAAATGTATGAATTTGTACTGAAAATGTACAAATTGAAACCTTGTTGCTACAACAACAAAAACAATATTTTTTACCATAAATGCCATTAACAACAACAACAGTTGTTCTTTTTCATTGGGTCTGTGAGTTATTTTAATCGTTGCTCTCAAAGAATCAGCAGGCTGATCTGTGCAATGAGTGAGATATGTTGAATTTGAGTGAAAACAATGCTGTGCACTCATTTCTGCTGTCTAAATCCCAGAAGAGAGTAACTGGCGAGCAAAGAGCAGGAGAGCGGAGACCGTATCTGAGATGAGCAACTCAGAGAAATATCGTAATTTGAGTGAAAATATTCGTTTGCACTAACGCAAGTCCACCTTCTGCTGATTATGTTCGCCTGGTACTTGACTCCCAGAAATGTATGAATTTGTACTGAAGAAACTGGCCCAATTAAAGTCTGTCTTTGCTACAACAATAAAAACAATATTTTTACCAACATTTAAACAACTATAAATTTATTTTCCGTACAAAAACAAATGTAACTAAAAGCAGTTTTATTGGCTAATCTCCACGCGACTGACGCACAGTTTGTGGTCGTAAAAGGAGCAGGTGGCCATGACGAGCGGTCCATCGCTGTCTCCTGGTCCACTGGGCGCCCAGTCGGCGCCATAGCAGATGCTTTTGTGCTCCTCATAGGCACCCAGCCACCGCAGCGCCGGCTCCTTGGCATCCAGCTGCACCACGCTAAAGTTTGTGTACATGCAGGCGGCCAGGATGAGATCAGGACGAGCGCGATGCGGTTTCAGCCGCCAGATACCTCCGCCCAGGTCCTGCTCGGCCAGCGTTCGCTTCATGGAGCGGGTGTCGAACAAGCGCAGCTGCTCGTCATAGCTGCCGGTGAGCAGGTGATGCTCGTGCCCCGGATGACTCAGTAGACAGGTGACGCCCGCCATGTGGGCACGATTTGTCCAGGCCCGTTGTTCCGTGCGCAGATCGTGGGCCAGCAGGAGCATATCGTCGCCACCGCTGTACAGGAGATGTGGGGACCAGCGGTCAAAGGCACACGTCCAGGCTTCGAAGCCGTGAGCGGGCCAGGATCGCTGACGCGTTAGCCCACCGCCGGCTGAGTAAGTAAGGAGATTCAGGCCGCCCTTGGAATCGGAAATGGCCAGTTGAACCTGATTTTCTCCTTCTAGCTGCCGCCAATCCAGTGCCAGGGCCAGTGGTTGCTCCTCCCTCTCTCCCTCCGCCACCTTGATCGACAGACATGTGCGTTTTCCGAGCTTCTTTTCAGCAGCATCAAACTCGTAGACTTCTAGTTCACCCACGGAGCTAACGGTGGCCAGCTGGGGTCCACTGTCGCTGCTCAAGGCTGGCAACCACTTCATGTCCAGTATGGCAGCCGTTTCAATGCATTGCAGTCGCTCCAAGGTAGTATTGTTGGCCTCCCCGAAGTGATACAAGTACACACGGCCCTTGCGGGGACGCGGTCCTGTCTCCTCCTCAGTAGCCTCTCCTTCCGCCTGGACAAGCTGGTAGGTGCCACACGCAAAGTATCCAGACTCGAGGCCATCTTGGGGCAGCCACTCGACGGAATCCGCCGAGTATTCCGTATCTTCGCTGTGCAGCGTTGTGAACATTGCCATGACCGGTGTTATCGATAATACAACTAATAATCGATGACAGGACCAGGGCTGCGCAGTGGCCGTTAACGTTTGATATTGTTATCCCTAGCACAGGTGCTTCTTAGATCAAAGAAAGAGCTTGAACATTTTAAATGTAATGAATCACCGTGATAGGATATATATAGTTAGTTCTTACCTTGCACGGTTCCACCCTGACATATCGGTAATATAACTAATCATCGATAAAAATAATAATTATCTTATTAGATTTATTTGTTATTTTTTTTTTTTTTTTTTTTTTTTTTGCTAATTTAAAAAATTAATAGTTAATACATACAACTACTTAGTGCTCTGTTTACGCGCTACATATTCTGGATTAGGTTTAGTTGATCTCGTCACTCGCTTACCTCTCTAGTTTAGCTGCATGGCCTGCGTTCCGGGTTCCCACTCCTTCCTCGACTTGTGTGGGATCTCTTTTGGGGGTGGTCTCTCCTAGGGGCGTCACATTACCCGGAGGCTGGCTTACACACAGTCACACGCACATAGCAGCAGCTATTGCACCTGACTCTTTCATCTGCTTTAGCTTTTTACAATCTCTAAGGCCGTCAAAGACATTGGCCTCGTCCGACATGCATTTAAAACGAGTTAAAAAAAAATCCTCTTAATCATAACTATAGACAATCGATTCGCGCAGATATCTCCTCCCCCTCCCCCCTTATCCTTCTTGTGCATTATGTCCTTCGCCTCCTCCAGGCCACCCTCGTCTAGACAGCTCTCCGCCTAGCGACTGGTGGCGTTGTGACGCCGCCGTGTTCCTCATTTGGTCTTCATGACAATGATCGGCTCGAGTATTTTCAGCATGTCGTTGTTCTCAGGCGCCCCGGTTCCATTGCCGCCGCCAGAGCCAGCTGCTCCCGTTGCCGACGCTGCTGTTGAAGTCACTGCTGCTGCCGCTGCTGAACCGCCTGCCACTTGCAGCTTGCTGAATCCCGGATGGGGCGGCTGGTGCTGATTGATGGCAACCAGTCGGTGCTGCTGCTGTTGTTGTTGTTGGTTCAACACAATCGCCTCGTGATGCGAGTGCTGCTGCTGCGCCAACTGTTGCAGCTCGTGCTGTTGCAGCTGCAGTGGCGGCAGCTCATTAGAGCCATCGCCATCCTCCAGTTGGTTGTCCGTCTTAACGCCGGCCACAAATCCACCACCGCCACCTCCATCGCTGCCCGTGGCTGTGACTGGTTCGCTTTCGTACAACTGTTCCGTGCTCGTGTCCTCCTCGTCGTCGTCCTCCTCCTCCTCGGTTTTGGCCCGGAACTCAGCGCTGGTGGCACTGCTGCTCCGCGGCGTGTGGCTGCGCATGCGTCGCATGCGCGCATATTCCGCCTGCTTGGATAGCCGCTCCTTGCGCTCCTCTGTGTTCTCGGTGGCACGGATTTGGGCCCGCTTCAGGCGCGCCCGTTCACTGAGCTTCTGAAGTCGCGTGGCCCGCTGCTCGGGGGTTTCATTGGCCCGCACAGCACGCTGATGGGCGGCCATCTTGTCCAGCCGAAGGCGCTTCTCCTCCTCCGTCTCGTATTTGTTCGCACCACTGCGTCGCGGCGTCACTGGCGTCCGGTTATCGCCATCGGCGGTGGAATGTACATGTATCTGGCCGAGATCCTGCTGCTGCTGCGTTGGCTGGGAGAGGGGCCTGCCCCTCCGCGGGGTGTTCGTGGCCAGCTGTGGAACGGCCAGCATCTGATTAAGCTCCTGCTCCAAGAGACTGTTCACCTTCAGCTGCTCCTCGTGGGGCAGCGGATGCTTTCTTGGCCTGCCCCTGCCCGGCGTAGTGGTCACAATATGTTGCTGCGGTTGCTGTTGCTGCTGCTGCTGCTGCTCCTGCTGCTGTTGTCCTAGACCGGCGGTCACTGTGAGTGTAGGATTCGTAGTCGTCGCCAGGATGTTGTACTGGCCCCCGGTGGGACTGTTGCCGCCGCTGGCATTGGCAAAGTGTACAGGCGTAAAGGGCGGTGGCACCGCATTTGGTCCTATACCAATCTGGAAGCCATTGTGGTACATCGGATAGTAGGTGGTGGTGCCGCCCGTTGCCGTTGTTCCGGCCGCCGTTGTCGTTGCCGTGGTGCTGCCGCTGGCCGTGTTGCCCGCCGTTGGAAAGGTGGCCAAGTAGGGGAATTGGTTGTACAGCGGCGTTGTTGTTGTCGTCGTTGCCGCCTTAAGCAGCTTCTGATGATCCCCCGTGGTGACGATAACCTTGGTCTCGCTGTGGCCTAGACTAACAGACCCGCTGTTATCGTTGCCGCTCGATCCCGAGCCGGGAGCATCGTTGTCCGACTGCAAAAGGGACACGGAGAGAGAGAGAGAGAGAGAGAAAGGGAGAGAGAGAGAGAGAGAAAAAGAGGAAAGGTAATGGATGAGTGGGTTCTGGGTTTTTATTTCTCAATAAACCTCCACGAAAATCTCGATTTAGGCTCACTTTTACCTCATTTTCAAGAGTTTTGAGCTCTTTAAACTTTATTTACTTTAAATTTTGCAAAATGTCAAGTATTCACCTGTAGCAGGGCTGCCCCATACGATCACCCACAGAGGCGAACACTTGCTACAGTTCGATCTTCGAGCCACTCTCTTCTGCCTCCGTTTGGGTCGGCTCATCCCGAGAACTTGTCACTTTTGGGGACTGTATTCGTTAGCTTGCTATCTTGCTGCATCTGATGGTATATAGTTCCAGATAAGTCAGTCTGTAAGGTCATTCTGTGACCTTCTTTTTTACAAACAAGCTGCAGAACTTTACAGCGAAATTTCACTTAGAAAGTGAAAGCATTGGTAGAAGAGTTTCATGGAACCATAATCGATTCATTTTGAATATTCAAGTATTTATATAAGAAGACCGAAGAAGGCTACGTTGTTTTTACTTAAAGCTTTACTTTTGGATTGCCCTCAAAATAAACAATATAAAACATTTAAGATCCTACAGCTGGCAAGGCATTAATAATCGTTTAAAAATCGTTATTAAAATCTATTATTTTTATACAAACTTAAAAGTCTTTTGACAGTTTTAGGTATGGGATATTTCTGTTGCACATTTTGTTTTATTTTAAAAATAAAAGAGTTAGGGGGAACACACACAACACACTTAATTTAATTACATTTCAATCTCTTTTTTGTTTTTCGAAGCGAATAAAAAACATATTGGTTTGTTTTTTGATTCTTTCATATTTCATATCTTTGTTTGTTGGTTTTTACAAGGCTACATTTATCTACACTCTAGAAACTAGGGGGTTAAGTTGTATATTATTAACGAAAAAAAAAAAAAAGAAAACAACAAAATAGATTAAACAAGTGTCCCGCAATGAATATTATACGGGTCTTTCTAGGAAGAAGAAAGGAGAATTCTCCTCAACGAAATGGAGAAGGCTGAGCAGGCACTCTTCCTTCGCTTCCTTAAACATATTCTGTCTGTTTCAATTATCAATCCAGCAGTTGAATTCGCCAACTGCAAGGAATAATATTTGAATGTTCTTTTCTTTGAGTTGATTTTCGAAAATTTCATAGTTTACCAGAGAAAGGGGGAGAGAGAAGAGAGAGCTTGGAGCGCCAGTTATCCAAAGCAACTCTGGGTTACTTTTCATTGGCTCTCTGCAACTGGAGAATCAGAGAAAGGAAACATTTATGGTGTGCATTATACAGGTTGCCTCGTAAAGGGATGTATATCGGAAGGAAAACTGCGACATATCAGAAATATCTACAACTTTAAAATATCGAAAAGTTATCGCAAAATAGTATTATGCTGTGCCCCCTAAATACCCATCCCTTAAACTCCTTGGGTATTAATTATTGTAGCCCTATTTTGTGTGTGTGTTTGTATGTGTGGTGTGTGTTGGGTTAGCCCCCCCCTATGATCGCTTTTCAGATCCCTGATCCCTGATCACTGATCCCTTTTCCGCTGCTGCTGCATACGCACCTGAAGTTCCTGCTTCTTGGCGGAATATTTGTGCGGATAGAGCTCCAACTGACCGGTGGCTCCGGTGGTGGCAATGCTGAAATGCGGCACATGCGCCTGCAGCAGCTTGGTGGCCGTGCCGCTACCCTTGCCGGTGCCTCCATCATCGCCATAAATTTGCTGGACAAAAATGCTACCAGGCTCGGTGCCCTCGAGTAGAGCGGCAGTCACCTGTTGCTGCTGCCCGGCGGCGATGGTGTATCGCTGCTGTTGCTGCTGCAACTGTTGCTGGTTTATCTGGTTCTGCTGTTGCTGCTGTGGAGTCAGGGGCTCCTGCTTGAGCTGCATGGGACCGCGCAGGGATCCGGGTGTAAGGAACATGCCCTGGCCCATGTACTCCACTCCAGCCAGGGCCTGATGCTGCTGGTAAGCGGCTGCTGTGACCAGATGCTGCTGCTGCTGATCCTCGGCCGTGGGCTGGGGCGTGCCAGCTCCTCCTCCGTTGTCCGATGTCGACGCCTGGTTTAGATTGATAGTGTGTTCGTTAGTACAATTGGCTGCCGCCGCTGCGGCTGCCGCTGCTGCAACAGCCAGCACCTGCTGCTGCTGTTGCTGCTGATGCTGCTGCTGGTGGTGCTGATGGTGCTGGTGCAGCTCCGTTGACGAGGAGGAGGACGACGTCGGCGTTGTGATTAGCACCGACGACGATCCACCGCCGCCACCGCCACTGTGCACCACATGCTTCAGTACCTTCTTCTTTTCTCTGACCTTTTTGGCGTAGTCGTTCAGCTTTCTCAGTCTTTCCTTCCGCTCCTCCGGCGACTCATTGGCGATCCGCTGACGCGCCCTGGCCGCCATCTCGGCCAGTCGCAGCTTGCGCTGATCGGACGTCTCGCTGGCCCGATACATGCGCATCCTTTCGGCCAGCTTGGCCAGACGCTTCGCCCGCTGATCGGGCGACTCCATGGCTCGGCGTAGGCGCTGCCTGGCCGCATTCCGAACCAGCCGCATGGCCCGCTCAATCTCCGACTCGTTCTGTCGCCGCTGCCTATTGGCCTCGGCGTTGCGTAGCAATCGCTTTCGGTACTCCTCTTCACTTTCGCGCTGTCGCCGCTCGCGCATCCTTTCAGCATTTCTGGCCAGGCGGCGCTGGCGTGCCTCGGGACTCTCGTTCCAGCGCTGCTGGTGTGTCGTGGAGGTGCCGGTAATTGAAGCTGAGCTGGCGCTAACGCTGCTCGGTGGTCCCAACGGTGTGGCGGCCGGTGTCTGTTGCACCTGCACTTGCTGCACCTGCTGCTGTTGTTGTTGTTGCTTTAGAGTGGCGTGGGTGCCGTAGCCGGCGGGCAGGGTAAGTTGCAACTGCTGATGCTGGAACTGTAGCTGATCCTGTTGCTGCTGCTGCTGGAGATGATGCTGCTGCTGTTGAAACTGATGGTGCTGTACGTGCTGCTGCTGTTGTTGCTGTTGCTGGAGCTGTAACTGTTGCTGGTGATGCGTGGAGAGGGGTACCAACAGCGCTGAGGGATGCTCGATGAGGAGGCGTGTGTTGGGTCCATTGATGGCCAGCACATGGGTCGCGTACTGCTGCTGCTGTTGGTGGTGGTCAAGTGTGGGCTCTATTTTTATCCCATTGGGATCTGGTTCCATTATTCGTCAAAGCCTGAACAACAATCGAAATTGTCGTCTGCGGGTTCAGGTCAACAGGGTTCTCTTGCTGGTTCTTGTTCCTTTTCTCTTGTTTGTGCTGGCTCCTCTTCTCTTGCCCGCTCTGGTTCTTGTTCTTGCCGCCGCTTCGCTGATCGCCACAGTCGCTTCGATGGCATCTAATGGCCGAAACGTCGCTCTTTCTGTTTGTTTTGTTTTGCGGCCGTTTCCGAATTGGCGGCGGCGCCTGGTAGTTATATAAAGAAATATGTGTGTGCTGGCTGGCTGCGTCGTGCTCTCCACCGCTTGCGCCGTCTCTCTCCCAGTTTGCTCGCTCGCCTGTGGGTCCCGCGATTTTGCTCTCTTACAATCTTTGGGAGGTCTCTTCAGCGGCGATCGGTTTTCGCTTTTGCTTGCAACGCACTTCCGGATCCTGTTCCGCCTTGTTCCTTGTTTCCTCCAGTTCCTTTTCCTGCTTTCCACAAAGCGCTCTTCCTCTTGTTCAAAAGCGACAATTGGCGCCGCTGCTGCTGCGCTGCCAGTGCTTCCAATCGATTTTTCACATGATTATACACACACACATGCACGCCAGCAGGCAAAGCAGCTCACACACATACACGCACACCTGCACACCGCCAACGCACACAAGCGCGAAGTTTACGTGTGTGCGTGGTTTTTTCCGCTCCTATTTTTGCCTTTCGTAGAGATCTTTGTTGTTTTCTTTCGCCAAAATGTGCATTTATTTATCGCCCCCAAATCGTTCGGTGGCGCCGCTCCAAGCCCCGCTCCTGATCGGGGTGCGCAAGGAGAAGAAGATGCGAGCTTTGGCTGCCGGGACTGGGGATGTCGGCATCGCCTCACATAAGAATCCGCCACACATCAGCGGCCGCCGCGCTTGTTTTGGTTACCAGCGCCATCAAATTTCACTCCCACACGCCGCCTGCTGCTCACCGTGTGTGCGTCCAACGAGTTAGGTGGGGGCAAAAACGCGCTAAATTTCCGGCAATAGCGCAGGCAAATATTGCGCCGTCAACAAACACACATTAAAAAATAACCACAAAGTGTGTATGTATATGCGTCCGCTTGAAAGACAGATCTACCATCCCTAGATATTATCGGTCTATCGCTGGAGGTATTTTTTTAATTTACTTTGTGCTGCGGTTTTTTTTATCGAATATCGATAGGTTACGTTTTTGGGCAGCAAAGTTTCCCACCATCTCGTTTCCCAATTTTACCACCTTTTTATAACAAATTATAAATAAAAATATTTTTTATTTATTCCAAGCATTATTTTATGCCCTGTATATAAATTAAATACATTTTTTCAATTCTCTAAATAAAAATACGGCTTTAACAAAATTGCTGTCCCACTCCCGAAAAATAAAAACTCCGATTTTAGAAAATAGTGTCAATCGATTTCGCATTTTATCGATAGGGACGTTAACGTTTTTGCAACTCTGTGCGGGCCCATCTCTAGTGGAAATCATATGACTCCCAATCGATACAGAAGGAAAAAAAGTTAAATTTTCACCGTCGTTTGTCGAACTCCACGCCTTCCGCCACACAATTCGCGCAACTCGAGCGAGTGCAGCAGCCAAAAAGCGACAAGTAACCGCAGCAGAAAGCAGGCTCTTTGTCACCGCCGTCTTGGTTTTTTTTTCTGTCCACCCACTCTGAATCTGTGTGTGTGCGTGTGTCAAGATGAACAGCTCGGGATTTATGTTCAACATCGATAATGGCTATCTGGAGGGTCTGTGCCGAGGCTTCAAGTGCGGCATCCTGAAGCAGGCGGATTACCTGAACCTGGTGCAGTGCGAGACCTTGGAGGGTGAGTATCCCATTTGTCTGGAGGGGCTTTTTCTCCCACTCTACACATTTCCCCCACACGCACACGCCCGCACGGTCACATGACCAGGCCGATAACAGCGTTCGTGTGTGTGTATGCACTGCTGTTATGCCTGCGTATGTGTGTGTAAGCTTGTCTTGTGATTTGTTGACGTTTTTTCGCAGTTTTTTTAAATGAGAATTTTCGGAAAAACGTTCATAGCAATGGTATTACCAGCTCTGGCTGGAAATATAAACATAATGGGGATAACACAAAACAGGTGGATCAATTTTTCACTTGTATTTTGGAGCAAGAAAAAAGAAATTTCTTGGGGGTTGAAAAACCCTTACTGTGGCTTGATTTTGTGATATTCCAAGCATATTTAACATATTCTCTGAATGCCATTGAATTTTTAAACATAACATAACCCCCAAAAAGTATAAACTTTACAAAGAAATACAGTAATAGGGTTTTTTCCGCTCTTAAATAGCCAAATAGCTTAGAAAAGAATGCGTTATACTTACCACTCCCTTCTTTTGCAGATTTAAAGCTGCACCTGCAGGGCACGGACTATGGCAGCTTTCTGGCCAACGAACCCTCGCCGCTGTCCGTCTCCGTCATCGACGACAAGCTGCGCGAGAAGCTGGTAATTGAGTTCCAGCACATGCGCAACCATGCCGTCGAGCCGCTGTCCAACTTCCTGGACTTCATCACCTACGGCTATATGATCGATAACATCATTCTGCTGATCACTGGCACGCTGCACCAGCGTCCCATTTCGGAGCTGATACCCAAATGCCATCCGCTGGGCAGCTTTGAGCAGATGGAGGCTATCCATGTGGCCTCGACGCCAGCGGAGCTGTACAACGCAGTGCTGGTGGACACACCGCTAGCTCCCTTCTTCGTCGACTGCATTTCGGAGCAGGATCTGGACGAGATGAACATTGAGATCATCCGGAACACGCTCTACAAGGCATATTTGGAGGCATTCTATAACTTCTGCAAGAACATGGGCGGCGCCACCGCCGATGTCATGTGCGAGATCTTGGCTGTGAGTTATACTTACAACAATTTTGCTTTCCATTCCCAGTTGTCCTCTTATTAACTTGTCCAATTTTCCCTTGCAGTTTGAGGCCGATCGTCGTGCTATCATCATCACCATCAACTCCTTTGGCACGGAGCTGTCAAAGGATGACCGTGCCAAGCTGTATCCCAACTGCGGCAAAATGTACCCCGATGGTCTGGCCGCCCTCGCTCGGGCCGATGACTACGAGCAGGTGAAGACCGTGGCCGAGTATTATGCAGAGTATGCTGCCCTGTTCGATGGCTCTGGCAACAATCCCGGGGACAAGACGCTGGAGGACAAGTTCTTCGAGCACGAGGTGAAGCTGAACGTGTACGCATTCTTGCAGCAGTTCCACTTTGGCGTCTTCTATGCGTACCTCAAGCTCAAGGAGCAGGAGTGCCGCAACATTGTCTGGATCGCCGAGTGCGTCGCCCAGAAGCATCGCGCCAAAATCGACAACTACATACCCATCTTTTAAGTGCAATGGCTCCAAAATAATTATTATACGTGTTTTTTTCTCCTGCCTTTCAAGATGTTGTGTTTTTTTTTTCTATTCGTTCGTCCCCCCTCCCATACCCTTGTTATGCAATTGTTTAATGTATATTATATATTATGATACGCTGTATGTGGTTTTGTTACGAGTATTATTATGATTTTGTCAAGTGTTCAAAGTGTCCTCCGTTTTCTCCGCCACTCTCTCCCCGATTGGCCTAACTATATATATATATGTATTCGGGAGATATCTATATCTATCGTGTTTGTGTACATATGTATAATTATAAATGATCGAAAAGAACGAAAGCAGTTCAAATTGATTGTAGAAAAGAAAGAAGAAAGCATCAGCGCCCATATGTTAACTACTATATAGAACAAATGCATACATATACAGCAACAAACAACATAAAGAACATAAAAACCACATATGTGAATGATAAATCAATTATTAAAACATGTTTTCAAACATTCCCTTAAACAAGGCTTTCTTTTTAATTATTTATTTACTTTTTGATGAGTTTTGGGAAGTGAGCTATGGAGGAATGCCGCGAGAGAAGAGTCGGAGTATAAATAAAAGTATCGCTCTTAATATTGTTTTGAACTTTTCGTTGTACACAGTGACGATCTTAATTATTGGTACAGCTGGCATATCGGACTTTGACACAGTTTTTCTCGATTAAACATAGTGATATTTTAATGAAACAAATTTTATTTAAAAATATTGATAAATTTTCAACTAAATTAATTTAGTTTTATTCTTCTATATCATTCCACCAATTTAAAAAATTTAAAGAACTTAAAGAACAGCTTTTAATTAAAAAATAACCCAACAGCCTTAATAAAATTATCTAATTTTGTTTATATTAATCCTATATATTAAACATAATATTAATTTAAACATAGATTTTTATATCAACTTATAGACTCTCTTAAGGATATTTCTATATTTTCCAGAAAGACAGCTAGCTAAAACACCGAAATAACCTTTCCAAAAAACAACCATATTGTCTTTGAACTAACTCTAGCCACTTTCTTGTTTTGTTCGTTTTTATTTTGCATAATTTAATTTTAAATTAAATATGTTGTTTTTTTTCTTGTGAATAGGAGGTACGTTTTTTGGATGCTTCTTCATTAGCCAAAGCCTGAAATGTCAATCGATTAGACAAATAATAATCACGAGTCGTCGTCGTTATAGGGTTATATAAATATTGGATAAAAGACGTCGAAACTGGTTTTTTGTTGCCGTAGAAAGCTCTTCCCTATTACATCCACAGGCCGGGGCAAAGCCTCTATTTTATCATAAAGTTGGAATAATTTATGGAGGAGTAGAAAACTAAACTGAATTGAAGCTAAAGTACATATTATAGAAAATATTGTATTTATTTCCTTTTCAGTTTTGTAAGCTCTTCTCTTAGTCACCTTTCTTGGCATGACTCCTGAAGCTGACAGAATGATAAAAAAGTCTATGGATGAGTTGACAGCTTACAGGTGTGTCTCTGGATGGATATCCCTCGGTTGCAATGGAGTTTTTCTTTGTCGTCGTTCCTTGGTTTTTTTTCAAGGTCTTTATAATTCACAGGGTGTGGCTGATTATTCATCATCATGGTGATCCATCGGCTACCTAGACAAAGGAGCCTCCATTTGTAGCTGAGAGGAGCAGGAAGTGCTGGTCTTTAAATGCACTTAAAAAATATTTATGCGAGTTTACCTCTGAATTTGATTGTTTATTTATTTAATTGCTTTAATTTATATTTTTTTTATTGGAATGATGTTTTTATTGGAACAAGATAATAAAAAATGTTTAAAAGTTAACCGCGATATTTTTCAATAAGTAGAATATTAATATACAGTGTACATAAGTTTAAGGTATTTTTTTATAGGATATTAAGCACGATCAATACATAATATATCATAATTTTTCTCTCGAATTACATAAATGCAATATTCGATATATCAAAATTAACAATATGATATAGACTTTTTATATATAATTTTTTTTTTTTAATTTATATATTGTTTTATATTAATATTTTTTATACTCATATTTATCATATTTTTAATATTAATCACTTTTATTTATCATTTCAAACTTTTCCCTTCGAACTGCATCCCCAGTTTAAAGTTTTTCTCTTAGTGTTTCTACGTGCTACGTGCCCATAGATCCGCCGCCATACCGTTAGGCTTTGGAATTGGATTTGGTTATGCATTTTGGCCTACTGCGTGGATCGGCTGGATCAGGTGGCCCCACCGGTCAGGTCGAAACAGCTACCTGCTGTACGAGCAGAAGGCGGAAGACCGCGACTCACAACACGTTCGATGGGAGGCGAAAAGAAAGCTGGCTTTGTTGTTGGAGTTGGAGCTCGATCAGCTGGTGGCCCCGAACCTGTGGACTCGCGCCCATAACTCTGGCCTGGTGGCACCAACTCCGCGCAGTCGAGTTCCGCGTCTCCGAGCGTTGAGTTCACATATTTAAAAGGCACCCAGCCGAAGTCAGCTTCTCTCAAAGCGCGCGCTCAAAAATCATAAACTAATATCTACTACAAGCTCATTTTTTTTAGTGCTGGCTTCCGTAATAATAAATAAATAGTTAACCGGGAGTTGCCCTTTTTTTGTTTGTGTTTTCAAGTGCAAGTGTGTGGATACCAGGATAACCAGGATAACCAAGTCTTAGGTAAAGAGGCAAGTAGAGTTTGTGTAAGTGTAAAGACAGGTGAAATGCGGTCGGCAGTTGCAGAACATACACCGAGCACTTAACGGGGCCAATAATGATGATGGCTGGCAGACCAGGAAAAGCCAAAAGTGAAGCCAAAGCCACAGTCAAAGCCAAAGCCAAAGCCGAGGCCGAGGCAATTGCACGTAAAAGTCGCCGTGAAATTGTGTCAACCAGTTTGGCTCCGACTTTGAATACGACTTGGTCTTCGTCTTCGACTGGGATTCCGTTTCGGTTTCTGGCTCCTAACTCTTCAGATCTCCATCTACGTAGCTCGCATTCTTCCTTGCCTTGTCATTAATTTATTTGAATTTGGCAAAACAAAAGAAACGCGTTCTTCGTTTTACTTTCTACAACGTCGCATTCTTCGCTGTCTGAAGACGCGGGGACTCGGGCTCCCCGGGTGCTGTTTGGCTGGAAAGTGGAACTGTCTGTCCGATTGTTGCCCCAGCTGGTTGCTGTGGGTTAATGGTTAATGGTGGCTCTGCTGGCTCCGGAGGTCTCTTAACCAGCTGTGCCTAGCTAATTGCTAAAGACAAACACTAAAAAGTTAGACACAAACTGGTAACGAAATTCTTTTAATTTACAAGATAATATTTTTTTATAAATTCTGTATTTGTAAAGAATTTTCTTTTCATTTTTATTTTAATATTTGGGGTAAATTTAACGATTTTTATGATTCTTATTATATATTTTTGCCTCAAGTATATTTAGTTTTATTATAAAATATATCAAAAAATTATATATTATTTTATTTATGCCCAATATTTTTTTAAACTAATATTAAATTTGATTGTACTCAAAAAATGTAGTTAAATATTAGGCCGAAGGGAAATCCCAGGTTTTTTGCCCAGCTTTAAACTGGGTAATTTTCTGGTCCATCGGTTCAGCCTTGACCGGAAATGCTGGCCCCCTTTTTCGGGCGCTTTAACCCTCTATTAACCCACGGCCCACGCGAATAGCAAACCAAATCAAAAATTTCACCGTTGGCTGCATTAAAGAACTTAACCTTAATTTTGGCATGGGTCTCCTCTCCCGCTGCCTCTCCCTCTTCCTATCTCTCTTTGTCTTGTTATGGTAACTTTGATTTTTTTCACCTCTGCCTCTTTTGCCTCTTCTTCTTGTGCTGCTTCTGCCTCTTCTGGCTTTCTGCTGGAGATTTCACCCACACACACTCAGCGAAGAAAGTGTTAAGCACACACACACACACAGCAAATCGAGCTTGAAAAAAAAACCAAAGAAGAAAAAATCTCCAAAAGCAGAATCAAAATTATGCAAATTTCCTTTGGGTTATGCATGTGTGTTATATAAATCCAAACAAAAAAAAAAAAAAAAAAAAACTAAAGGATGTAAAAGTCTGACAAACTGCTTAGCATAATCGAGCCGCGATGGGTTTCGTAATCAAGAAAAAAGAGGACAAAAGCCTAATGATTCGAAATCAAAAGAAATCTTTACGGAATTTTCGCAGACACAGACACTTTCGCTGCCGCGCCGAATAATTAACAGTTTGATTTCGGTTTCGATTTCGATGTAAGCTACGGCGACGACCTCCCCCTCTTATGATAATTTTCAATAAAAAAAAACACTAAGGCCTCACCAATGCCTGCCTCACTTTCTATTTTCCTAAGCGTTTAATAATTAATTAATGCTAATAACTTTTCACAACCGTTATAATTTATTGACAAAATTCGAAAATGCGCTCGAAAAACAAACGGAGTGCGAGGGAGAACACGCCGCACACGTGGGGGCAGCTCTCTTCCCTCTCCCTCTCTCTCTTTCTCTTAGCTCCACTCTCCACTCTCCACTCTCCTATCTCCACACTCCATTCGCTCTCCCAAAACATGCAAATTAACTGGACTCTTTGTAATGGGTTATACGGTAACGCATTGGAATTTCCAATGGGAAGTGGGAGAAATTATGAATGCGTGTGTGTGTGTGTGACCAGTTTCAACGGTTAATACGGCCCACATTCTGTGGCCAACTCTGTAGGAAAGATTAACCCAAGTGATGGCAGGAGGAGCCCTTAAAGGAAGTCTCTTGGCCATTTATACTGCTTCCAAAGAGTAACTGGCCCAACTGGCCATATTATCAGCATTTATTCTAGACTCGGACAAGTCCGACTTGGACTTGCCTCTGGCTACCTCTTCGGCTGCCATATTTGGCCGCCTGCACACTTTCTTTGCCCAAATACTAGCTCTGCGACCACCAACTGGGTCACATGGCCATCCACACAGCCACATCCAGCCAAGCAGAAGGCTGATCCACGGAGTCCAGCAACTTGTCCAATCTGATCGGTTTTTAAAACTGTGCATCATTATCCTGGGAAAATACATCAAGGACTCACTTTTCAATGCCCGTGCCATACTCCACTTCAGGAGTGCCCTCCACCTGTGATTGCCTCAGCGAAAGTTCCGCCAGCTCCTTCTTAATTTCCAGCACAGACTCCATTGGGATGGCCAACAATTCGTGGAGTTTCTTTTCGGCAGTCTCGTGGAAATCGAACAGGGTTTCTATATTGTTTTTACTCAGCAAATTTAGCTGATATTCCGACAATTGTTTTCCCGTAGGAGTCTGCGAAATCATATTTCTAAAATCCATTACGACGCGAGTTCTTCCTTCTCTGTTTTTTAGATTGTTTATAAATTCGATGTCGATTGGCATTTCGATCACGACTAGGGTAAATCTGATATATTATCGACATAATGCCGCGTAAAATTGAATTTTAATATTAGGAAATTAACAAAGGAATATGTAGTATAAATAATAAATATATTTTATAACTTATACCGATAATATATAATACAAACATGCTTATTTACTTTAATGTTCATTGTGTAAATTATATGTATTAAATGATGTAAGCTTAAGTTACACTTTACTCGAGGAACCGCAGAAGCTCAACTTGAACAACATACGCAGCGAGTGCTGAATCGGAATTCATTTCGGATAATAAATTATTATTATCGTATCGAATAAACACATAAATTCGTAGTTTGCATGCGCCTGGAACATATTCAAATTCTAATCAGATAAATTCCGCCGCTCCGACGTACATCAACATCAAAATATTTCATGGTGATCATCCAAAGATTTCATCGTATTTCATGGTCATCATCGAAATATTTCATGGTGATCATCCAAAGATTTCATCGTATTCAGCAAAAGATTTCATCAATTCATATGTTCGGTATTTTTTCGATATTTTATAATAAATACTAAGGTACTTGAAAAGCTGTCATCTCTGGTGAGAGGCGCAGTCCGCAAAGAAATCATAGGAATCATAGAATCTTTAAAAATAGCCAAGTGCATGGGCAAATTATAACATATCTAAAAACAGTCAATTAAAATAAAAACAAGCTTTTGTAAACCCCTAATTTTTAAGGTTGCGCGCCTTAGTGTGACCAGCTATTGTAAAGCTATCGATAAGAGACTGATCGTAGATTAAGGGATTTTGTAAAAACAAAGAGGACGGTCACTAAAAACGAGAACAACGCGATCGTTAAAAAAAATAAATATAAATAGTTTACACGGATTCGTCGCTGTGAGAGATGATGAGACATGTGAGAGAGTGTTATGAATGAATGAATGAGGGTTACTTTCCCAGCAGATACTTGGCCACAGAATCCACCAGTTAAGCATGGGGTTTCAGGTCCTACAAATCTAATATAGTATGAATAGAGATATACTTTATATATAATTGATATATTATATAGTAAGAATAGGATTGTACTCTATATTTTTTATTTCTGGAGAGCTCTAACATATTTTAAATCCTAAAAGTCCACTCACCCATGGCATGTATTTGTGACTTTACATAGATTGAGGAGAAAACTTAAATATTATATAGGTATACTATATCAAATTTGAAAATATATTATATTTATTTTTTATTTGTCGAGATTAAAGAAAAATGGTATTTAATTTACACGTTTGTCCTATTAATAGAATTTTTAAGAATAAAAAATATCACATTTAACCCAAAAAAAACATAAATTTATATTATATTTGACCAATAATAATAGTTAAAATATTAATAATATAGATTAACAATTTTGCTGCAAATATTAATCAAAAATATAATATATATTAATGAAATTATTAATTATACTATAATATATAAATTATACTATAAAAATCAAAAAATTATTTATTAATAATAATTTAAAAAAAAAAAAAAAAATGAACAAAAATATAATAATAAAAAAACTAATTTTCAAATAAGAAAATTTCTTCTACCCAAAAATATTGGCAATTGGCAACAAAGAGGGAATTTGTTATAATTTTCCACACAACGAATATCTGATTTCTCACAGTGTAGCTTTATAGACAATCCAACTACAAATTAGATTCTTTAAGTTTCTTACCACTATTCTTATTCTTATACTATAAAGGCTGGGCAGAGCCAAGAGAGAATACTCCAAATTGTTTTTGAACTTTTGAGAGCAGCTGGAGGAGACTTGGCATGGGCACCCCTGCCACAATATACATATATACACAACGCATATTTATTTGTCTTTAAATAGTTCTGCCCTGGGTTTCTCCAGCGCCAGTTGAGCTCCAGTTAAGAGCCGCTAATTGATTCGGACATCTCTTGGGTCGCGGCACAGTGAGTCAATAGCTGAAAATTTCACTTTGCCAGCAGCGGTTGACGGTGACTCCCCGTGCTCCTCCTCTACCTCCTCCTCTACCTCCTCCTCCTCCAAGCCTCGGGGCCGCGTTTGAGTTGGCGACGAGCTCCGACTTGTTGGCTCTCCTCGGATTGTGGAGTGAATGAATGGGGCATTTTCGTGGCTATTCTAATGAGGCTAACCCAGTTCGTCAATTAAATAACTTTGCAACCGAAGACAGAGGAGATTTCACTCTCGTTTTTGGACTGCTTTTCGCTTTCGTTATTATTGTTTTTCTTTTTTTGGGTAGCCATTGATTTTTGGTCTTTAATTTGTTTACTTTGCATTTCGGAGGCAGTTGAAGATGAGCGGAGTGAAAGAAATTATGTCAATATTTATTTAAATCCATTTCTTTTGCGAAAAGCAAAAGGCATGAAAAAAAAGCGAAGAAAGAATGCGGTGAAACTTAATCGCTGGCCACTTGAAAGCGACGATTCGGAGCTTGTTGACTCCATGGAATACCTTTGGGTATTTATGGTATTGAGCTACCCCGGAATCGCTTTACTTTTCTTTTGATTTTCTGAGGGATTCACTGAATTTTCTGTTTCATTTTTCTTGAATGTTCTACATTTTCTAGTAGTTTTTTGTTTTTTAATTGTCAGAGAATGAATAATTTACAAACCATAACATTAAAAAAAGAAAAAAACTGGAGGAAAATATTACAATTAATTTAGGTTTACTGAAAAATCTCTTTTTTCCAATTTTTTTTTTAAACTTCAAACTCTTTTGAAAATATCCCTCAAAATTAACACTATAATGTTTTTCCTTTATATTTTTAGTTTCCATAATGACTAGCTACCGGAAAAACCTAGTCTTAGTGCTCCTGCTGGTGGCCAGCACTGCCATCGTCCAGCTGGAGGCCAAGACCGTTTTCCGGCGCACGGACAAGATATCGGAGAACTTTAAGCAACTGGATTTACCGCCCGAGGAGATCGATCCTAATGTGGCGCCACCAGAGTCTGAGCCGCCAAAGGTGGAGGATGTGGTGGACGCAGCTGTCCCAGTGATTGATGAGAGTGCCAATGAGATAACCAGCGCTGATGTGGAGTCCACCAATGCGGCAGCTGCTGTGCCAGAAGTGGCCACTGCTGCTGTTCCCGCTCCCGCTGCTGCTGCTGCTGTGGAAACTCCTGTGGCTGAGGCTGCTCCCGAGGCAGCTGCCACTGCCGCCGCCGTTACCAAGCCACCAAAGGTGCCCAGCACCACTGCCAAGCCGGAGAATCCCATCAGCAAGTACTGCAAGTGCTCGGAGTCGCAATGCGACTGCTGCCGCAAGTTTGGACTGCCGCTGCTGACCAGCCAGGGCTGTGCCAGGATCGCCTACCTGGGCAACGACGAGATGAATGTGTCTTTGAAGTATGGAGGCCTTACCCTGGCCTCGCGCCGCATCTCCAGCAAGCGGGCCCGTCCCATCTGTGTGGGCCTGCCCGGCGGCTACTCTCAGTTCTGTGGCCGCGTCTATGGGTTGTCGCGCTCCAAGGAGTCCAAGGACTTCAAGGCCTGCCTGGCCTTCGAGCTGCGCTCCGACGAGGAGGTGGAGGCCTCGCTGCGCGTCTCCTGCTTCAAGTTCGGTCCGGAGGGTCTGCGGGTGGCCGAGGCGGAGCCGTTGCCCGTGAAGCCAGCGAGCTCGGACGATGATGACGATGATGATGATGATATCTTTGGCTTTGCCGGTGAGTCTTACCTTCAAGTTAAACATATAAATCAATTAATTCAAGCTAAATAAATCTGAAAAACGAAATCAAGTTAAATAAATATGAATTCTCTTGAAAATTAGAACTTGGAGAGCTAACGTGGCGTATGCGTAATATTTCTGAAATGTTACGTATTCGCCTAGTGGAACCTAGCTTAACTTTTTAAGGGTTATATCGCCCTAGAAATAATTTTTAAAAATATATATTATACAATTGTTAATATTAAAATATATTGCATAAAAGTATCTAACAATATCAATATTTTTATTTCAATTCCAAAGCTGGTGGCGACGACGACGAGGACGAGGACGATGACTATGACAGCGAAAGCGACAACGATGCCGATGCCGATACCGATGACGATGATGACACCGAAGACTATGCCGAGGACGACGATGCCGAGGCCCCCGAGGACGCTGACTATGGCGGCTTCAGTCTGGCCGGGCTCCTGGACGAGCTGGACGACGACGAGGATGAGAAGCCGGCCAAGAAGCCAGCGGCTGCCGCTGCCGCCGCTGCTGCTGATCAGACCCGGGAGCATGTGAGCACCGATGGTCAGGTGGAGACTCAGCTGGCTCAGAGCAAGGACGAGGCGGGTGCTCCTGCTGCCAGCGTTCCTGCCAAGGATGAGGCTGCCTCTGCCGCTGCCGCCGCAGATGAGGCCGCACTCCCGGCTGCCGTCGAGGGTGAGGTGACTTCAGCTCCTGGCACCGCTGACCTGGACTCCACCACTCCCAAGGCCAAGAAGTCGAAGAAGGCGAAAAAGAACAAGAAGAAGAAGGCAGCCGCAGAGGCAACCGAGGAGACGGGCTTCGCCTACGAGCTGCTCAACGGTATCCTGGATTTTTTCAACTGAGCGGCCAGCGCGAGTTTGCCAACATGCTGGGCAACAGTGTAAATACCTTGTACCGCCGCAGCTGGCCGGGAACCGGAAGTTAGACTTACTTTAGTGCCTAGGGAATCCCCTGAATCTGAAATTCACACTTATTTATTTGCTATTTATTCGAACCGCGTCATCAGCTAAATGTTAGTTCTTATTTATTTTTTAAACTTCTTAACGAATAACGAATAAAAAAAAATATGTGGAAAAATGTAACCAAGGTTTCTTTATTACCTCTCCTAGGCAGATGACACCTGTCCCTTGCATAAATAATGTGCAATAATTACCTGTCCTGGCAATAAGCTAGGACTCACCACAAAATGTGCAGCGGTTAAGACTGCATTTGTAAACACACTGAGTCCTCCGTTTCTTGACAGGATGTAAAAAAGCCACAAAAGAGCAGAAAAAATATAATATAATTTCTCAAAATATACAGATATACACAAAGGGGGTGAATTTCCAGTAGAAAGGAAATTGGTAGGAAAGACAACATGTCCTTAGTTTTTCTTTGGTTTCTTCACATTTCACATTTGAATCAAACTTTTTGAGCAGTGTATGCCCTGAATAATTAATGCCCTTTCCACCTAACATCTTCCACTTTACCGCAGACTCTCATCTCTGGCCACCCCTGGCATCTCTGGCATTTAGATTAGTCCATTTATGGACTCACTCCCGCTTCTTCCCAGTGTCCCAGTGTCCTAGGCTTCCATTCAAGGCCTCCGGAGCACACACATTTTTCGAGTTGATTAAGTGCCGGCCGCACCATTTGTCAAACTCTGCGCCGGAGCAACTTTTAATTAGAAACTATGCGCATCGTGGCTGGGCGTGATGGATTCCAGATTCTGGATCTATGGCATTCCTTAATTAGCAAATCCCAATTCCAGTTCCCAAGAAATAAACTGCAAGTCATAAATATTTTTGCGCATATACATATATATGTTGTTATTTAATTGTACACATAGAGTAAAATATGTTAAGTTGTAAGGGTTGAAGGAAACTCTGTAGACCAATTCAATTTGATTGAATGGCTTGGTTTCGCTAAAGAAATAAATTTTAACAAATTTGTTTTTAAAAATGTACAAAATATATAAATGAATTCCTAAAGTTTGTTAGGGTTGCCCAAATCTGTTTCTATTTCTTTCACTACATTTCTATATATTCCACCTGCAATTTCTTGTTGAATTGTGGAAATTACAAAATTACAAAATATATAAACGAATTTCCTTGCTAATTTCCCTTTGTTCTCTATTCTATTTCATTGAGCTCAGCCACAACACTTGTATTACTTTGCTATTTATTCCAACTGTTGTTGAATTGTTGTTGTTGAGTTGTTGAAATAGCTACGTTGTAATAATGCTGGGCACCCCTGTTTCAAATAGAACAATTGCATTTGGATTAATTGTGGCATCTTCAATTCTATTTAGTTTTGCTTTGCAAGAAAAACTTTAAAAATTTTAAAATCATTTGGAAAGGAGCAAATGTTGTTCTATATATCAATATATATGTATATATATGTATAGTTATCAATTACAAATAGATTTCATTCAAAACACACACAAATACATCATAAAAGGGTTAACGTACTTTAAAAAAAATGTATTCATTGGTATAGGTGTATATATTGTTGTATATTCGTGTATATAGAATCCAACTACATATACTTTTTTGATTTGTAAACAATTTTGTTAGTCAAAAAGGGGATTTTTTGTCAATATTTTTGTATAGTTTTTTCCTTTTTTACATATTTTTCTCTTACATTTTATTTGAAGAGAGAAAGAGCTTTGAGGGGAGGAAACCTTACTACCATAAATCATTAACTAAATCCACCTCCGTTCCGCCTATCACACACTTGATATATGATATAGAACAAGTCTACCTAGCTGGCTATCAAAAATTCCACTCAAAGAACTTGCCCGAAATTCGTATAAAGTTTTCTAAATTAACTTTAGGTATTCCTCGCATGTTTTGCAGTGGAGAGGAGTCTCAAGACGTATGTGTGTGTGTGTATGTATATATCTGTATAATATCCCTTCAGTTCCAGAATTCCTGGCCCGTCCGATTCCTCGCGGTATGTTCGAAAAACAAAAACAAATTACATGGGCCTCGTTCAGCGAAGTTCGAAACAAAATAGCCGAAACAAATTCTACCTACGCTCGGCTACTGCCGAGGGCTTTACGAAGTTCGATCCTCATATTTGTTATTGTTTTCGATCTCTGTTCGAAGCGGCGGTTGCGAGAGTTCGTAAATTAGAGAGAGATGGAGATGGAAGGAAGGCAGGAAAGAAAATTGGTGTAAAAAACAAAGAGTATTGCACCGACGGCAGAATGACCTTTTTAAAATAAGTAGGATTATTTAAAAATATTAAAGATTATATTTAATTAATTTTTACGTATAAAATCATGTGGTATATAAGCACTTAAGAAAATGTGCTTTAGACTTGGCCGAAATGTTCACGTTTGATTATCAGCCCTTTGTGAATCTAATTACAAGGGATTGCCTTGTCGGCTATACCCTGACACGCGAGAATTTTCGGTCTTCGGCTTTGTCTTCTAATTCTCTTTGCATTTTGAGTTGACTGCTGTTGAATTCAGAAGTGTTTTGCGTATTAGTTGCATAAAAATTAAATATTATAAGGTAAGTGGAAGTTTTTGCATTCAATTAATCATTTAAATTGCAGAATTGACGTTAAAAATGGATGCAACTTAAGCCTAGACGGTGTGAATGGGATTTAGTACGGATTTACGAAGTTTTTTTGTCCAGTTTAAGTTGGTATGTATAAATTTGTGCAAAGTACTGCAATTTACGATTTGACTCGAAAATATGTATGTATTTAATTTACAGATAGAACAAGTTCCTTAAAGGACCCAGCAGCCGGCAGAGAAGGCTCCGTGACACGCAGTTAGATAAATACATATATGTATGTACATACATATGTTTAATTATGCAGAAATATGTAATGCTACCAGAAAAAGTGAACATAAATAAAAATTTACAATCCATAAATAAATAAGGAATAAATTACATCGGATTTTTACTAGGAAGGGGGGTATTTTTCAGGAATTTTCTATAGGTTTTCATCTGGGATTCCTGACGGATTCCGCTAGCGAATCCCGCGGGATTTCTCGACGATTCCCGCAGGTTTCCTTGACGATGCCCGCCAGCCATTCCCGCGGGATTCCTCGACGATTCCTGCAGGATTCGAGTTCGAAATTCCCGGGGACTGTCCCGGGGGATTGGTGCGGATTCCTGGCGGAATTTCGAGATCCTCGCCAGGAGTACCCTATGTATGAAAGTTCCTCGCCGCGTTGTATGGACGGTCCCGCGGGATTCCGCGGGAACCTATCCCGGTGCCCGGAGGAATCCTTCGGGAATCCGGGAGGAATGGAACTGAAGGGATGGGTTATATAATCATATATATGTGTAGATATATTTCTCTTGGTCTTAGGGCTAGATATTCTGATTAGTAACTCTTAAAGCCTAGTCAATCGGTGTGTGTGTGTGGGGGGAATGAAGAAACATCGTTGATCAAGGGCTCAGCAAGGGTTTAAGATTAAGAATTCGATAACATATACATATAGTAGGATGATCAGTCTCGATTTTCGAAGTAGAAGTGGATCTAAATTCGGTGAGTTGGTTTGGAAAATTATAGCAAAACAAAAACCAGAGGGTGAGTTCCGAATGTGCTATCCCTGCATCCCCCAGAGATATATATATGCAGATATGTGTGAGCCCCTGTTCGAGTCTGTATAGTATGTTTAGGGATAACCCCGAAGGTAGGTAGTGTGTGCCAGTGTGACCTTGCCTTTGTCTAACTCTCGCTTTTACTCTCACTCAGGTCACTCCCATTTCGTTGTTCCGTTCACATTATTCGTACATCTCTTTCCCGATCTAGATCGGGGTTACCATAAACCATATAACACCTTGCGCTTCCCGAGCTGGAACAACATATAATAATTCTTGTTTCCATCAACATATCTCCGGTTCATTGTAGGTACGATGAGTGTCTACAGTTGCTGTCATTAAAATAAACACAAATGAAGAAGCAAAAATATATAACTGAAAAATATAATAAATGAAATATGTAATAAACGAAATTAAAATGAAATAAATAAACGAATAATAAAAATAATCGAATATAATAAAAATAAGAAATAATAATAATAAATAAATAAATGTTAAAAAAGTAAAAATTAAAAAAAAAAATAAATACAGCTCCCGAAAGAGAGCTTTGAAAATAGTTTAAAGAGTTGATAATATAATAGTTTATAATATAATAAAAATAATATATAATAATATGTATAAATATATATTTATCAAAATAATAAATAATTTGTATAATAAAATAATAAAAAAATATAATTAATTGAAAAACACCTGATTAGTGCTTGAATATATACCGCAACTGTTTATATTTGTCGTTGGTTGTGTCTGTATATGTTTTCAATTCTATTTTGTTTGTCATTTTCAATTTGTGTAGTTTTTTTTATATTTTTTTTTTACTTTCCGCACAACAGAGCTCTTTGTTCAGCCGCTATTGTTTACAATTTTTCAGGCCTTCTGTCTTTACCTTTCTGTACCAGGAATCCTGTACCTTAAAAAACCTAAAAAAAAACAATAACATAACGAAAAAAATGCAACAAGATGGAAGACAATAAAGTCAAGTTAGAGGAGAGAAAGTGTTCGAAACGAACGTAACTTAGCCTTGGAAAACAAATAACTACGTATATTATTATAAATAAATATAAGTAACATTAAATATGGTTTAATTATTTTATTTTAATTAAGAAATCTAAATATATAAAATATTTTAATGTTTAAATTTAAATTTAATATACCTGTTATCCATTTCTTTTCCTTTCTATTGTAAAATCATTTCAAAGTAGCTCCTTTGGTTGGGTTTTTCCCATTCATTTAGTGCGTGACTGTGTGTGGACTTTAAAATGTTTTTTGTAAACTTATTTTCACTCACGACATTTACACATCAATAATAAAATCTTGATTGCGGTTATTACAGCACCTTCAAAAAATATCCTCCATGGCGCATATTATTTGCGTACATCATTTTAATTCAATTCAATTATTTTTTCAGCAAAAGCAAAATTAGCAGCGGCTAAAAAGGTGCAACTTTCTGTCACATTTAATTATTTTTTAGAAAATATATGGAATAAAATATAATAATATAATATTTATTTTGTATAATTTTTATTATATTTTATATGATTTTTGTTTCTTTTCCTAAGAAAAATATTGTCAAAGGCCAATGTAAATAAACTACGCTGCATTTGGTCACACTGTATGCTTCAATGCTGCTTCTGGTCACACTTAGAGACCGCATTCATCGATCGATCAGTGTGACCAACGTTTATTGCCATACAAAAAAAAAAACAAACATATTCAGAACTACTTCGCATTTTAGCTGGACGCTTTTCCGACAATGGAATTAAAATTGTCCACCTTCTTCAAAAAATCTGCTTTTGTATTTATTTCCTTTTTAATGTTTCAAGATAATTATTGCTTATTTTATATTAAGAAATAAGCTTTTATAAAACGAAAATATTAAAAACCGTATGCAGAAATTTCAAAAGAAATTGCCGAATTGTTGCATGTCCTGTTAGTGATCTATTTCCTCTTGGTTTACATTCTTTCTTTTTGCCTTCTTGCTTGCTGCTTAGTTATTTTAATTTTATTTTGCAAAATTTGATTTTAAAATCATTTGTTTTGGTTATTTTTAGTTTTTTCCCCGATTTGTTTTTGCTTAAAAAGGCTGCTGAACAATTATGCTTTTGGACCGAAAATTATTGTCGGCATTCGCAGCTTCAATAAAATCTCGAAGAATGTTACGTTCTCCCCGGAACTCTTCTCGGAGCTCTGGGAAGTGTCCAAAAGCTGGTGCTCTGGAAAATATTTTTATTTCTGACTAAAACTGGTGACGACTCCCTGTAGTTTCTTGTGGATCCCGAGCTCTAACCCTCGCCAAGCACTGTGCTCATCCCGATCGATCCTTATCCCTTACTTCCTCTAGACTTACCCTGATTCTATGCTACTCCCCCCTCCTTGATTCCCCTCTATGTACAGTCAGTCTATGCCTCGCCCCTCGCCGTGATCCCCGCCAGCTTTAGATCACAAAGAGATCGCTGCAGCTGGAGGAGTTGCGACGCCTCAGATTGATGGACTTCTTGAAGCGCAGCACCGACGAGATGAAGACCTTGGTGCGGGCGGTTAGCTTCTTGACAACCTTCCGGTTGCAGGAGCTGCGCGGTGTCCCCGGATCTGTGCCTCCAGCAGCAGCCTCCTCCTCATCATCCTCGCTGGCATTCCGGCCATCTCTGTCTCGGTTCCTGTGCCGCAGCCTCTCCTCCTCGTCTGGGATCTGGGAGTCGTCCAGGGCGCGGAGTTCGTGGCGCCGCTGCAGCTCGGCCATTGCGGCCGCTGCCGTGGACGTAAAGGTGGCACCGTCGAAGGAGCGTCTCTTGCCGAATGCCTGTCGGCGTGGCATTCGGTGGCGATGGAACTCACCGTTGGCGGTCAGCAACTCGAACTTGCTGAGCTGCTGCTGCTGCTGATGATGATTATGATGATGGTGGTGTGAGGTCTCCAAGACGTCGCCGTCTTCGATCTCACTTTCGCCCATCTTGAGGATGCTCTCCAGATTCAAGGGCTTGCGATTGGGATTCTCCACGCGGGTCTTCCTGCCACCGACACCAACACCTTCCTCCTCCTGTCATATGTTCTCCTCCTGCTTCTCATCCTCCTCCTGGTCGTCGTCGTCCTCTTCCTCCTCGTCGCCCTGGTAGATGCTCATCTGCCGGACCATGCGTCGCGCATGCAAATGCATACCGCTATGCTTCTGAATGGCGCTCTGGAGATTTAGCAGCTCGTAGAGCTCCTTCTCCGTGAGCCGGCGAAGGCGCTGGGGATTGAGCTTCACCTGGGCCACAATGCCCACCAGCAGCTCGTCCACATTGTGGTGCAGCCCAGAGGATGTCTCGATGAACTTGCAGGCTATCTGGGTGGCCACATAGCGGCCCACTAAAAGGGGAGGGGAACGGATGAAGTCCTGGGTTAGGTTTTCTTAAATTTATTTATAATATAAGATACAGTAAGAATAGTTTTATATATGATTTACTAAAATATATAGTAAATTATAAAGTTAGGTATTTATTTAGTAAATTATTTAATAAATTATGTACTAAATAATATGGTAAATCATATAGGAAATATAGTAAATTATATACTTAATTACTCACTGTACTGATTGACCACTCGATGCCGCTCCAAATCCGTCTTGTTCCCCACCAGAATGGCACCGCGCGAGAGCAGCATCTCGTTCTCCTTGAGGTACTGCAGCACGCGCTCCGCTTCCTTGAAGGTCTTGCGATCCACCACAGAGTAGACAACCACAAACAGATCGATGTTGTAGGTGGCGCAGAAGGCCTCCGTCTGGATTAGAACGAGGAGAAGGCAGTGAAAGTTCGATGGCCATATGGCGCTGCTAAGTAGGCTACACAAAAAAATCGCATAAGGCGATGCTGGGAATGCTGAAATCATGGCCTTTTTTCCCCACCCACAAGCCCCTCCAACCGAATGCCTTTCTCTGCAGCTGCCACAAGTCCTCGCCGGCGACCTTGGCCGGTTGACTTAAGGACTTAAAGCTTTTGCCTGTGAAATTATAATGCTCCCCGATGGGTATTGTAAAAAAAAAGTACTTAATGAATTAAAGAACACAATCAACTTGATTCCATGAAACCCTCAAGTCTATGACATATTCATAAATATATTCAAAGCCATTCGCCTTAATCTATTTCCCTTTTGAGGCACAAAAGTGTTAAAGACATTTGGCCAGCAGAGAAAGAGGGAAGGAGTTAGCCCCTGAATGACCCTTAAACCGCCACAGCTGGGCACAGTTGGAGACCACTTTCGGTGGAGGAGAAGGTACCCAGACTGCAGAGGACTACAACTAGGACTTTGAGGGAGCCAGACCGCAGAGGAGGAGTACGAATACCACGCTCTGAGCCTCACCTTGCTATTGTTCCGATTACAACTACGACTACTCATTACTCACCGACATCTCGCTCGCTGGATGGTCAATAATTTCCAAATCCGTCTCAATGTTATCCAGCAGCACCGACACTTTCTTTTGGCCATAGTCATCATCTAAAAAAACAACAAGAAAAATAAAGCTTTTCAGCTGCGACCTAATAGGTATTTGCAATGTTCTCTAGACTTACTTTAGCCAAAAAATTAACAAGAAGTTTTCCACAGACAGCCACTACAAAAATCACACAAACACTTACTGACTTTCACCAAGTTTCTGCGGCCTTTACCCTCAATTTGGGCTAGAACCAGTTGGGAATCATAATTAACCACTAGTCTTGGTATTCTTGTATGTTCTTCTTTTAAAATTTATCTCTGGCAAGAAGTACACTGTCCCAAATGGGTTATAAACGAAAATTAAGACTTAAAAAGCCACCTCTTTTACCTCAATGCCTGCAAAGTTTTTAGTAATACTTTAAAGTATCCTGTAAACCTGCCACAAAAATCCATTTAAAAAAGAACCATTCGCATTCGCATTAAATTCCTTCCCCAGAAGGCTATACTTGCCACAGAATGTAGTCCCAAAGTGCAGTTACCACTTGCAGTGCTGGCTTAAAATCGATCAAATTGCAGCAGCGAGGGGGGCGTGGTGGCCATAAAACCGTAATCAGAGTGATTTTATTTGGCCAGCAAGTTAACGTCATTGTCATTGACTCGTTTTTTAACCGAACCGAGTCATAAAACGTGAACAGGGAGAAGGGAGCAGGGAAAAGGGAGCAGGGAGTAGGGTGCAAGGTGCAGGGACCAGAGAGATGGTGGTGTTGGCAACTCGTAAGGCCTGCTCCTGGACACACGAAAGGCACCATCACATCCAGAACACTGGGCAAAACAACTAATTAACTAAGGAAAAATATTAACTAAAGAAAAATGACATTGAAAATAACATTCAACTTATGCAGAATTGAAATGAATGTATTTTTTGTTTAGTTATACATTTTTTAAAATTCGATTTTTTCCAAATATTATACAAAAAATGTTGTAATAAAAATCAAGAACTACTATTTCTATGTTTTTCTCAGTGCGTCCAGCTTTGTCAGCAGTTTTACAGGAGCAAAAAAAAAGGAGAACAGAGTGAAGAAAGAGTCAAATGGAAAGAGCGGGACCAGGACCCTCACCAGGACCGACAATGACTGCAGTTTGCGTCCAACTTGGACTCTGTTTGCATACAGTTTATGGCAAATATTTGGAGGACAGTACCCAGCCCTTGGGCTATGTGTCAGAGATACACCTCCTCGGCCAGTTGGCACCTCCACTTTAATTTGCATGTTGCAAGTAATAAAGTTTTGCAGAAATTGAATAGAAAGTAGAAAAAATAACTACAACAAGAAGAGCGCGCCCGTGTCCTGCGAGTCCTTTCACGGACTTAGCCGATTAGTCATGTTTGGGGGTGGCGGCAAAACCAAAAGCCAGTCATTGCAATGCAATTATATAAATTCCTACGCAAACAAAGAACTGAAAGGACCAAAAGGACTCTCTGGCCAACCCAGCGAAAGCCAACAACGTTTCATTTATAAATGTTTTGGCCAAGAGATTTGTGGCTTATTAGTGGTTATGGTTACCAAAAGGTCACTGCGCAATATATGAATGTAGTGTGGCCGGAATTTAAGCTCTAATTTATCGTTTCACACTTTGCGGTGTGTTATGTCAATTATATTTAATTAATTATAATTAAAATTAATTTAATTTAATTATTTTTATTAATTTTAAGGTATTCAAACATATGTAATTGGGCCAATTTAGACTTTAGTGAATCACGAGCAGGTACAGTTGTGCTTCTAAAGTACAGTTTCGACATTATACAGGTACAGTTGTGATTCAAAAAGCTCAAAGAGTAAATGAAACCCAGTTAAGATTTTTCAAGTTATGATTTCCTCGATTTTGACAACTAAAAATTGCAGTACAGTTGTGCCCAAAAAATTGCTTTCGTGTGTGCGATTAAAAGCCAAACTAAAATAGACTTTTAGTCCTGAAAAATCTAGTCAAAAAAAAAAAAAAAAATTTATGGCATGCCACGGCTAAATTTAGTTGAATCGGAGGTGGAACGTAATAAATCCAACATCTGCTCAGTGGGAGTGGTCAACTCCAGTCAGTGCTGGGCCCCCGCCCAGATTTGGTCATGCAACGCCACGCCGGCTGCCATTAGTGAAAGATGCCAGGCACCCACACGCAGTCATACACAGAACAAAAAACTTTAGTTAATTTCGATTACAAGAATTTCGATTAAAAGATTATACAATGTAACAAAAAAAATAGTGAGCGAACGATGTAGATATAACCGATTTTTCATATCGATAAAATATTCGATTTATATATATTGACAATCGCCAAAAATTCCTTAAATATCGAAGCAGTATCGATATTTTCTACTGGTATTTGATAAATAATTATTAATTTCGATATTTCATTTATTTTACAGTGTACTCCCTTGTCCTGGAGAAGGGCACTAAAAACACAGAAAATGGCAACTAGAGAAAGGAAAAGGGCCACACGCACACAGAGCAGGGGGACATCCTGCATCCTGCAGGCATAGAATTGCAGGCACAGGCACTGGCACATTCCATTCCCTTTTCCTTTGCCCATTTCCCCTAAATCGGGGAAAACCCTAACCGGGAAGAACACCAACGCACTCGAGCCTGGCCACACTGGCAATTGTATGTGGCGGTCATAAAGTTGGCTCCTGCTCTTGCTCCGGCTGCCGCTGTGCTAATTAAAACTTGGAATTTTATTATCCCGACAACAGAGAGCTGCAAATTTCTGCGTGATCCCCAATGGGAGGCTGGGCCCCGAAGCTCAAAGGCTGCGTAACTCGGTAAATGCCAGGAGAAGGTTGGCCCAGGGACAGGGACTACAGTGCACACATCATCCTGGATGCGAAAAGGCTTTCACTCGAATCCCAAAACTATGCCACGCGCAACAGTTTGCTGCGGTTGCAGCAGTAGCAGTTGGGTCGCCGTATAGCAAATATCACTCATACGCCCAGGGTGACCGAATATATGCATGTTTGTGCATAAATAATTCAACTATTTTAATTAAGGTTGGAAAGCCAGGAGACGTGACATGGGGAAACTATGGGATTTTGTTAAGGAATTAGCAATTAAAAAATTATAAATTGTATATTTTGATTGTTATTCTTAACGATAACTACTGTTTGCATATCGATAAATAAAAGATTCATATACTTTTCAAGTTCTTGTTTAATTTTTTGTTAATCAATTAAGCAATTTCCTTGTTATTTAGAAATATTTACAAAATATTACCAGATAAATATATATAAATAGATATATATATATTTTTTAACGATAGCTACATCATGAATAAATCGATATTGCATGGTTGTGGCCAGAAATTATCTGCTGCTAATATGAAATATTAAGTTTGGGCAACTTTTCACCCCAATTGGATTACCCGACAAAAGCCTCAGGAATATGTCTCAGGTGTAATTAGCTCAGTGGCAAAGCCAGACAGAGCTGCTCAAAGGGTAATTCGATAAAGTCCAAGAGTCTGGCCAAGAATCGGATGCATCCTGATGCATCCTTGACCCTCAATTAAGGCGACACGTGTCTCACAAGGAATTAAAGGTAAAAATAAGAAGAGAAATAATTTTTCAAGAATAAAAACAGGAACTATGAAAAGTATTTAATCTTATCGATTTAATATTTACTTATATTAAAAAGTATTTGTTACTTTAGTTGCATTTAAAACTTAAATTCGAATGGAGTTTCCCCACTGCCAAAAATCCATTTAAAGGCTATACATTCCGCCTTCTCCTGAGGGGAGCGGAGAGGCAGCCCCACTCCTTCCTCCTGATATGGTCGCGAAAGTTAATAAAATTAGCGCTGGCGCTTTTCATATTTTATGACTTTGTGCCATAATTAAAATGCAAATGTGTTTGATTAAAAGCCGCATAGTGAAGCAGCCAAGATGGGGTGAGAGAGGCAGTGTCTTAGCTGGGTCTTGGTTTTCAATTACTTTGCCATTACTGCGATTTAAGCAAACTACAAGTCACCTGGATTACTGCCAAGTCATAAAGTCAAAGCGGAAGGAGCATGAATTTTAAATAATAGAAATATATATATATATATATAAAAGGTACTTTTTATATATTTAAAAAAATATATATAAATATATATCGTTATTTTTGTATATTTAAAAGAGGGGGTTTTATTCGAGTTTCAGAACTAAGCAAAGCTAAGTTGGCCTTTTTAGGTATAGTTCTTTTTTTTATAACAATAATTTGATTTATAAAAAAAAATAAATATTTAATATATTTTTTTAAAGTCTTCCCTATATAAAAATGTATGCAATAAACATTAATTGGTGTTTTGCAAAACAGATCAGAAAGGGCAAAGAGCTCGAAGCTCAAAGCTTAGACTTTAAGACCCCTAAAAGTACTTTAGGACAAATTTCGGGAATGAATTTGCACTTACCGAGACTCAGGTCGTAGGCGCATATGTAATCGGATGTGGTGAACTGGTACGTCAGGGTGGTCTTGCCCACGCCAGAGGCGCCGAGCATGGCAATCTTGAAGGCGGGCACATTGGGATCTCCATCCGGTGGCCTTTCGCCCAGCATCATGGGATCCCCCCCGTCCACGACTTCACCAGAGGCTCGCGATGCGTTGCTAAGAATTGGGGGAGAGGGGTAAATGAATATAACCAAAAATCAGTTATTTTTTTAACCTTAATTACAAAAAAAGTGTGGTAGTATGTTATTTTCTGGCAAATTGTTGTGTAATAACACCATAAGTATTAAGATATGGTATTGTTTGTTTTATATTATTAAGAAGAGCTTTCTTAAACTGATTTAAATTTAAAAACAATAGAAATTCAATAATATAAATTCTGGGAAAATAAAATATAGTGTCATAACACCATAAGTAGTAAGATATGATGTATCTTTGATTTTAAATTGTTAGGAGAGCTTTCTTAAACTATTTTAAATTCTTTAAAATTAAATAAATTCAAACAGATATTCTAAAAAAAACTAAATTAATTTTAAAAGCAGCAAAAAAACACACTAAAAATAATCCTAAAATATAATCTTTAACTTTTTTAGCCCAATTTAACTTGATTTTGGGAAACATTTAGAATGTTGACAGCACTGTGATAATAACAATAATCAGACAAGCGGCTGCGGCATGGCTTTCCTTTGACAATGAGACGGAAAATGCCTTGACATTGCCACACACCCATCTTCATCAGCATCTCTCCGCGTCCATGTCGTCCCTTTTATCAGCCCGTTGTTAATGGCAGCGGAAATTGTTTGGCGTGGAAATTGTATGAAATTAGTGCCGTGCGGCATTCGCACGTCGTCTCGCTAGGCATTGTTGTCGCCATGCGAACGGCCACTGTCTCCGTGGGGATTTATTGTCATTTTATAAACAATTTATTGCCAGCCAGCAGCCACTCGTGTTCATTGAGTCACTGAACCACTCCTAAACTCACCTATTGTGACGATCCAGGCCGCTGGTGGATGTGCCCGTGGATGTCACGGATTTGATCGAACGTGACCTGCGGCTCCTGTGAAAAAAAAAAAACCAAAATGTATAAGGGGACATTTCTTTTCTGTATTGAATTAAATATTTAATGTGTCTAAATAATTTTTTATTATTTCTAAATTATATTTGGATTGTTTTAATATTATTTTTCTTAGAAAATTATTTTCTATATAAATAATAAATATTTCCAAATAATTTTTCAAATTATTTCTGAATGATATAAGATTGTCTTTTATATTATTTATTCTTTATTTAAATATAAAACTCACCTTAGGGAGTCGCCCAAATTACAAACTCCGTGAGAGGTTATACTGAAGCTACGCAGACGATAGTAGCCCATGTCAGGATCACCGGTATGGATGGCGGAACGGCGCATATCCGCCAATCGGGGCTGTAAGGGGTTATATTTATAGGTAAAAATAGAGCATATAGTAGTTATAAAATTATTATCATATCTAAAAATAAATTACGTATACGCAATGCGCTTGCTTTAACCAATATTGCGTATACGCAAAGGTAGCCGACAGCAAAACTTGGGTTTTGAAATAAATAAATAAATAAATAAAACAAATATATAAAAAAATCATATAAAAACTGTAAATTATTGATTTAAAAAATGAAACCCTCCCGATGTGAACAAATCCCTACTAAGCTAAGCCCCGATACGCACGCACAATCGAATTGTGATTGGGATGTCATCAAAAACGCAATCAGGTTGCAACCGCACCTGGGCTGGGCGCACTTGTACCTTCAATTAGGCAGTGCCATAAGGTGTGTGCATAAAGCCTTTAGCCAGGACTCTTGTTTCCTGTTGCAAAGAGGCCGAGCCGAGGTACTGTTACTGCCAATTCCAGAGCCACACACACACACACACATATTTGTGGTTGCACAAAAGTTTCTCATTCTTATTCTCCTATATTTGTTGCCTTTATTTTTCTTTTTTTGGCTGCCTTCAGGGTCTCTGTCTGCGGGTTTTCTGCTTTATTCTCTCTCTTTCTATGGGTGTGGATGAGGCAGTGTGACTGCAGTCGACAAGTTGCCACCGCTCACTTGACACTATTTCGCATTTAATGCCTGCACATTCCCCATGTAGTCCCCGTGCCGAGTTCAGTTCTGGCCGGGAGCCATCTATGTGCTTGCCATTGATTCGCTTTGAAGGTTTCTCGTTCACTTTAATTGCGCACAGCGAGAAGAGTTGGTTATGTTTAAAATTTTTATATATTTTTAAATTATTTAATTTATATAAATTTAAAATTATACTTTAAAAGTAAGAGCAAGTTTTGTAATTACTCATATCTATATATGTTTTTTTAAATCAAATTCCTTAAAAAGCACTAGGGCCCTTAGCGTATACGTAAAGCGTGCGCTTTAGTTTATATTGCGTATACGCAGTTTAACAGTATTTTTTAACATTTTTTAGTATTTTAAAATTTTTGTATTTTGGTTGAATTTTAAAACTTGAATTTATATATAATTGAGCTTCTGATTAAAAATATTAATATTTTTGCTAAACCTATTAGCTTTTATAATTTACTTCCCTATAAATTCCCTGTACCTTTCCTTAAATAATTTATTAAAAATATATATATTTTCCAAAATATGATTTTTACTTTAATATAAATAGTATAATTTTTCTTAGTGCCTTTTGAGTTTCTGCTGTTTTTTTGTATAATTTTTTTTTTTTTTCAATAAAATCAATCGAAACTGAAAAGTTTGAGCATGAAAATGATGGAAACTTTGTAGTCCATCGACCACAACCAGCAACTATTTGGAGTAGGGGTTGATGCACCCGACACTGTTCCACTTTTCCCGCCCTCGTTCCCAGTGGGTCCCAGGTGCAGGGGCACTGGGGGGAGGCACAAGGGAGCCAAAAGGTGGCAAAGGAGTAAGTGCAGCTGAGCATTGCAGGTGACAGTCTCGAGCAATTTCACAAAATAATTACATTAGTCAGGGCGATGAGGACTAGGAATAGGACTAGGACTAGAACTACGACTAGAACTACGACTAGAACTACGACTAGAACTACGACTAGGCTAGGACAAGTGCCACAGACTGTGAGATAAGCTAGAGCGATGTATATCGAAAGGAAAGGTCAGATATCATATCGAAAATATACATATATCGAAATACTAAATATCGAAAAGTTTAAGCATTTAATCAAAAATGGCAATGTGCCAAAAATAAGGAGAATAAACTAAAAAGGTGGCCGCACAAGTGGGATTTTCGTGGTAGATTAACCAGGGAAATGGAGACGAGCAGAAGGGGAATCCCACGACAGGATTAGCTGGCGCCACAGAAAAGGCTTTAGCAGGCAATGACCCGGCCGGAGGAGGTGGAGCAGCAGGCCAGGCCAGGCCGGGCCATGCATCAAATGCTCAGTCATGCTGAATGCTGCAAACTTGGCCAGAAACACTTAGACCACCCGACCCAGACATCCCCAGATACTACATGTGTAATCTTCGCCTCCAGTTCTTTCTTCTTCCTCTCTTTTAGCCTCCACAACTATTTTTTGGGGAATATTTCACCGCCAAGTGGAGTGGCGAGTGCTAATGGGTGTCCTTAAATGGCCTTTGTTCCTTCCCCAAAAACGGGCCAAGTTTCAATTACTTGTGTCGGTTGTCCCAAGTCGATGATAATTCCCGAGAGCCCAGCTCCTTGAACTGGCTTAACTGACTGCTTCCCGGGGGGAATGAGGATGATGACTAAAATATAAATAGTTACAATGACTGGACCCGTTTCCAACGTGCTTGGAATCCTATTTTCAGGCCTATTTTCTATCTGTCATTTGTCATGTTTTTATTGTCGGCTTAAAGGGGCTTTTATGCCTATGGTTTTATATATCATTCGATTTGCTTAAATATTAAAAAAAGCTAGCCACAACTATAAAATATTGAAATTATCGGAAAGTTATAAATATCAGTTTATCGATAATGTAAAATATCGTTTTTATATCGAATTTAAATATTTTTCGTATATTAGATTTCTTGCGATATTATTTTATATTATTTATCAAAAGGAATATCAATTTATCGATCATTTAAAATATCGATTTATATATGGAAATAAAATATTTTTCATTTACTCACCCTTCGACTCTCTGCTGGCATGCTGGATGTTCTCAGGCGCTGGCGTTCGAGCAGAGTTCGTCCTGGCTGTGATGATGATGTTGCGACAACATTGGCGGTGGCCAGGCTGGCCATATTGGAGTTGGAGGCACTGCCTCCTCCGAAGGACTCGCCAACGCCCACGCCGCGCTCCCGCTGCTGCTGCTGCTGTTGCTGCTGCTGCAGTTGCGTTTGTGTGGATTTGGTGGTATTACATTGTCCCGGTATTGCCATGACCGGGGACAGCGAGTCGCTGGAGGTGGCATCGGGGCCACTAGTCACCTCGGCGACAGCAGCCAAGGTGCTGCTTGAGCCACCCAGAAATCCCAGTCCAACGCCGACACTGAGATTGTGGGCTGAACCGCCCGGCAGGCCTCCACTCCCGTTTCCCAACCCGCCAACCAAGCCGCCTCCTCCTCCCCTTTCGCCAGCTCCACTACCTAATGCTCCTCCACCTCCTCTGCCTGGCAACATATCGGCGGCATCGAGTCCAATGGGACCGTATTGCGGCGACACTGCTCCGGAAATGGCTTGCTGAAAAGTTAGGACGCCAGCTAGGGACATGCGATCCCTGGAAGTGAATCGTTAATCGATATCAAAATTGGTGATTATAACAACCATTTATATCGATAGAAAAATTCTTTAATTTGAGCTCAAGGTTAAAAACTAAATGTCATAGCAAACTGCTGGCTAAAGCTAAAAGTTTTGTGATTTACATATTATATTTGATAATTACTTTTAAAATATATTTATCAAGCTTATAAAAAGCACCGCTAGAGCTCTCACCTGGCGCTGCTGCTATGCGAAATGCGCTGAAAATCCTCTGGATCCAGAGGGACTCCTCCTATGCTATTCCGAGTCCCATAATTGTATTCCGAATGCAACAGGTTTCCGGCTATCGAAGAGGCCCGTCGTCTGTTTAAAATCGGTGACTTTTGGGCCTTGAGACTCTGCTGAAAATATGGAAAAGAAAAATGGTAGAAATAAATATTATATTGAGTTGTAACTATGATTTCTGAAGTTTCTACATTGATATCGTATCAAAAATATTGTAAACTTTGAGATCTCGAAATATATATTTGGCGTGATTGGTTAGTAACTTTACTTTACTTCACTTTTATTTATATTTATTAATAATATTGTAGTATTTGTATTACTTAATTTTAATTATATTTTATTTTATTTTATTTAATTATATTTAATTATATATTTAATTATTACTTACTCGACTGCCTGTGGGATTTTGAGCTGCATTGAGAAAATCATTGTAGGTGCTGAGCGTTGGCACGGTGGTTGGATTCGAGTCCGTGCTGTATTCCCATTCCTCCGGCGGGAACTGCTGTTGGTGGTGGAGCTGGTGCTGCTGCTGCTCCAGGAACTGCTGCTCTTCCACTCCATAACCCTGCTGATGGTTCTCGAACTGGACCTGCTGCTGGTGGGCATCGAACTGCACTTGCTGTGGCTCAAACTGGACATGCTGTGAATCGAACTGTACCTTTTGAGAGGGTACAAAATGGGTCCAAGAAGATTAGGGACCTAAGAGTCTAAGTTTTCTCTAATTTGTATTATATATAGTATATAAGTAGTCTTAAAATATTTTTGAAATATTTCTTTGAAATAGTTTTTAAATATTTCTTGAAACTGTTATTTTAAATAATCAGAAAATATTTTTAGCATATTTTTTTAAGTCTTAAAATATTTTTTAAATATTTCGCTTAGACTTAAAATATTTTTTAAGTATTTATATTAAACATATTCTTACCTGTGGCTGCTGCGCTTCAAACTGCACCTGCTGCAGTTGCTGCAGCGACTGGTCCAGGGCCTGGCTATAGGCATTGTATGCCGCCGCCGCCGCTGCCGAGGTGCTGGGCCCTTGGCCGTAGTTCGTGGACGTGGCCGGAATGGCGGTCAGGTTGGCGCGACTGCCAAAGCCGCTTTGCTGCTGGACGCGCTGCAGGGCCGCCTCGCGGGTGTGGTATGCCCCAAGGCCGCTGTGTGTGGGCGGTGTGGGCAGGATGCGATGTTGCTTCGGATGAGCAGGTATCTGCTGCAGCGGTTGCTGCTGTTGCTGCTGCTGTTTCAGCGGTTGCTGCTGTTGTTGCTTCTGCGGCTGCTTGAGGATCGGCTTGAGCACATTGTAGGCCAGCTGGTGTGGAGCTGGCGACGGCACTGGGCCCTGGGTGCTGCTGCTCAGACTGAGGCTGTCGCTCTCGTCGCAACTGGCATCTGAGGACCCGGCCCACGGACAACAACCAGGATAAGGTTGAATTTAAATGGAAAACAAAATTAATAGTGCAAAACATCTCGGCACAAAGGGAATCAATCAATCATGTTCAAGCAATATAAAACTACAAATTAATGTTAATATTATTAAATTCTGCTTCGTATTTTGTGCAATTTGAAACAACAGGCTCTTTATAATTCGCTTTTGGCCAGCTTCTAGATCCCCCCAAAAAATTCTATTTAAATTACAAGGGAAAATCACACACTCTGGTTGGTTTTTATTTTCTAATTGTTCCGTCCATTCCAGCCACCGAGCGCCACCAGCACACTCCCCATAAGGCGGTGTCCAGGGCCACCTTGAAATATGTATATGTACTCCAAGAGTGGCACCTGCGGCGAGTGTGTTTGTGTATTCCCAAGAATTATGTGCCCCAAGTTGAAGTCAAATATGAAAATGTTTTGCCAGAGAAGACCCCACAAAAAGCAAAGAGCAAAAAGCAAGAAAAAAAAGAAGTAGAGAAACTTTTCCGAGACATTTCCCAAAGTCAGTGTATGTATGGGGAATTTGCCTTCTGTTTGCTTTGCTGTTTACATGTTTATAGCCCAAGCTTAAGTTTTCTTTCTTCCACTTTTCTCAAACAACAAAAGGCAAAAGGGAGGCGAAAAAATTTAATAAACTTTGTGTGCATCGTCGTCCTTGCTGGGCACCATAAAAATTGTCGGTTAGATCCCGGAAAATGGCTAAAAATATGGTTACACCAACAGACAACACACATGAGAGGTTAACACGCCACCCAGGGTATGCCCAGTTAAATTTTAAATATTAAAAATTCATTGGCCTTTAAGGAAGTCTGACACATAGACAGAGCGCAGCGTTGACCTGTCACCTTGTCTGGCAACTTCAAAAGAGAGTGGCAACTCCAAAGAAGGATATAGCAAGGGAGCAAGATCAAACATGTTTGTATATATAATAATTATTTGCTAATGTATATATATTTATTAAGAAGAGAATATTTTAAATAGAAAGTTACTTATTTTCCTGTTTAAAGATTTCTCCTTCAAAAATTATTCTACCCCCAAAAAGGACGAATCAATTCTTACAAAAATAAAGCCTAGAATATACACTCGCTTTCAGCGGGATCATAAAAATTCCTTTCCGTCGGAGTTTGTCTAGCGAAACTTTCTTTTGGCGGTGCTTACTCTTAATTAGCTTGGGAATTTTATTACCCAGCCAGGACTCGCGCTGGCAGGACTCAAAACTGTTGCCCAAGCGGTGGGGGAGAGTGTGTCTCAAATGCGGAGATTCAATGTCTATATTCATTCATTCAGTCGTTCATTCATTTATTTATTTATTCACTCCCCAAGGCTCAATCATTCGATTAATGAGCTCTGCTCCCTCTTATTCTTGTGCATTTTAAGGCTCTGCCGATTAATCATAAGCGGCTTCAAACATTTTACGGGCTCCCCGAATTAATCACCGTGAAGTGCTCTCCAGCTGGAGTCGGTCTCGGTCTCTCATTCATCTCATTCAACAGTTTACCGAATGCAATTAAGTGGACAAAGGCGAAAATACTTTTTAAGGGGCCATGTACTCACATCCTTTCACCCGATTATCCTCTCTCATTCGCAGAGGAGGCTTTGCAAAAAAAGGATTCGGGTCTCAGGACCTTTTTTGTGCTGTTCATTTGCCACTTTTTAAGTTGATGTTTCATTTTCGTTTTGGGCTCGCTTCCGGCTGGCGGCATTTCTGTTCATTATATCAAAAAAAAAAACAGCCCAGAGTCTAATATCCGTAGGACTTTGATTATCCCAAAAGCTGTCAAGCCGGGGATACGCTTTAATCGTGTGAGGAGGGATAATCAGGTAGAGGATTATGAAAATGTATATTTTTATAAATTTTGTATATATTTATATAAACTAGAAAAGTCCAATTTCGTTCACAAGTTCGGCAACACTTCTTACAAAGCAAATAAGTTACGCAACACTGTTTATAAGGGAACACGTTATGCAACACTGTATTTTGCAAAAAGCCATAAAACAAAAGCTAATGGCTCTAGTAACTGACAAATAGGAAGACCAAAATTGAGTTAAGAAGCCAGCTAAAAACAAGAACGAAGCTTATATGGCCATCGCCTGTCGTTATTGGCCAACAGCCTGTCCTGGCAAGGCCCTCAGTTTGATAATGGGCTTCCGGTCCTAAGTGCTTTAAACTGGACAGCAGACAGGGGACAGGCAACTCCCCTGCTGAGGTGCCACAAAGCAACCATAATTGCATCAATGCGGCCACAGCAACTAGCTCCGAGCGGAAGTCCAAAGCCATTTCTTGGACTTTTCTTTAATAAATAGGCAACAATTTTGCTTCTATATCTTTTTTTAGCTACTAAATGGTAGAGCTTCCTTATATTTTCTGGTCTAAAAGTAGGGTACTCCCCAAATCTGGATCAACAATTGGGGCCAGTTGTCGCCTGCTCGCTCGGCATGGCAAACAAGACCAGGTGACGCAGCAGCAGGTCCTTAATTAACCTGCCCACCGTTGGCCCTGCAAGCACGCACTTCCGGGGGGGAGGTGGGTGTTGCCGGTGTTGGTTGGTAATCAAGCGCCGCCAGCCTTCCATGCAGGGCCTGCATTTCCGCTTTTGATTAGCCATCTGGCCGAGATTCGTAACGGAAAAACTACGGTTCTTTGCGTGTGCTTTTAATTGCGCTTTGCAACACTGTCTGACAGGTGATAAGCAGGGCGGGGAAATCAAGGAAAAATTATGGAAACGCAAGAGGACTGATTTACATGCTGGTTTTTATTTTATTTAGCGGAAAAGTTTTCTCTTGACAGAGATTACTGCACTTTATGGAAATCTGCTGTTTTGTTTGTTAAAATTAAACTTCTTCCAGCACTGGTGACATGTGGGGAAAATAACTTAGGCAACACTGTTTATGAGAGAATAAGTTCGTTTTGGAATCTTGGTTTATACAAAACTCTAAAAACAAAACTAAAAACCCCAAATAAAATTAATGTAAGTAGTTATTAATTATTATTTTTAAATATTTCTTAAAATTAATTAAACGCACCTTTAAAATATTTTTTAAATATTATAAACTAACGAAAATTCCTTTAAAACACTCACCGAAATCAAATGCCCTCTCCAGGATGACCGAATGCCGGGCCTGTGTGCGCTCCTGCCGCTCCTGCAGGCTCTTGTTCTTGGCCGCCGCCGTGGTGCTGGGCGATGAGGATCTCGGCTCGTCGCTGGACGTGGTGGTCGATGCTGAAGGTAAGATCTTGATGGATTTGGATGGCTTCGTCGGCTTTATGGGCAACGCCGGCGGTGGAGCATAGCCATAGACATAGCCTTGTAACTTGATCACACCGCAATTGTCCTCGCCATCGGGTCCCATGCGCTTTTGTTTCTCCCTCAGCCGCTCGCAGTCACAGACAAGGGTCACATGCTTCTGGCCGGGATCGGCCTGTGAGGGCTGCGTGGGTTGGGAGAGTGGCTCCTGGTGGAGGCAGCAGTACTTGATGTGCTTACAGAGCTGCGTGCTGGAGCCTGATTTCATTTTCTGGCCATGATTTTGATTGGTATTTTGACACTGGCTTAGGTCCAGACCGCTTCCGTTGCCAGGACCCGGATCCGGGCCCATTCCGGCGGCATTCAAGCCATTGGTGCTAAAGCTCAGGGAGGCCCGGGAGCGACGCAGCGAGTTGGGACGACTCCCTATGTTGGCGGAGACCAAGTCAGAGCTGCTGCCGCCACTGCCACTCCTGCTGCGCGACTGATAGACCGACATGTTGTGCTGGAGGGAGAGGAGAGAGGAGTTCCAAGTTCCCACAAAAAGGATACACCTGCTTAAGGGCACACTCACCTGTTGTTGGCCTTGCGGCAGCTGCTGCTGCTGCTGCTGTTGGGGAGGATGGTAGTGGTGGCGGCCAGGACGGCCGGAGCTGTCTCCCCCGCTGTGGCTCCGCATGCTGCCGCCGTAGCGCTGACGCTGGACGGGCACGGGGCTGTTCTGGCGGGGAATTACCTGCGAATGATGGGGGGATTTTTGGGGGTTACTAACAGTAGTAGCAATTAAAGGAAAGGAATTCCAGGGTCTAAGGGTTCGAATGGGGTTCAAGGATCCGGACAGGGACTACCTTATCCTCCAGGAGATTGGCAAATAGCCCCATATGATCCTCGTCTTCGTTCATCATAGCAAAGAAGTTTTTAAATGTGTCCGGAAACGAGGCCGGAAACTGGCCACGCGCTTCTAGTTTGGTATCCATTTTCTTTCTTTTTTTAAATATTTTTATTTTCTTATTTTCTTTTATTATTTGATCTTCTCTTTTTTTTCTTTCTTCTCTATTCTTCTCTTTTCTTCTCTTTTTTTTCTTTTGCTTTCTTATTTGTATGAAAAAATCTTTGATTTTGTTTTTTTGTTTTTCAAAATATTTTTTTTTTTTTTGGTCCGTCGTCGAATGCAATCGCAGACCAAGTAACATGCAAGGAGAGAACACGCATCGAGGTTAGAATGGGACAGCGAAAGCGAAAGCGATGAACAAGGAACTAAAGAGAGCGAAAAACAAACAAAGGGAATTAACTATTACGAATTATAATTATAAATAAATTGTAAATAAATTATAAATAAATTAAAAATTAATTGTAAATAAAGGCTATATCGTAGTCTGTCCGATTTGTAAATTTATATTTGTGAACAATGGTCCTGTGATAGTACTTATCGATACTCTATAATTATAACAAATTCCCTTTGTTTATAAATTATTATATTATTTTAATATCGAATTTAATCGATTACAATCGGTTGACTTCTAGAATTTTATAGAAAAAAATGGATTCACTGAAAATCGATTTATTTCCAGCTCTACTGTGACAGCCTACAATCGATTGTTTTTAATTATAATCACCCTACAATCGTTAGTGTTATTTTTAACCATTCCCTTTATTTTAAATAAGACCCACACCTTTTCATATTTCATATATATATATATATATGTATATATCTTTTAAGCTTTTTAATCCCATTTAAATTTATTCATTCATATTTTCCATATCAAAAATCGGATCTCTCTCTGGCTGCGAATAGGATTAAGGCCCCAATACCCGGGTTTTCTTTGGTTGTTCAACTTTAATTGAAAGCGAACTTCTGTGAGAGTCTCGTAAGCTTCAGAGCAAAAATTTCAATGGGCGGGGCGGTGCCCCGAATGTAAACTGCGACCCGCCAAATACTTAGCATACTTTCCGGCACCCCTTCGGCAGGCTTCCTCCCCCCCGCCGGTATTCCGCCGCTTTTCCGCCGCTTTTCCGCATTTTCCTTGAGCCTTTTCCAAGCGGCTAAATTTGAAAAGTTATCAGACCGCCGCCGTCGTGAAAAAACTGATGTTGAAGTTGCTGATGGAGATGGAGATGGAGGAGGAGGAGTAGCTGAGAGGCCGCTTCCGTTGTAGGTGTCACTCTAATGTTACGTATACGCCCCGTAATATATATATATATAAACAAATATATATATAAAAACAAATATAGATATGTATATATGTATGTATACCGAGGAAACATGGGACAAAATGTGGGCGGGTAAAAAGTTATTTTAATGGCGGTTTCCTCGGACTGGACACCCTCGGCTTAAACTTTTATGCACTGAAAATGGACTGAGCCGGAGCCCCCCATTGAGCATGTAAATGAGGTGCCGGCAAAAAAACCAGCACAAAAAAATGTAGATATAAATGTATATATATATATAAACCCACTAAAGAAAATACAACTGCAAATAGGAAATTTCTATATTTACTTCTCAATCAAAAACTCAATAAAAAATCTCATTTTTTAACTGGGAAATTGTCGAAAGAAATTCGATATTTATCGATAATTTTAGATTATGATAATTTTTCAAGGTTAGAATAAACCCTGAAGCTATGGTTAACCAATATTAATCTTTTGCCTTTTCCAGAAACTCATTTTACGTACTAAGAAAATCACTAATTCCAGAAATTCTTAATTCCACAAAAAACTCTAGAAATCCACAAAAACCTATAGTAAAATCTTGAATTCTGCGAGATAATAAAATCCACAAGGGGGAATATTGTTGGGTTAACAAAAAGTTTAATTCGTTGTGCTTTTGTGACTCAACAAGTGGCTTTGGTTTCAGCGAAAGGCGTGGCTTTCCGCTGGCAGGGTGCAGTCTGGAGTCTAGACCCAAATCCTATTCCACGAAGAGGTCAACAGTCAGCCGTCAATTAATTGCAGCGCAACAAATTAGCAGCACTTAAACCCACAGAGTACACACTGTAAGAAATTGCAAGGTAAAAATGTGAAATGAACTTAAGAACAAGAGAGAAATTGGAGATAAAGTTGCGAAATAACTAAAGTTGATCAAAAACACGACAATAGAAAATATAGAAAGCCTAAAATATTTTATTTAAAAGAACCATCTTTGCCCCATTTTTTTACAAAAGTTTTTCAACAAATTTTAATACAACATTTTTTCCCTTTTTAAAGCCGTAATAAGGTCATTTAGTTGGCTAATTGTTCAGCCAACTCTGGGAGGCGTCAGCGGAAGTGCATCCATGAGCTAACACATTTTGCATTTTGTCGGCCTCAACCATGTCAAGTGGCAGTCCAAGCCCAAAAACCCAGACTCTGGCTCTCGCGTTGGGCTTTTTAAAACAGTTGCTGCTACTTTGTGTGGGCGATTGTGTGCGTGTGTACACATAGAGAAAACACAAGTTGCTCTAATCACAAAAAACACGCGGGTATGTAATTATGCAGCATCAGCTTCAGAATGCTCGGAGGAAAGTGGAAAAGTCGGTGATTAATGGGTTAATTGCTTCGAGGATTTCCATATGGCAAAAACGCGGAACGGAAAATGTTCTTTTTATCGATTTAAAATCGATTTGTCCTTCATTTATTATTCAACTTTCTCGAAGACTTTGTATATTTGTTTTGTAAATTTTGAATAAAGTATAAATATAAACTATTATTTTGCCATCTATATAAATCGATATTTTTCAGCAAGAAAATCGAAAACGTAAGTTCCCCTACTCTCAGATTAAAGATTTGTATATATTTTACACAAGAACTAGAACAATGTTTATAAACAATATACTTTTTCCTTGATATTTATCGATTTAAAATCGATTCAATTGAAAACTTGAACGTCTTTTCTTTTCTTAAAAAAAATGAAATATTTATATTCACCTATAAACGAGGACTCTGTCATTTGTCACTGTACAAAATTCCCGTAATAAGGGGATTGGCTGAGGGCTTTTCTGCTAAGCGTTTGAGGCGTTTAGTGCCCTCGGCTGGCTGACGGTACGGAAACAGGGACAGGCGTTGTACAGTTTCAAAAAAAAATATACATCGACACATGCTATGTGTGTGTGTGTGTGGATACCTTGGATCCTGGTACCCAGCAGCTCCCTGACCCACAATCCACACAGACCTGATGTGTGGCCCTTTTAATTAGCAACCCAAATGTACACATACATAACATTTATGCAAATTGTAAAGATGCCGAGGCTGGCGAGCCGTGAAGCATATTATTCTTTACTTTCTGGCTTATTCAGAGGTATTTATATTTAATTAACGAGTTCTCGGAGGCAGTTTCGGTCTCAGTTTCGGTAAGTTGCTTATGAGGATTGTCATTTGTGAAGAGGCAAGCAGCCTCAGCTTAAGGCGAAGTAGCATTTGCATTCAGAGGCTCTAAAATAGTGGGAGGTTGCCAGGTAATCCAGGGTCAATGCAGCTTAAAGCTGAGGCGGAGGAAATCGTGTGGTTACCTGTGAATGCCAGGCTAAAATAACTCCCAGCAAACTCACATTAAATGAGCTTAAACAGCTTTAAATGAACAGCAATAACCAGCTAAGGCCACAGTGCGTATGAGTGATGCTAGCTTTGGCAGGCATCACACATACGCAGGGTTGTCTTTGATTTTATTTACATTTATTTGTTAAAATCCATACCCAAATCCTTTTAAATCCCACAAAATAAAGCACAATAGTTCGTTGACTTCGAATGCAGCTGCTCAAATATTCATTTCCTTAAATAATTTCAGGGTTTGTCAATCAATTTCATTTACAGCAACAAGTTTTTTCCTTTACTTTTTTGGAATTCTGACTTGAACCACTTGAAAGTGGCGTGTGTGTGTGTGCACAACACTAGAGAAGGAGTGGCTTTCCCTTTTTTTTAGTTTTTGCACTTGAAAAACAGTTTTAGCGTGGTCATGTCGAATGAGGTCTGAATGTGTTTCTATAACAAATCGGTTATTTATCATTTATAAATCGATTGATATCATGTTGGTCGAAAGAATCAAAATTATCGAATAAAAATCGGTTTTTAGTGATATTTCTAATATATAATTTAAACCTTTGATTAATTTTTAATATAAATTTGATTTTAAATCGATAAAAAACAACTTAAGGAACAAAGCCAATCTTTTCGCTATGTTTCTATGCTAAAATCAATTTTAAATCAAGGAATATTAATATTGTTAAAAATCATCTACGTTTCAATATCATTTTTAATTAAAAAATTTATTTTAAATGGATGACTATCGATGATTTTCCAGAGCTACTCTGGATAAATTTATAAATTGTTGAAAAATGCATGATGAATATAAAATACAATACATATTATTCTTAAAATTATTTTGTACAATTTTGTTTTAAATTTTACTTGTGTTTTTTTATGTTCCTTAGCTTTAGGTAATCAAAATATATGATTATATTTTAGGCTGGTTTTTTGTGGCTTCCGCAGGGCCGCACTTGACTTTCAGGGCGGACCCAACCCTTCCCCCACACGAAAAAACTTGCCATTTCCCGGGCATTTTTCCGCTGATTGTTTGCATAGGCCGCGACACTGTGTGTGTGTGTGTGTGTGTGTTTGCAAATATCCCGATAGATCCCCGACTTGGGGCTGATAATTTATGCCGCTGCTGACTGACCCAAAATCGAGAGAAAACTTCAACGAGTGGGTCTGGGGCGAGGGCGGGTGAACTGAAGTGGCACTCGGACGTTGGACAAACGTTGAACGTTGCGCTGGGCAACAAACTAACACAAAAACTGGCCAAAAGGAGCCAAGAAATAAATAAAAAGGCGAATGAAATTGGATTTGCACAACTACAACACATGTTTAAGGGCGACGGCGCACAGTAGCGCCTTTTCTCATTTTACGTTGCAAAAATCATAACTTTTGAACAAAATAAGATAACTAAATAATTTAAACGCCATTTGATAGGTAATTGTTGTAAAATTTACATATGTATTGGAAAATCTGCCACGCCCACTCATTCGCCTTTTTAAAGGGTATCAAAGTAAAGAAATATTTTTTTCTCAATGAAGACAATTTTTAAAAA